AGGTCCCACAACTATAGCCAAAAACTCTTCGTCTCCATCAACCGACCAAAAATATGCAAGGAACTGGAACTTGTCATAAAAGGCTTTGATCTCTGCATCCTTTCGGAAACAATTGCATAAATGCCTTGCAAGCCAAATACCCTCAGGTGAGAGTATGAATATTTGTTACCTGTCCAGACAAAACTTCTCCGGGATATCCAAATATCAAAGGTGCTAAAGGTAGTCGGCTTGATTAGGTAGGACAACAGATTATTGGACAGCTTCTCCCCAAAATGGCTTAGGTAAGTTGGCCATTATGAAAGCATAGCGATCTAACTCTTTCAATGAAATAACGTGCGATTCTCATCCGTTCAGCAAACGCCGTTGTGTTGAGGCGTACCAGGGAAACTCGCCGTTGTGTTGAGGCGTACCAGGAACTGTCTTTTCATGCCTGATACCGTGCTGACTATAATAATCTCTAAACTCCTTAGAGATATACTCACCACGATTATCCATGCGCAAACAGTTCAATGCCATTCCAGTCTCTCTTTCCACCATCGCATGACATTGCTGAAAGTGCTTGAATACTTGGTCTTTTGTGCGCAAAAAATATATCCATGTTTTTCGTGAGAAATTATCAATGAAGGTAAGAAAATACCTACTTCCTCCAAGTGATTCTACCTCCATGGGACCACATACGCCAGAGTGTACCAACTCCAAGTTACTGTAGCACGGATGCTTCTGAGTTCCTGTAGCAAGTTACTGTAGCACTCGTGTTTCTCTATCAAAACCACAGTCCTTTCCACCACGCCATCAGCTTCCCAAATAAATAATGATCACAAGGGTTTATTTTACCTTTGGCTAATGGTATGAGGAACTTCTTAGCCAACATATTCAGCCCTTTCTCACTAACGTGAGCCAGCCGCCTATGCCACAAATTTGGTGAAGCATCATCTGTAACTGTATTCAGTTGACCCGCACATATTATTACATGCGTCTTATACAGCGAGCAACATATTTTTCCTCTCGCCACCACCAAAGACCTTTTGGTGAGTTTCCAATTACTGTCACCTGTATGATTGTGATAGCCTTCCTTGTCCAGTACACTCATAGACAACAGGTTCAACCGAAGATCAAGAATATGTCTCACATTTTTAAGTGTTATACAACAGGTTCAACCGAAGATCGGGAATATGTCTCACATTTTTAAGTGTTAATGTGCACCCAACACTTGTCTTTATGCAGATATCACCGATTCCCACAACTTGCGAGACAGTATTATTTCTCATTTTAATAGAGCCAAAGTCTCCTGCTTTATAAGTGGAAAAGTATTCCCTTTTTTGGAACACAGTGGTATGAAGCACCGGAACCTTCAATCCACTCGGTATCTGCATCTCCAACATGACAACAATCTGCATCATGAGTGACTAAAGTCACCTCACCATCTTCTCTTGAGACTGCAGCAGATGTATTTCTATCATTCTCTTGTCTTCGGTCTGCATTATCCTGTTTGAGTAAACGACAATTTCTTTTGAGATGACCCTCGTTACCGCAAAGGTAATATTTTCTCATCTCTCTGGACTTGGATCTACCACCTGACTTTACATGCCTTGGACCTCTACTCTTGCTCTGGCCCCTATTCTCTGTGAAAAGGGCTTGTGAACTGGTACTGGCAATGTTGTCTCTTCTCCGTAGTTCTTCATTAAGTCAGCTCTATTCTTTCACCAAAATATTAAGTAGTCTATTCTTTACCATAGACATCGTTACCACACCATTTGGAGCTGAGTTATTCAATGACACCATAAGAGTATCCCAACTATCTGGTAGAAATCCCAACAGTAGGCATGCTTGCATCTCGTCTTCTAAGGACATACCGCTAACTGCTAAATCAGTTACGAGTCTTTCAAAATCGTTCAGGTGTTGTGTAATTGATCGTCCGTCTGACAACTTCAAGTTCATGACTTTATGCATCATGAAGACTTTTCCTTGAGCATTCGTAGCCTCGTACATATTCTCTAATTTCTTCCAGAGAACTTGGGAATCTTCCAGACAGAACTTGGGGATCTTTTTGCATTCTCCTCAATATTGGTCTGTACAAGCTAGCATCTATCCATCTGGCGTATATTCGTACCCAATGTTGGCTTCTTTAATTTCTCCCACTTGCCTTTCCTTTTCACTTTCCTTCTGACTTTCCACGTTCACCTATCAATTCGGATTCGTACACATCTTTGCAATTGACGGTATTGCGCCTCCCATTCTCTTGGAATTCTGCACACGTGGTGAATAATCTTGAACTTCCATCAAATTTGATCATTGCCCCCGTTGTTAGCCACTGTCGAACTTTCATGAACGTCTGATCAAATTTGTACTTATTCACGGAATTTTACTATTCACACAAATGTGAATAGCTAACTTAGTAGAAAAATTTGACAGAAATTTACCAACTCAAAATCTCTATACCAGAAATTGTTGGGATTATAAACTGATCCCGAGTTGGGAGCCCGCGCTGGAAAAAATACCGGTGTAAATAGAAAATTAAAATTACTAATTACCACATATTACCCTCCCAATTAATTTCGTAATTGGATATTGACGAGTCGAAATCACCAGCAAATAATAACCACGGTAAAATTAAATAAATTACTGTAAATGCCAGAATGAAATAAAGGAAAACACCAAAAGAGAATAACTAGCAAGTGATTTCACCTTCAACTGTTACATGGGAGCTAGAACCTCACGCGGAACCAACAACTAACCGTAATTAATTAATACACTAAAAAATAGAGTAGGATACAAAAACGAGATTATCAAAAAATGAGTGACACTCTAAGGTGTTTCCCAAAACAAACACACCCAAAAATTACAATCCGCAACTATTATAATTCTTCCACTAAAAATAGTAGGTACAAAAGAGATTACAAAAATAGTGACACTCTAAGTGTTTCCCAAAAACACCCCAAAATTACAATCCGCACTATTTTCTCTCTTTCCCAATTTTAGGAACCCTTTCCCAAAATTTTCTACACTTAACTGTGTAGAACTTTTCGTTTTATGTTTTTGTGCATAGTTTAGGAAAATCCTGGACGCGTTAATAATGAATGCGTTAATCACACGTCCAAAATTTCAACAAATTTTTTTTCTTCTTTGTTCGATGACTGCCAAAACAAAAACGTGTTGTATTATTTTTTTTTTCTTTTCAAATGTGTGTGGGTCCCACATGTTGGAGGGACCCACAACACTGTGATGCTATGAATTGAAAACTGAAATCAACCAAAATCCCAAAGTAAAACACACGAAACTAGGAATTCCATTTGCAATATTGTCAATTTCCATTTGCCATACTAATTGACCTTAATCAGAGTCTCTGTCTTGAATTCTTCTCTCATAAATCAGCGTTCGCCGCCTGTACTGTATCCTTGTCTAGTTCTCCCTGACACCATCCTTCTTGGTTTTAATCATTCCTTATTTCGGCTTTCCTATATTCTTCCCAATATGTAGGATGAATGCCACAATTGATCACTCTCCCACTACTGACTTCACGTTTTCCGGAATAATTTACAGAGAAATGATCAAGCTGGAATGAGACTCGAATGAAATTTATTTTATGCTTCAAAGATATATACCTAAGGAACACATGTTTTGAATCTAACTTAGGAAGCCCCAAATATCGAAAATGAAAGTTACGGCCATACTCATACATCTTTCTAGCTTTATCTTGGAAGTTCCCAACACCACTAATGTTATATGCATCAAAATCAACATCTTGGAAATCAAAAACAGCGGCAACATAAAAACCCAACATACGATCAGTCCTTTCCAACTGAACTGAAAGATCTGACCCACTTGTTCGATATTTCATACTTTGCGGCACTTCCACCCCAGGGATACATAATAGATGGTCCTGCTCCATGAAAATATATTTTGTTAAAGAATATCATAATTAATTAACGATAGAGTTGATATAAATAGCTGATGAAAGACTAAATGGATAATTTAAACATAAATTTTAAAAAGCCCATAATTGTTGTGGGGTCCCTCCAACATGTGGGACCCACAGACATTTTGAATGAAGAAAAAAAAAATAATAACACGTTTTTGTTATGGTGCCCTCCAACATGTGGGACCCACAGACATTTTGAATGAAGAAAAAAAAAATAATAACACGTTTTTGTTATGGTGGCAGTCAAAGAGGACGGTGCCAAACAAAAGAAAAAAAAAAGGAAAGAAAGAAAAAAGGGAAAGTGGATGCGTGATTAACGCATCCACCGCGTCCCCTTCTCCTATAAAAAGGAGAAGGATCTTCACTTCAAAGCGTACAAAAGCATAAAAACGAAAGGAGTGTAATTTTAGAAAAGGGTTCCTAAAATTGGGAAAGAGAGAAAATAGTGAGGATTGTAATTTTGGGGTGTTTTGTGGGAAACACTTAGAGTGCCACTATTTTTGTAATCTCTTTTGTACCTACTATTTTTAGTAGAAAAATTATTCGGAGTTTTTGTCCCGTGGACGTGTGGACGTAGCCCATAACAGTTGAAGGGTGAACCACGTAAAATTCTCGGTGTTCTTATTTTTTCATCTGCATTTTACGAATTATTTAATTTTTTATCTGTGGTTATATTTCTGGTGGAATTCGATCGTCAATATCCAATATTTAATTATTTGGAGTAATATGTGGTAATAGAATTTTATTTTACTTTTGCCACCGGTATTTTCCGCGGGCCTTCCACTCGAGATAAGTTATATTTCCCAACAATAATAACTATTGAAATCTTTTTCGTGATATATTTTATTTTCATCGGGTTAAGATGATATATAGTTTAATTTTATTATGTTTATCTCTTCTTCCCTTTGTCAAAGCATAACATTAAATTATGAAATTCACAAGTAGGAAAATATCCATTGAGTTATCATATATTCCATTGATGTTTATCATCGAAAATCTTAATTAACATTTTTTTTTAAATAAGGACTTCTTTATTAATTTAATATTCGAGAAAGGAAACATACGTTCCGGCCTTGCTGCGTTGAGAACAGGGCTTCCGTAATTTGAAAACGTACATTATCACCCAATTTGATGCAGTTACCAAAATGAAGTTCGGCGTACCGACGGTTGTCTTCTGTTTCCGCTTTTCCAAAGGACGAAAATGATACAAATTCTAAAGAGGTGCAATTTGATGCAGAAAATGACCTTGTGCCTGGAAGCTCTGGCAAATATCTAAGCCTCTTACAATCATCCAACCTAAGATCTCCAAGTTAGGTAAAGTTGTTGAATGCTTGCAGGAAAGGAATGCTTTCGAAATCGTTTCCATCTAAACGTAACTCTTTCAATGAAACTAATGATCCAATACTCTCTGGAATTTCTGATATACCACAGTTACCCAGATAAAGCTTCCGTAGGCTATTCAAACCGGACAACGAAGGCCATACCGTTAAACCTTTACATCCCTCAAAATATAAACATTCCAATCGGCTCAATTGATTGAAAGAGGATGGTAACGTTTTTATGCCACTTCTACTTGCGTTAAATATCCTCAGAGAATTTAAATCTCCAAAGTTATTTGGCAATCTGTTGAATTTCAAACCCGTAACATCAATGCGTTCAAGAGATAGTAACTGGCCAATGCAGTCTGGAAGATTTTGAAGCTTTGTACACCACCTTAACGATAATGCAACAAGTTGAGAGCAATGTCCCAACAAGTTGAGAGCAATGTCCAATTGATGAAGGCAATTGTTTTATTGCAGTTTCACTTAAATTTAAATCCAATAAATTGCAAGGAAGCTCTGGACATTCTTCAAGTTTACTGCAACCTCGAAGATTAAGAATCTCAAGATTATCTAACTGAAGGAAGCTTGGCAAACTGCGAATACTTTTACATTAGTCTAAGTGTAGCTGAGCAAGCTTGGTTGAATATTTAAGAGATGAAGGAATCTCAATTAAACTTGTACAATTTGACAAACATAATTCCTCAAGGTTTGGAGCTTGAAATGGGTCCGAAATTCTCAATAAAGACAGAGAGTTGTAGAGGTCCATAACTTTCAAACTTTTAAAAGGCTGTAATAAAAAGAGCAAGAATATGAATTATTAAAATTTCATGTTTTACATATATTTATTATTTATCGAAAAAATAATAATTTCACTACTCATCCAATGGCGGAACGATGGGGTGGCTACTGGCTAGCAGAGGCCATGGGCCCCACGTCTCAAAAATTTTATCTTATATATATTTTTTCAGAAAATGATCAATGTGTAATGTAGCTTGTGAAAAATCTCTTGATTGTTGTACCTTGTACCCAAGTCTGATATTTTAGTAAAAGCATAATTTATATTTATATTTATATTTTTAATATTCTTATTATTTATTTTAAATTTACAATAACTAAAACATAAAGCCAAAACATAAAGCCAAATAGCTCACAAAATAATGTATTTTTACAATTTCAAAATTAAGTTATTACTTATTTGTTTATTTAATCAAATATTACCAAAAAATAAAATATTTACTTATTTGTTTATTTAATCAAATATTACAAAAAATAAATTCTAAAAATTTTATTTTAATATAATTTTCTGTACACATACCAAAATTAAAATAAGCCAAGTTAAAGTATGAAGATTAATAAACTTATGTCTAGATAGTTTCTATTTGTTGTTGCTGTAAGGGTAAAAATTAACACATCATCTGTTCTTTAAATAAGTCAAAATATATTCTTAACATTTGAATTTCTTCAGTTTGGACTAATCATATATTGATTGATCAAAACTCATCACTAATATTTAGAATTTAAGATAAAATTAAAAAGTCATTTAATTCAATGACTTGTTCTCTTCATAAAACAATTGTAAATGATTCATTAAGAAAATTTTAAATTCTATTTCCTTAGAAATGCATTTAAGAATAAGCATTAGTTTAATGATTAAAACATATTATTTCTTTTTATGATATTCTTTTGTGATTTCACTGTATATATTTTCGCCCCTCTAAGTTATTATCAAACTACATCTTATTATGTTATATAGGTTCATTTACACCGAATAGAAATATTAAAGTTTAGGAAATATACCTTATTATCTCCATCCCACAGTTGTTTGAGTTGGCTGCTAGGCAAGCAAAGTTGTACAAGGTTATTTGGGCAAAACTTCAACGGCAACGATTTCAAAGGGTAACCTTTCCAAAGTAAATATCTTAGCTCTTCTGGAAGAAAATCAAGTCCATCAGCCAAAATCCCTTTGGAATCAAAGATACCGAGGTATCTAAGATTAGGCATCTTCATGAAACTTTTGGAATTTATCTCAATAGCTCCATCCCTCAACATCCAAAACGAAATACACTCAATCTTATCAGTTCCCTGATAAATGAACAACAAATGAAAATAGATAATTGAGTATAAAATATTTAAAAATAAAAACTATTGGAATCATCACTAATTATGTGGAGCGGTGATAGCAAATTTTTCTCCTTACTGTATTTGTTTTGAATACATGAGAAATGTCCTTAGGATTCCACAACCTACTACGTCCTCCAGGCTGTTTGCATTCCTTATTCACAATCTCCTTTCCCATTTGTTGTAGTAAGTTATGCATTTCTACTCTACGATCACATTTTCGAATGGCGATGAGAGATTTATCATTGAGACTCCTTATTCCACATTTCGCAAAGAAACCAAAACTTTCTATTATTTTTTCAAGGTCCTTTTCTATTGTTTTTTCAAGGAAACATGCAATATCCAGAAATATGCTCTGCTCATTTCTATCTAACCGATCATAACAGAAATATCTTGAATGCTCTTGCTCGGGATGCTTTTCAATTTGAGCAACTGGCTCTCCCAGTACTCTTTCTCCATGCCATAAAGGCTAGAGCCTAAAACTTTTAGTGCTAACGGATTACCTTGAGCATAACTTATCACCTGCTCGGATAGCTCCACGTATCCTTCATAACTTATCACCTGCTCGGATAGCTCCACGTATCCTTCTTTCGGTTCATTTTGTTTGAAAGCGTGCAAGCTAAAGAGTTGAAGAGCTTCCTCATCAATTAATCCCTCAACCTGATAAATATGTTCTTCATGACAAACATTTTTAAGTACTTGTCTATCTGTACTAGTAATAATGATTCTACTTCCCTTACGGTACAAACTACTGTTTCCAGCTAAAAGATCTAAATCGTTTGAATCATCAACGTCATCAAAAACAATAAGAACTTTTTTACGTTGCAGTCTCCTCAAAATCCAGTCATCTAAAACTAAAAGAGGCGTGCCCATTTTCAAATTTTCGTCCCCCAATAGTGAACCAACGATTTTATTTCGTAAGACAATTGGCTTTTCCTTTCTCATCTCTTCCTTGACATTTGAAACAAAGCAGTGGGCATCAAATTTAGCCTTGATTTGGGAAAACACTATGCCGGCAAGAGTTGTCTTTCCAATACCAGCCATTCCCCAAATTCCTATTGTCCAATTTCTGTCATTTACATCAATATCCAATAACGATATTACTATTACTTTCTCGACACGCGAAATCAATTCCAACTTAAACTGTCATTGAGTAACTAGCATTGATGCATATGACGTTAATAATCTCTAAACACGATTGACGATTCTTTTGCAATCTGAAACACGATTGACGATTCTTTGAACTAGCATTTGGTCATTTCTGATCACATATGAAAAACAAAAAGTAAGCCAAAACTTATATATTCTAGAATAAAATCAATTAAGTGTTTGGAAAAACTGGGTGGGTAAAACCCATGATTGAAGGAATAGGAGAAAATGAAACAGAATTTTAACAAGAAAATAAAATAAGTGAGAGTTCAAAGGAGTAGATATCGGGACTAAAAGCCATCTATCGTGTGTGCAAGATTGATCTATTATTGATGAATAGAAAATAAAAAGACATGGAAAAGTAAACAGGGAAAAATGATGACTTTACTTGATCTCATTCGAAACAAAAGCACTTAAGTTGCTGATTGTCTTCAAAGCATGGCACCATCCACCCAGGTTGGGTGAAGTATCGCTGTGATCTTGTAAATACCTGAAAAGTGCCTTTGCAAAAGGCCCTCTTAGCTCTTGAACATTAGTTGGATCTACACGGTAAAAAACTGGCAAAACCATTTGTCCTGACGTTTCTCTGCATTCATTTATCACAACAAGTTCGTCCAAGCACCATGGAGAATCTGCATAGTTTTTGGAGAATATGACGATTGAAATACATGATTCTTGAATTGTTTGCTTGAGGGCTGGTGTTATTTCAGTTCCTTTTTGAAGGTTTTTTTCATCCTTGAAGGTAATCGATTCTTTTTTTCCTTCAAAGATTTCAAGAGAAAGAGAGAAAACCGTCGCGGATGTCTTGCCTCTGATAATTAATAAAAACTTCATAGTTATTTAGCTCCGGAAGGGGTTTGCTCGGAAAGAGGCTGAGGAAGGAGAAGAAGCAGTAACTTGGCATTAATGCATAAAAGAAAGGGGTTCGCTGGGAAGAGGTTGAAGCCTGGGAAGAGGTTGAAGCAAAACAAGAGAAAGAAGAACCCATAATGGAGAATTCCAATGATACAAGAAGCCGTAGAAGGCGAGTTTTATAAAAACAAGTAGAAGAGTTTTATAAAGCAAAACCATTGAGATTTGAGAGCCATCATCACAGAAACTTCAAAGAAGCTTTTAGGAAAGTGAGTGAGTGGAAGTGGGAAAGAGAGAGAAGTGAGGCGATGCGAGAGTAAAGCAAAAAAGAGAGACATTTTAGTGCGTGTGTGAGCGGATCTCATGTGCCGTGTTTGGCAATTCGCTTGATTTGTATAATTACAGTTTATTGCTCACTTGTAAAAGCTACTTCAATTGAATCCAATTGCAGATAAGTATAAAAATCATAGATAAATACCGAGGAAAATTGACCTCACAATCATAATTTAATAATTTTTTTGAATCATAATTAGATAATTATGTAACTATATTATTAATTTGAAAATTAGATAATTATGTAATCCAATTGGTCATAATTTGAAAATTTCAAGAAATATTTCAAGCATCAAAAATATTATATTATTAATTAATCTATTTAGTTGCTCAAAAATCAAAAAATCCACCGTTAATGTCGTTAGTGTTTAGATAATCAAAATGTAATCACTGCCTATTATTCACATTAAAACTATCATTCGAAATGATATAATGTATGATAAGTAACTTATTATATAAATTTACTTTAACAAATTAATAATTAATATATATACTTCTCCGTCTCATAATTTTGATAGGCAAAAAAGAAAATTATCGTGAATATCTTATATTTATACATGGAAAGAGGGAGGAAAAGGGGGGGAAGAAATACACACTATGAACACCATTATTGAAATAGTCAAAAAAGATAATTAAAGGAAATATTTTATACTTATACATGGAGGGAGAAAGAAAACTGGACATATGCATGTACCTCTCCCACGTCCCTTTCTTTATGTATATGTTCGATTGTTCCTTTCGTCATTTCTTTTCAGCTTATACATGGAAAGAGGGAGGAAAAGGGGGGGAAGAAATACACACTATGAACACCATTATTGAAATAGTCAAAAAAGATAATTAAAGGAAATATTTTATACTTATACATGGAGGGAGAAAGAAAACTGGACATATGCATGTACCTCTCCCACGTCCCTTTCTTTATGTATATGTTCGATTGTTCCTTTCGTCATTTCTTTTCAGCTAAGTTGGCCTATCTTTACAATGTTATATTTACTATTTTAGCCCGTTATTTAGTTATATATGATACAAAATTTGCTCCATTCAGTCATGAGTCACCGTACAAATATCTTTACAATTTTATAATAATTAGCAAATATTTTTATATTTGAAAATACTCTAACTCGTTCTTCTTAAGAGAAAAAACTAACTAAACCACGTATCTGATTACCTTCATTGCTATTTTGATTTTTGGCAAAGTAAAAAGACATTTGTAATCTTTTTTCTTTTAATTGTTCGTTATTAGATTTATTAAATAAATACCATCAACAATGTGTTGATTAAAATGGTAAGCGACTTAAATTTTCAAAAAAGTGAGAACACAAGTTCAATCATCGAAAAACGTAGCCTGCACTTTATTAAGAGCGCAAAAAAACCTTTACGCTCAAGGTGAATTACATCCCTCGGTTATACGGAAAAAAAAAAAGAATGCAATGAGTATAAGTGATATTAAGTAACGGATTGAGCCTGCATGAGCCCAATTTGTCCCAACCCCTAACTTGAACTCATATTACAAGAGGCAAAAAGGCCAACCAATATAGATTTATAATCTCGCCCAAACTCATGCATCTAAAATCCTTCATACCGTAAAATTTGCAAGTTTATCTTAATAGTTTGATTTAGTTTTTTTTTTTTTTTAAATCTAATAAATTAAATAAAATTGAATATTTCAACTATTATGAGGTAAGATGAATTTATTCACCGAAGTTCAATTTTTTATGGAAAAATATTCTCCAAGAAAATTATGAGGTAAGATGAATTTATTCACCGAAGTTCAATTTTTTATGGAAAAATATTCTCCAAGAAAAATAAAATTTCAAGAAATTATTATAAAAAAGTCTAATTATCGTAAGATAATCATAAAATTTTTTTAAGAAAATAGCATAATTATAACAAATAATATTATTTTCTCTGTCCCAAAATAAAAGATATTTAAGTTTTTTTACAAGGATCAAGGAAATAATTAATGTTCCTAAAATTAATGTTCCTAATATAACAAAATTAATTATAATTTAGTTAAATAGTTACTCTTGTGAAATTAGTTATTCTATAAGAGTAACATTGAAAAAACATCCTATAAATATCGAAAATGTGAAATGGTGGAAGGTCTCAATAATATTTTTGACAAAAAGGTTATAAATATTCCGATCAATATCATATCAATTAACTTGGTAATAAAAATCCATATTTGCGAAATCTTTAAATGAACATTGTATCAAAGAAAATTATAAAAGAGCAATAAAGAAAAATGTTATAAATGAGATTTGTTTGTCTCAAACCCTAATAGATACGATTTCAACCTATAAACATGCAAATCTAGAAATTGAAAAAGACCCTAATAGATCTGTTTGTCTCAAACCCTAATAGATACGATTTCAACCTATAAACATGCAAATCTAGAAATTGAAAAAGACCCTAATAGATCCTTAATGCCATTTCATAGTGGTATTAATTGTTGGGTAAATTAGTGGTATTAAACGGCTAAACTTTATCACAAAATTTAATGTTTTTTTTTTTGAAGGTGATTCATCATTCATTGCATCTCTAATTGTATGGATTCTATACTATCTATCTATATAAATATATAATTTTTTAAGATATGAATACTTATATGGCAATATATTAAAATATGAAACTTGTGTCATTTTTTTATATTATAATTAATTATATTAAATTTTTTTTATTAAATAATGGAGTTATTTAAATAACTGGAGAGTTTGACAAACATGATAGAATAATATTTAATGATATGATTCTTTATTATAATTAGATATAGTGTTGTTTTACATTTACTCACATAATATTTAACTTAATAAAAAGAAAGATATAAACGAATAGACTTGATCAGGGTTCTTTTTTTTTTCTTAGGTATCTTTGGAATATAGAGTTACAAACTAATAAATTTAATGAATGATTTTATTATAATTAATATTTTTTTACATTTAATAACTATTAAATTAATAAAAAGAAAGAAAAACAATAGACTTGATAGGTTTTTTTTTTTCTAGGCTGATATAGCATCAAAAATCCAAAGAATATGAGTATTAATTGGCTACTGTTACCTTAATTTTAATTAATTGATTACTGGGTAAAATAATAATAAAATAAAACACAGAGGAGACAAAATATGTTATCAGTGATAGAAAATGGTTCAAACATTATAATAAATATGAACATGGAAAAGAGACAATATATCAGTCAACTGAAAACAAAAAGGCCACATTAAAAAATACTGCATGGATAACATTCTTTTTTTTCTTTTTTTTTTCTTTTTCAGAAAATAGGAAAGAAAGATATCCTAAAACTTTCATCACATCTGATCTTCTAATAATAAATAAATAATATTCACATTATACATTCGGTGCGGTTTTGTCCCTCTCTTTCTCTATCTTAAAATCTAAAACTTAAAATTTTTATTTTTTATTTTGACAGCCAATCACTAGTGAGCTTTTATCGGTGTTATTTATTTTTTATAAATAATCTTCAGATTTATTTACAGATCTGAGTTATTGTCGCACAAATATTGAGTTTTATTTTCATATCAAATTTTGAGTTATTGTTATCACCTTTACAGTGATTTTATCTAAATTTTTTATTATTTGGATAGTTATGCAGAAAAAAAAAAGCAGATATACTCTCCAATAAAACGAAAAAGTTCGAAGGTAATAAGATCGAACTTGTAGAAAGACCATGGAGTCCAACAGTCGCTATGAATAGCCACCAAGTGGAGCAAGCGATCGCCTATGCATAAATATTATGTTTTATCAACTCAATCAGATACTTCAAATTAATATTGTGTTTTTTATTTTTTTTTGTAGAAGTGGTTTATTATTACACTTTATATACAAAAAATATAGAAACATATTGATCTGTATCTCAAATCTGTATATAGTTTTCAATTAATGAAATTTCTAATTTAATTTATTCTAAAAAAAATTCACATAATTGCCTTTAGTAGAAATTAATTTTAGAACTTCATGTTTATTAAACTCAAATTAATTAAGCTCTGGGCGAAGAGATTCAATCATTACCCTATTTTTTCATATTTTATGTTAATGAGGGGTATGTAGTTGTTATTGAAATATGAAAGTGTATGATTATGATGGATTTTCCAGGGCTACAAAAACAATCGCGGAAAGTAAGAGATTAAATTTATGCATTACCCTGTTATTCGCAGTGTGAAAAATTACCGATCGAACAGAATTAAAAATCGAATCAATCCATTTCAATTATTGGTTAATTAGTTCATTGGATTTGAACCAAATTTATTGTTTGATTCAACTCGATTGCACAAAAATTCACTGATTGGATTTAAAATTAAATCGAAATGGCCAAAAACGATCAAAATAGACCAAATCTACTGATTTGATTCGGTCTATTGTGAAAAAGTTTGGGTTTTATTTTATGGCTTGGTTTGGTTCGATTTCAACCCAACCGGCGTCTGCTCACTCCTACTTGTTACCATACTCAAATGCAAGTGCATGTGACCATTAGGATCCCAACAAACAGCAATCTAGTCTCATCAATGCCACTCCATTATTGTTTTCTATTTTTCTCGGAAAATATCATCTTCTGTGTCCTCATTAATTGCATTTCAGCCTTAACCTTTATTTGTTATGTATTACTAATTTCCTATTTTATTTGTTTATTATTATTTTTTAAATATTTTAAAACATTTATAAAATTTTTAAATTTAAATATATAAACAGTATTTTCTCATAATAATTTTTTTATTCATTAATTGAAAGATTTTTATTAATATTTTAATGAATTAAGGGTAAAAAATGATAAAATAATTTTTATTGACTAAATTTTTAATATGCATATTTTGTTAAATTATGCAAATAAAATGAAACAGAGAGAGTATTTTTTAAGTTCATAAACTTATTATGCTAGAATTGTTTGCTCCACATTAAGCCTTTGATATATTGGACTAAATTTTCGTTTTAATTATGTCATATTTTGTCTAAAATTGAATTCTGCAAAATAAAAATGAAACAGAGAGTGACGTAATTTTTTTTAAAGTTCATAAACTTAATTATGCTAGAATTGTGCTCCACAATTATAAGCCCCTTCGATATCTAATATATATTACTATTATAATAATATATATATATATCATTATATAGTATCTAATAATATATAAGATCATTTATTACTTTCCAAGACTTGTTTTTGATATTACTTCAAACTTGTTTGATAAAAAAAATCATACTAAAAAAGGTTTACAAATTAGTAAAGTTTTATAATTTATTAAAAAAATAAAAAACTTTAACGTTTTAAATAAGCTTAACAAATTTCTAGTGAATGTCATCGTAACAGATTCATTAACATTAGAAAAAAATTTTTGCAGAAAAAGAAATAGGCATTTGTTAGTATGACTTCAACCCACATACATACCTCACTCTGCGCTAAGATTTATTTTGTGCTCAGTGAATAGAACAATTGGACTGGGTATTGCCAATCTACCATAATTAAAAGGAGAAAGAATCTACTGTATTCTGGACCACCTTAATGTAGTAGACCACCTGATCTTCAGGTCTTGGTGGCTGCAGTTATCGGTTGGTCTTGTGTCTCATCCCATCCAAATAATTACTTGGCATCTGATTCTGTAGCAGCTGATTTGTATTTGTTAACTGATTTGAATTTATATTATATTTTTATTAAATTTTATAAAATTTATTAATAAATTTTGTTGAATTTATTATTTTTATATTAATTAGGTTGTTCATAAATTATATCAAAATTATGAAATTTGAATTATTAATTTTATATAATTAGTTTGTTCATAATTATATAAAATAATAAATAACTATTAAACATTATTGTAAAAAATTAATTAAAGTGTTTTATTTATATGGCAAGCTAAAATAAAAAAAAATGTAAAAATACCGTAGATTTTATCTTGTATAGCAATCTCATTCAATATTAATTTTTATGACAATTGTAATCCAAATTTGATATTTTATATCTATTACAATCTATATATTGAAATTGGAATTGGAACTGGAATTTCAAATAAAAAATGAATTTTTTTTGTTGATCCTAAGTTGGAGCTTGGGTTAATTTAAACTAAGCTTATAGCAAATTTGAAAATATCCGCATTAATACTCTTTCGTCCCAAAAAAATAATACATCATTTTTTTTATTCATTCTAAAATATAGTCCATTTTTATTTTTTATATTATATTTAATCTTTAAATTGTCTATTACACCCTCATTAAGCTTTATCCTATTGTCAATAATCCTCATTAATTTTTACTTATTATTCTAATATAATAATTTCTCGCGTATTATTTAAGATGAACATAATATGAAAGTTATATAAATAAAATTATCATTTAATCATAATAATTGCTATTTTCTTAATATGTAAAAATAAAAAATAAATTATCTTTTTAAAACGGAGGAAGTAGTAGATTGAGAGACAATGTGTAAAAGAAAAATCACTTTTTAATGTTTTTTTATTACGGAGGGCACTAATTTTGAGAGATAAATAAAAAGTTAATTTACAAATTTGGTTCAGGCATATATATATATAAGTGTTCAAGAAAAGGAAAGTATTTTAAGAATTTTCTCAAAATAAGTAGAAACGTTGCTTCTTTAATTTACATGCTTTCACTATCCTTTTCTTTTCTGATGATGCCAATGCCATAAGGAAAAATCCCGAAAAAAAAAAAAAAAAAAATAAAAAAATAAAAGAAAGAGCGAGCTCACCATAATAAAACTGAGCCATCCCACACTTTTACTATCCACCCATCTCTCCTTTCCAAATTGCATACATTCCCTTGCGCTTTCTCTCTCTGCTTCTCTCTATCTACAAAAAGACACATTCACTTTGTCTCTCTCTTTATCTTTCTCTGCCTGTGAGGTATGAACACCCACAAAAGCTACAGTTCTCCAGATTCTTTCTTCTCTTAATAATCACAGTTTGTTTCTTTCCCTTTTTTAATTCAAATTTCTCAGATTCTTTACTTTCCTTCAACTCTCTCCAATTCCATATTTTCCTTTCCTTTTCTCTCTTTTTTCTCTTAAATCTCTCTTAATTACCTCAGATTCCTACCAAAATTCCTTCAAAAAGACACATTCACTTTGTCTCTCTCTCTCTCTTTCTCTGCCTGTGAACACCCACAAAAGCTACAGTTCTACAGATTCTTTCTTCTCTTAATAATCACAGTTTGTTTCTTTCCCTTTTTAATTCAAATTTCACAGATTCTTTGCTTTCCTTCAAATCTCTTCAATTCCATATTTTCCTTTCCTTTTCTCTCTTTTTTCTCTTAAATCTCTCTTAATTACCTCAGATTCCTACCCAAATTCCTTTCTCCCTCCCTCTAAAGCTCCTGTTTTTCAGAATCATTGTCAAAGTTCTTCCCTTTCTACGGTTTTTAACGTGGGAGATATGAATTGAAGCTGAATTGTGATTGATTAGGAGGTTTTTGGAGCTGAATTTAGGGTTTTTGTTTGTTTTCATTGTATTTGATACCTTTGGTAAATAACAGAAGGTGAAATGGAGAAGTACGAGCTGGTGAAAGATATAGGATCTGGGAATTTTGGAGTGGCTAGGCTCATGAGGAACAAGGAGACCAAAGAGCTTGTTGCTATGAAGTACATCGAGCGCGGGCACAAGGTTGGTTCTTTCATCTATATATATAAATATAAATATGAATAAATATTGTGCGTGTATATATATATAATATTTTTTTGTTGACTGTAAGTGTGATGCATGGTAAAGAAAATGACTTTTCTTTTTCCGTTTGTTATTCTTTTTATTTTTGTAATAAAATGGACTAGATTTTGTGATGGAAGAATGGTAGTTGCTGAATTTTGATATATTCTAGTAAAACATTTCATGTTTTAATTTTAAATTCTTTTAGAATTTTTTTCCAGTGTTAATTGTATTTATTTGTTGCGAGGGTTCAGATTGATGAAAATGTGGCAAGGGAGATAATAAATCACAGATCGCTTCGGCACCCAAATATAATTCGTTTCAAGGAGGTTAGTTCTGAACACTCTCCCATGTTTTAATATTATTGTATGGCTTTTAAGTGTTTTTTTAATATATACATTTTATTTTGGATGTTTGTTTCAAGAGATTGACTTTTGTTTCTTGATGTAAAAGAGTTTTCTTTGGGTATTTGCAGGTGGTTTTGACACCAACACATCTCGCTATTGTTATGGAGTACGCTGCAGGAGGGGAGCTGTTTGAGCGAATTTGCAATGCTGGAAGATTCAGTGAAGACGAGGTTTTGGTTTTTTCTTTGTTTTTGCTTTTTCATGGCTTCAATGTTTCAGGATTTGTGGTTTCTCTAAGTACATTGAGTTCTGTATTAATTGGAATGAAGTTTCAGTGAAATTTGTGTTTATTTTTAGTGTTTGCTAAAGTTGCCTTTTAATTCATTCCAGGCCAGATACTTTTTCCAACAACTTATTTCAGGAGTCAGCTACTGCCATTCCCTGGTAAATCAAATGTAGTATATAGAAGATAGCATTTGTGCTATCGGATTGCTTGAAAAATCCATTATTTTTATTTATTTATTTATTTTTTAATGATTGCAGCAAATTTGCCATAGAGATTTGAAGCTAGAAAATACCTTGCTGGATGGCAGCCCAGCACCACGTCTGAAAATCTGTGATTTTGGTTATTCTAAGGTTTCACTGAAAGAACCAAATTGGTGCCTTCTGTCTCTTGTGGTTTATTTATGGAATTTTTGATTTTGTGATAATCATTGCTTGTGCAGTCATCCTTGCTGCATTCAAGACCCAAATCCACAGTTGGCACTCCGGCTTATATTGCCCCAGAGGTTCTTTCTAGGAGAGAATATGATGGCAAGGTAACTGATATTGTTTATATGGTTGATAGGCACACATATTGCACTGATGGAAGCTCATCACTAAGGGATGTGATTTAGTTACAGTTTTGCTTAAAAAAATTGTCAATAACAATCTAAGATCATTAAATGAAAACCTCCAATCTTTCTCCAGATTATTCCATTGTGTTCAGCAATGAGTGTTAAAAGTTTTGGTTTATTCAATATTACATTACATGAATTAGAACTTGTAATCGAAATTAGAAGATATCAGGCAATGGTATCGTTTAAGTGTTACATTACATTATTTTGATTGTTGAGTAAGAAGTTGTGAAAAGATAGTTACATAATGTAGGAGATAGAGCACCAACCTTATGTGATCATAAGTCATGAAGAATTAGGATCTGTTTGAATAATTGTTTCCCAATGTGACATGCGATACTCCCTGAGATTGTGTAAAAGTTGAATCTTTATTATTTTCTTTCCATCAACTACAAGATGAATTTGAACGCTGGTTAATTTTTTTTTTTTTGTTCAGGTAGTTGGGTTTGTAGGATGGATGGCCATTCTCTCTTTTTAGTCATGTTTAAAAACTTTTAACTGAACATAGATGGAATTAACTTTCCAAAATTCCATTTCCTCCATTTGTCAGCAACCTTTATATTACAAACTGCATGCCATGATCAATTGGAACTCTGGCTTCTGTGTGATTGTTTATGGCTTCTTTTCAGCAATACATGTTTGCATGTGAAACTCTTGGGAAAGGCAAGCAGTTTTACTCTTTTCTTCTCTGGGAAACCACTTAGACTTTGACCTTTTAATCTACCTAGTTGGAAGTGTGCTAAACAGAGAGTGTGAATGAATTCTTTTCATTCATAAGCTTGGTTTAGATCCACTTTCTTCTCTTACGATATTTTCATTAATATTGGCTCTGATTTTTCAGATGGCAGATGTATGGTCCTGTGGAGTGACTCTGTATGTTATGCTGGTAGGAGCATACCCATTTGAAGATCAAGAGGACCCAAAGAATTTCAGGAAGACAATCAATGTATTCTATTCTCTTTATATAAGAATATTCAGAAATATTTATATTTTCAATGTTTATAATTCCCATGTTGTTCTGCAGAGAATAATGGCTGTCCAGTACAAGATCCCTGATTATGTTCACATATCTCAAGATTGCAGACATCTCCTTTCTCGCATATTTGTTGCCAACCCATCCAGGGTATGTATTAATGAATTTGCCTAAGAAAGCAATCAACTTATAGTATGAAGATGGCATCATGTGTTCTACATTGGCAATTGTCCTGTAATCAAGTGTTGTTAATTCATTGGTCCTTGGTTAGATGCCAAAGTAATTTGTCTGTGGCTATGAATTTTTCTGCGATGGCATTCTAAGTGTCAAAAACATTGGAGGAATAACTTGCCCTCTTCCATATTTTATCACATGATTGTTATTGTTGGCATTATTCTTTTTCCTGTTCTTTTTTTAGTTTCCAAGTTTCTTCTTTCTTCTTGTCTCTCTCTCTCTCTCTCTCTCTCTCTCTCTCTCTCTGTGGTTCTGTGAATTGAAGGCATATTATTTATTTGCTTCTATGATTTTTTTTGGCTTATGCAATTGCCTTCACCATGCCTGGTGCTAAGAGACAGTGGCATACTATCACAAGTTATTGGTCCAAGCATGAAAGGAGATGAATGTACCTGGTTCTGGCTCTGTCCTGTTCCAAGATGGATAAAAAGATAGAGAAATTATGCTTGGATCTCGCATTCTCGACTGGAAAATCTAGTCTGGATACTTCCTGTTGTACGACCATGGCTTCTTATCCTCCTAACCATTCCAGAAGGAATAAAGCCTCAACAACCAAAACATAAGACTACCAAAGCATCTTACCATAAAAACATCACTGGGTCTTGAAAGCCTAGAGGTGAAACCTTTTACATGCACAAAGCAACTAGACAACCCAGAAAAGAAATGTGTCAAACCAAGACTGATGTTATGCCTATAAGATAGACCTGGTGTTGTCTACTACACACAGAGACAACATACAAAGTTTTACTGTTTGGTTGGTCTAGTACATGTTATTAACCATATCAAATTTGTAAACCAAACAGTTTCTAAAAACTAAACCAAATTGAAATGCTGAAAAAATTTATTTGGCCTGTTTCCCTCACCTCAATTTAGCAGATAGCCATTAAGTTGATTTTCTTTAATTTTGATTTTGCATGAGGAAGAATGTGTTTTCCTATTGTTGGTTTTAGTTTGCACCTTTTGGTAGAATCACGAGTGAGGCTTATTGGATTGTAATAATGGAAATGCAGTTTTCACCCTTTCCCACAAACAAAAAATGGAAACTGAAAATCTTTAGACTGATTGAATTTAGTCTTTCAGGTTGGACTGATCCATTTTACATCTGGAAACTGAATCCTGATTTTTGGTTAAATCTATATTGAATATTGGCTCATCTGTGTACTTGATACTATGCTTTTGTTTCCTGCAATTAAGCAAATCTGGATCTCTGTCACTGCATGGGGATTGATCTGTTGATCTGTGCATGAGGATTGATCTGTTGACCTGTTAATGGTGTGCATGTTTGACACTGGCTCTTATACTTGATGCACGCAGCCGCAAAATATGTATGCTGATATGATATGACTATTTTCCTGTGAAGAATCTCTATTGCATTTTCCCCTTGTATTAGTTAATTTGGTGGAGGTCTAATTCGATCCATCTCATCATAGTGCATTTTCCAGCCTTCTCCTTGTAATCCGATATTGGTCATCAAACACAAAGTATCTTCTAAGTATAAATTTTTTACCAGAGTTACTAGAATTATAATCATAAGTATATAGGTCCTGTGAAATGTTTCACAATATGTTTTAAAGTGGTGTTTGCATCAGCAATGACTCCTTTGTGGATGGGTACATGCTATTTGTCTGACATTTTCTGATCTTCTGCTATCATAAGAGCATTTTGTTTTTATCTTTAACCCTGAACTTTCTCATGATGACTGCTCTAGTAGGATATTAGAATTCTAAGCTATACTACATTGTACAGAGGATCACAATCAAAGAAATCAGGAGCCATCCATGGTTTTTGAAGAACTTGCCAAGGGAACTGACAGAGGCAGCTCAAGCCATGTACTACAGGAAAGAAAATCCTGGCTTTTCCTTGCAAACTGATCAAGAAATCATGAAGATTGTGGAAGAGGCCAAAAGTCCTCCTCCAGTATCTCGATCTATTGGAGGCTTTGGTTGGGGAGGAGAAGAAGATGGTGATGGGAAAGAAGATGACACAGAGGCTGAAGAAGAAGAAGAGGAAGATGAGTATGAGAAGAGAGTTAAGGAAGCACAGGCAAGTGGAGAATTTCGTGTCAGTTAAGAATTAATCGTCCCTTTTTCAGGTACCGGTGATCTAAAAGTTTTGGCTTGGATACCTATAAGATGCTATTGTGCTTGTATAAAACTTTGTACTTAGGACATGGTCTTGAATAAATGTATGTAAATTATAGCATGTTGGGCAGAGGGGTGTGATTTCAACTTAAAAATGAGATTTTAGAGTGTCTTTGTTATTGGGAAATTGGAAATGTGAAGATTTGAAAAGATGCCTATGAGAGTCTGTCATGCTTTATCTTTTATTTCTGAGGTTTCTGATAGTGTCATAATTGACTTATAGACTATTATGTACACTGTATGGAGGTTTTGTCAGTTTGAGGACCATAGCAATAATATATAATATTACTATAATTTTGTTTGTCTTATATCTAATTGTGGGATTGTATCAACAGTTTAATTTGGTAAGCAGGATATTAAATATTGTTTTAACAATATTTGATATTCCAAAATTTTTGTAATTTGATTCTCTAAAATATGATCCAAATATGCTATATATATAAATTTTATGATTTTATTGATTCGCAAAATAAGTATACAAATAATAAAAATAAAATCATAATTTCATTAAATTTATGGATTTCACCAAAATCTCTCATTTGGTTGATCACAAAGTTAGTTGTTTATTAAAATAAAAATATCACACTTGAGTGGCGATGTATAGGAATAGGATAGTTTTATCATAAATAAATTAAATATTATTTAATTGTTTGCTAAATAATTTTTTTGAATTTTGAATTATATTTAAATTAGCAATATAATTAACTTTTAAAAATATAGTAATCATTTATTACGCCATATAAATGGATTATTTAGATCATAATTACGGTGAATTAGTTCTAAACTTTAAGGATACATTTGGAATTTATTATGTCTTTTTTGAAAATGATTTTAAATATATTTTTAGAGTTCATGGAATTTATTCTAAAAGTTAACTTTTTTTGGATTGAGACATCTAAAATTTATGGAATTAAAAATCTAGAGATACAAATATTAAATATACAAATTTCAATTTTTTTTAAAATAAATAAAACTTTTTAAGGATTTCTCAATCATTACAATGATTAACAGTCGTGTATAAGCGTTTTAAACAATAGAATAATGAGGACTTAGATTTTTTTCACTGAAAAACAAGCATAAAATAATACTCAATTTGGCATATACAGATTGGATTACGTGTAAAAGAATCCATACTCCAAAGCATTTTCCCCAACATAGACAAAACCATTGTTTTTGTTGAGCTGATGCGCTCTACTGACTGTGTGCGAAGAACACAAACATTCGCAAGGTTGCATAATTTGCAGAATTAAGCCTCAGGAGAGCGAGAATTTTTATATTAAAACAAAGGAAAAGCATGGCTTATCCTTATCGTTTCTTCTTCATTGGCATTAAAATGAAGCAATTTGTCCATGACGAAATCACTATTAGGCCTCTTGAGAGACACCAAAGTTGTTTGAATTATAGACAAATCTCTCAATTATTAAACAAAAAAGGATCTGAAACAATCAAATAAGCGAACTCTAAAATTCTATTCCCATTCTTTATCAACTCATAAGACACATTAATCATTGCAATTCAAGTTTATACGCTACTAAAACAAACAGCTAGAATGACATGAACATTACCAGAGAATTTACTGAAAGAAAACTACTGGTATATGCGTCATTTTACCTTGGATGTTGCTTCTTTCAATATAGCATGCATATTCCTGCTCGCGTCCGCAACATTTTCCTTGTCAAATAGAGCTGAAACAACTGCAACACCTTCCAGATTTGATACATTGGTTTCCATCACAGCACCTGCATTTGAAGCATTGATGCCACCAATGGCGACCACTGGTAACTTAGAAGCCAAACAAACAGCTTTTAACCCGTCCAAACCAACAGTGGTATTGTTTGCCTTTGTATTTGTTGGATATACACCACCACAACCAATGTAGTCAGCACCATCAATCCATGCTTGTTGAGCTTGCTCGGGTGTTTTGCATGATACGCCAATTATCTTTTCAGGACCAAGAAGAGTGCGGGCGACAAGAGCAGACATGTCAGATTGACCAACATGCACCCCATCGGCATTACACGCAAGGGCTACATCAACTCTGTCATTTATCAATAGAGGCACTCCATGGGAATGACAAATTTCAACACATGCCTTGGCTGTTTCCAAAAAACTCCTTGTCTCTGCGTCCTTCTCCCTGAGAAGTAAATTCCCGATTTAACAAAATTATTTTTTTGTATATAAATGGTTTAACGTGGACAGTTACTCCATATAGTTCAAGATGAGAATTGAAAACTATATTTATAAACATATTGAACCTCTTTAAGGTAATAATAAAGAGTGCATGAAAGAAACAAACTTCTATTAAACTGTGTTGTTAATCAAATAGACAGAAAAATATTTGAAATATGTTTGCCTGGATCATGTAAATTAATGAAAAGAAAATTATGAGAGGAAAAGACAGAAATCTTCAATTAATGAAAACTAAGTTTCCTACCATCATGCACCTGGTAGAAATGGAAATTCAAGAACATAGAAGTAACAAGTACTAGGAAAATTACTTTCAGTTTGCTTTTTACAAGTTTATTTTGAAAAGGGAAAAAACAAGTCTTCTGAAAAACATATAACCGGCAGTCAAACCTCAACTGAACAATGGTTGCACCTCCTCCTATTGCGGCTTTAACGGCATCCACCATAGATCGTCCCCACTTTTTATTCATTTGAGAATCCGTAACAGCATATAAAAATAAGTCACTTGGATTGAATGTCTCTTGTCTACAATTGTGAATACCATTCTTAAGCTTTAAAAGGTGGTCAAAGGGGCCTTGACGCCCATTTCCAATGAAAATGTCTTTGCTGTATTCCAGGGCAGTCTCAACATATCGTTTAGCTATCTGCCCAAATTCAAGAAACAAAATGACTAGGGTGCTCATCTACCAGTTAAAGGAAGGGCAGAAAAGATAAACGAAAAGAAAATAACAGATGAAGAGTCGGAAAAAGGGAATGGAGATCTCATAGATAGTATGCACACCACAACAGCTAGCAAAGGATGTCAAGCATCATCATAACTCCCTCCCCCATGCCCCTCGTTTGTCACTCTCATGCAGAAGAAGGAAAACAGTTGCTTTTTTAACATGCACAAACTAGAACATTTTTCTCAACTCGATCCCACGGAACTTTAACAACCATCTTAATCACTCATGAAACAATGGACTTCTTGCTGTTAACAATTATGCGAATTCTTGATTGCTAGAATTATTTCCATCAAGCAAATTTAGATTACTCCAAAGTTAAAACTTGGTGCTAAAAAAAATTTGAAATACTATACCAATACTATATTTTGCATTCCACTCTGGACTTTATGAATCAAGTACTTCAGATACTTTCACTGTATTCATGAATCACAAAATCTATGAATTTAGCTGGGAAATGAAAACAGAACCACTATATAACTATTGATTACCTTAACAGCTGAGAGCATTGGGGAACCTTTTGCCAGCTCAGCTGCTATGCATGATGCCAAAGTGCAACCAGTACCATGGGTGTTGCGAGTTTTTATGCGAGATGCGCGCAGCTCATGATAGTTTTTGCCTGCAAAGCAAGGCATTCATTGAGTGAAATTTACATCTTAAAGGCTAACGTTGACACTTCATGTGTACAGTGCACATCAAATGAAGGAAACAAGAATATCATTGTTGCTCAAGAATTCTGTAAAACTTATGTTTACCATCAAAGAAAATGTCAACCGCATCCAAAGAGTCAGGGAGGTCACCACCTTTGACAAGTACGTTTCTGAATGACAACAAAGAAATAGAAAAATACATAATAATTTCACAACTAGCTAATTGAAATTCCAAGAATTAAAAGAAAATTCCACTAACCGAGGACCTATAGCATGCAAAAGTTTCGCAGCAGAGCGCATATCAGCAACTGTTTTAAGGGGCGTGCCACCAAGTAAAGCAGATGCTTCTTTTATATTTGGAGTTATGATGTCAGCCATGGGAAGAAGCTCCTCTCTGCATTCAAGAGCCAGATTTAGAGATTCTGTGAATTTTCCAATATTACAAATGCACAAACAAAAGCTCCAACTAAAGATGAAGAAAAACAGAATGACACTCTGATATATAACACACATCAATTAGTTTCAGCATATTACAGCCCTTTTTGGCAAGTTATCTCATCAAGGATCAAAATGTCAACCACTCCAATTTCTTATCCACGTCAGACATTAGTTGTTTTAGAATGAGTTTGGTGGCCAAAAATATGGACAGATAAGATTCAAGAAGCACATGCAACAGATAGAGATAGAGGCCAGTAAAATCCCAAGCAATAAAAATGCATGGACAAGGGGCAAGTTAGCTGAATGAGTTTTCTTAGAAGCACATAAACAAATTGACAGAACCATGGTTATTAATTTAAAAACACAAGTTTTTAACTTACTGAAAACAAGAAAGAATGGAAGGACCAGCTAGCACATCTCCACTTGTAGATACCATGACAGGATCAACCACCAAAGCTGCCTTTAATTATCTAATTAAGTCAAACCAAAAGCCACTAGAATATGTAATGACGCAATAAAGCAATTAAGTTTCATTTCTGCACACCTCGAACAGGAAACTCCCTCAAACTCTGACGAAGAATATTGACTATGCCAATAGAAGGCAGCATGCCTGTTTTCACCTGACATCATTTCATAATCAGATTGCCATTAAAAGTCACATTTGAAATATATGATTTGGAAGGAATGGACAAAAAAAAAAAAAAAAAAAAAAGCAGCATTGCCTTTTTACCTGAGCATCATTTCATAATCAAGATTGGCCATTAAAAGTCACACATTTTGAAATATATGAATTTGGAAGCGAATGGACAAAAAAAAAAAAAAAAAAAAGAAAAAGATGTCAGCATGATTGGAACATGTTAAGGCGGTAACCGACAGAAAGTTAGTATTCAAAAGAGGTTGTCTCCCATCATCAAGCTTATCAAACGAGTAAACCCCTTCTCCCTTCCCTCCCCCCCACCCCCCCCCCCCCCCCCCCCCCCCCCCACCCCACCGCCCACACACACAAGAACAAGGTTTCAAGAATGTTCCCCACCCCACCCCCAACACACACACAGAGACAAGTTTCAAGAATGTACATGGTCTACCATAACTGACACCGCCACAAGAGAAACCAAGACAAGTTCGAAATAGTACCCATAATAATTTTTAAATTAAACTTACTACATCAACTTGCATATCAGATAGCACTGACTTCAACTGTTCGGCAACAAAATCCTCCGGCACAATGTTTACACCCTAACAACCAAAAAAGGAAAAAGTACAAAACAGATCAAAAAACAAATGTAATGGAAATTACAAACACGAACTTGACAAAGTCACCAAATTACTTCCAATATATGGTTTTTTTCAGTTTCATTTACTAAATCTCAAAAATACTAAAGCCAAATAATTTCTGCATGAATCCCATTAAACAAAAGTACAAAAACTAAAATTTATAACTTCTCTTTTCTCAAATTTCTCAGTTGCCAAGCAGAATCTAATTTCATTGACCAAACAAAACACGATTAAAGTGAGACCTGAACTCCAACAGTGTTCTGTGCAGTAACAGCAGTTATAACAGTAGAACAAAAAACTCCACGGGCAGCACATGTCTTAAGATCAGCTTGAATTCCAGCACCAGCACCAGAATCAGAGCCAGCAACAGTCAACACGTGTGGTATTTTGGCTTTGGAGGCATCATTTGATGCTGGAGCACCATTTCCTTCCATTGCCATGAAAGTTCTCGTTTGACTAGGATAAACTTTCAAATTTAAGAATCTTGAACTCAGAACAATATGTTTTCGATGCAGTGGCAAAAAATTCTGAGAAAAGTTAACCGTTCAAAAACAGAATTTATGCAAAATAACTAAAATCAGAAAACGTCTCAACTTCAGTTGATACACTCAAATAAATTGAGACTATAAACGCAGGTGTTTATTAGCTGAGAAAGAGCAGGAAATGAAAGAAGAAGAATCAAATTCTGGAATTGAATTCAGAAATATTGATCATATAGAGCATACTAAAGAATCAAACAACTACAATTTGGTAGCTAAGAAACGACATCAAACAGCGAGATACTGCTATAAATTGATTTATGTTCGACAGAAAAAGAAAAAACTAGAAATCCAATCTTCTTTTTGTACGTGGAATTCCATTTTCTCGCCTTTTCTTATTAACAAACACCTTTTCTTTCAAATGTGTTTCAAAAATGTGAATAGATGCAAGTGGATAGTTAGTTACCTTATTGCAGATGGAAGAAGAACATGGGAAGACTCCACAGTAGGCCATCGGAGAGAGATACGCTGAAGCCTTCATAATCATATCCGTGTCGCGGTTTTGCTGTCAATCGGTGCTGGGTCGGATTGAGCCCGACGCTTACTTCAAGATCTGGCCCAATAAAGTGGCCCTCTCATGTATACGATGGTGAACGGGCCAGGTTGATAAGAGCTAGATGCAAGCCTGAACTGAGACTGAATAGTTCAATTCAAACATTTTCATGACTCTTTAGACTGGATTGTCATAACGAGTTCATATCGGATTTGACTCATTTCCCTCACCAGGGTCTAATTGAACTGAGTTAGCTCGTGAGCTGTTGGAGTTCGGATTTGAAAAAATTTAGCTTCGATCGAGTTTGAGCCCATTCATTAGCAAACGAGTCAAACTCAGTCAAATGATATTTGGTTCGAAATAATTTATATATAAACTCAAGTCAAATGATATTTGGTTCCGAAATAATTGTAGTATATATATTATATATATATATATATATATAGATATAGTATATCTTAAATTTATTACGTATCGAATTTAGAAATTTTCAAATTGAAAATTGAGCTTTTAAAGCGCAAAGCGAAAGTTGAGCTGTATGATTGATAATATATATATCTTAAATTTATTACGGTATCGAATTTAAAATTTTTCAAATTGAAATTGAGCTTTAACGCAAACTAAAGTTGAGCTGTATGATTGATTATATGGTTAGAGTTAATACGAATATCTTCTATTTAATAATCATATTAAATATTTAAATATAAATATAATATAAAAAATTAAATAGGCAACACAAATATAATATATATAATTTATTTAATTAAACAAATCATATATAAATTGCATACGTATGAAGTTATAAATGTTATAATCCGCATGGTGTATATATATTATACACAGAAATTTCCTTTCTATATTTATTAAACTTATTATGAATTGATATTATAAGATTGATTCATTTAATATGTACATAATAAAAAATATAACATCGAAAATAGTATTTATATAATTTTATTAAGAGAATACTAAATATAAGTCAAATACATAATAAATATATTATAGATATGATTATAGTCGAGTTTAAAAAAAATAATCGACCTTAATTCAATCTAAGTTTATTAAGTTTACACGTACTTGGTTGAAAATAATATTTGAATTTGTAAAATAGAGTTCGAATTCGACAAATTTACATTTGACAGTTTAAAAAAAATTACTCTTTTATTGAAACTAAATTCATCTATTAAACGAGGTAAAAACTACATCTCAATAACAAATTAAAATATTACCAGATATATTTAATTAAAAAATATAAACAGTGTTTTTCATTTTCGTGAGAAAAAGTGAAGAATCCCGCCATTGCACTTCCCGGTTTGTTTTTTGAAGAGCGCGCTTTTGCTCCTTCTCAGCCTCTCTTCCCGACTCGAGCCCTCATCCCTCTATCTCTCTGTCTCAAGTCCAAAGTTCTCACATTATTCGCCGCCGATTAACAAAACCAGCTTAGTTCGATTATTCCTTATCGGAGTTTTCTCTCTATGAATCCCTAAAATATCCATACTCGAAGATCAGATTCTGTTAGATCAACGCATTGCTAGCGAGTACGTGCAAAACTTATTTTGTTGAATTTCAGTCATTGTTCAAGTTATTTCTGAGATTTTCTCTTACACATCTTATTTTCTACCATTACATTTCCGATTGAGCCTTTTTTAGATTTTTCCTTTTAATGTTTAAAATTTGAAGTTTGAGTTAAGGGCTTGTTTGGATGTCCTATTGAATTGAAATGCTTCGTTTCAGGTTTTCAGATATTGCTGTTTCTCTTACACATCTTATTTTCTGCTCGTTGTGCAAAAACGATTTAAAATTTCATTTTGTTGTTAATTTGCATTTGGTAGCAAAGTTCGTCACCTAAAAGTGAACGATAAATAACTATATTCATCTACCCTTTTGTTTATATCATAAGAAAAGTTTGATTGTTTGCTATTGTTCTTATTTTAAGTTGGATAGCCTGAATTCAGTTCGTGCCTTGTCACTTGTGAATTCGCAAGAATGATTTGAATAAGTTGAGAATAACCTAGCCGTCAACATCAGTTGAAATTGCGCAGAAATAGAACAATTCAAAGACTTGATTGCAGACGTTGGCATGGCCCGATTTCTAAATGAAACGTATATTTGTTACTAAATTGTTATATGTATTAAAGGGGTGCATATAGAACAATGAAGTTAGAGGAATTTCAGTCCTGTTTTCTTAGAAATTATCTTTTATTGCAAATTTGTGGACTGGAAGTATTGTGCTGTCTGATTACAGTAACGTAAAGTTGAAATCATGCTCAATTCTTTAGCATAGCTGAAGACCATATGACTCTTGAACCCCAAAACTGGGATTGAATGACTACTTAACCTAGGAATTGTAACAGGATGTACATGTCATGATAAAACCTTTTAGGATGTTTTGGTCCACATTGGCAATGGAATGAGAATAGAAATGGATGTTAAATCCAAAGAATGCTATTCCAACTTCCAAGTACAACCTTTAAATAAGGAAATAGAATCTGTTGGTTATCTTAAGAATCATATTTGATAACAGGAATTCTTTCAATATAAAATAAAGTTATTCAAAATTTCAAATATAGAAATAGCAAAAACAATTTTGAATTTCTTTTCATCTTGAACCAAACCAAAAATTGGATTCCTATTTCAAGAATTGGATGCCATAACCAATTCTTAGAGTGAACCAAATGTTATATTTGTGTTTAGTTTGGTTTGACATATTAAGAATTGTACTTCTTGATTTATTGCATATTTTATCTTCTTCTCCGTTAACTTTTCCTCTCTCTGACTAAATCACATAACTTTCGAAGAATTAGTGTTACGAGTTGCATGCCTGGTTGATTATCGCATAGGCTGCATGCATTTGTTACAGAATAGTTATATGAATATTTATATATGCTATGCAATTGGGATTAGTAAATAGTAGAGCCACAAGTTTCTGAACACTGATGTAATCGATGGCAAATATCTTCAATTTTCAATACAAGTTAGAACTTAGCCGCTTACCCTTAAAATTGGTCTTAGGTAAAGCTTTTGTTTTCAGTAACTTTGTATCTTTAGTTCCTGGTATATTGTTTGTTGTTCAATGTCCCCTTTGACTTTGTATTGTGTGATTTGCATATAGGCCTTTTCTATTTATGGATGTGTTACCTAAGTGAAGCAAAGCCTCCTGAAAATTTTTGTTATGTAACCGCAAGGGTTATGGAGCATTCAAACCACATAAATGATGTTTGTGGGGTTTATTGTCTGCATTATTTGCTGTTCTAGGTTTTGGACAACACTGACTTTATATTTTATATCCTAAAGCAGGTTTTTTTTTTTTGTGTAATGATGTGGTTGCTTAGTGTTGAGAGAATTACGAGAAGTAGGCGAGTAACTGATGACTAACGAAAGTCGAATGAGGAAAAAGTAATAGTTTTCTTCTATTCACTTATCTTAATCGGTTCCATTATTTTAGTCTTTCTTCTATTCATTTGGTTCCATTTATGATTTAAATGCAGTCTAAGCAATTCAAGTGAAGCTTACAAATGTGATGAGAAGCTCCCTAAACTTAATTGGTCCCAACATGTCAATGCACATGATAATTTTTCATCTCAGAAGAAGTTTTTGAGTTCAAATTTCCTTTTCTCACTAGAAAGCCAAAAACGTCATATTGAAGGTTCCATGGCTATAAGGTAAATTATTTTTGGAGACCATTTCATTTTTCTTTAAGTTTTATGGAGTCTGATTCAAAATGCATCTATGTGTATATCCATTTTCAAGTTGTTATAGAATCTGTTCTCTTGTTGTGTGCTTATATGTGCTGAATATTTTAAATTTGGAGGATACGTAATATGCCATTCAGTGATCTGGGAATCTTTATTGTGTCTAAGATGGGCTGAATTTCTACAGTATAGCATCTCGCTTGAAAACTGTAGACCAGTTGCAATTTTTATGACTGTAGTTCCATCTTCTATAGATAAGGAAACCTTTCACTTTGGAATCACATCACTAACAGTTTTACTGATTTTGTTATAATCCTTTCTCATTCAGTTAAATTTTTTGGTACTGGTCTATTTGAGCATGGAATTATTGAACTTAGGCTTTCTGGTTTTGGTTTCTGGGTTTCTGATACTATAAAATTTACAACTGTAATTGTCCCTTTTAAGCAATATCTTAGTTCATAAATTGGGAGCCAATGGTATGAAAAAATTTGGGAACTTGGATCAATCTTCAGAAATCTGAGATCATTTTCATTTACGCTCTTCTTCTTCAATCCATCAATTCTTCTAAGACATTCTCTGTCCCATTCAGGTTATCCTGCTGTCAGATTCAGAGTTTTGAACAACTGCAGAGTCCACAAATTGAAAAGGTAAAAATGTGTGGTAGTTCTACTTTTGGCACCAAATAAGGGTTTAATGTCTGCCATAATTTGAGTTTTCCTTTAGTAGTTTCTGTTTGATTCCAATTTACTTGGTGGAATTGCGAGTGTCCCGTACCTTGGAAAAGAAAAACAAGGGAAAAAAATGTAAAGCAAATCCTGCACTGGTCCCTTTAATCTGTAACTATGGCATGCCCATCTTAACCTTTCATTAAAATTTTATGCTACTCCCATGGAGGCTTCCCATATGATATAGTTGAGGGTTGGAATTTGTGTTGTTGGTTGTGTGTTGCTGAGATTACATATACCTTCTCATTCCCATCCTGTTAGCCAACTTTTGTATTTATATGATATCATGATACAATGTTATTTCACTCGGAGTCAAAACATTCTCCAATTTTATGTACTCAGTATTTCATGTTTTAACTTGCATATTCCATTCATCAAAATATGAGGTTTTCTTATAGGAAATCCTTTCATGTGGAAAACTTTTGGCAGGCTTGGCATACTCTTTCCAGTCTTCAGATTTCTTGCAGGAGCTACTTACAACCTGGCAAAACTGGTCCCACTAAGGATGCACGAAATGACCTAAAAAGCTCATCTAACAATTGCAAGTATTCTGAACGAACCCTTGTACATCAAAACTTTAGTGAATCAAGAGTGAAGAATAATGAATCTGTAAGGTACATGGGGAATTCTTTCCCACAGGACAATGCTAGAGCTGCCGAAGCTAGAAACAGTGTAGGGCAGCAAACTGAGATTAAGGCATCGGGGGCTAACAACACTCTGTCTAGAGATTTTGCTGGTTCATTCAACAATCATAATATACATACTAATCAAAATAGGGAGTCTGCAGAAGCTTCAGCTGATTTTATTGATGATGATGATCTACTCGGGGTAATAAATACTGGTATTTCCTAGTGGTTTTATTAAAATTGAGAGTGCTAAAATGATTGCATTTAAACCTTGGCATGGTTTCTCTTGGTTGGAACTTAAAATCTGAATTAACTTAATACAATCAACAGGAAATTTTCAACTATAATGACAAATCTGGTTATGGAAACAGTTTTTCTTAGGTTCACCAGATAAAATACTAATATTAACCAATCAAATTGTTATTATATTTTGTATTGTTTTATTCATGCAAATTCTATTTGTAACTGTTCAAGCTTTTTACTAAATTTAGACAAATGTTTTGATACTATTTTCTTTCTCTAATTAACATTGTGACTAGATTCCATGGTTTGTCCATTTTAAGTCATAACTTTTGGTCTGGGTTTCATCAGTGCTGATTTCCCTTCATTCTTCTCATTATTGATATTGACTTGGTTTCAGAATATTGATGTGGACCAAATAGTTATTGAGCATTACCAGTCTACCTGCACACCTCAACCATCAATTTCCAAATTTCCACCCATAACTCCCACTTTAGATAAAAGCAATTTTGCAAGATCAGAGGAGAATCTTTTGCCACCTGAATTGTGCCAAAACTGCAATCATGGAGTTAAGGTGTAGTATTTGTACTATATTCTGTTATTCATTCTATTTTTTACAATGTTTGAACACTTGTAATTCCTTAAATTGATACAGCTAGGACTTTGCCCAGAAGCTAATAATCATTTACAAGAAATGAAGGACATGCTAATTGCTGTGTCAAATGAACTGCTTGACAATACTAACCTGACTCCGTCGCAGATAGAGAAGCTTCGCCTAGATAGGTTGCACCCCTTACCCTTTCCTCCCTCATTAATGCTTATTTCATTGATGTGTTATTTGTAAATCTGGATCTATGCTGAAGCAATGAAGAAGTGCAAATCCATATATGGACACAGCGAAGGGAAGGAAATAGTTGGGTGAAAAGAGTTCAGAAAACATGGAATGGATAAACTGGATAGCGAGTGTGCACTTTTGCTTCCATTTTTTTAGCCCCCTATTATTGGTTTTCTTATACATGTCTGTTTTTGTGTTCATCATTAGGTTACAACTGAACAAGCAAATTCCGCAGCTTGAGAGATATTTGCGTGATGATGAAAGGAAAAAATCACATTTTTCTGCTTCCACAATGACTGGGAATTTCCAATATGAAACACCACAGTCCACTGCTTGCAGAATAGATCCCATGAGATTTGATGCACATGTTCATTTGCGAAGTGAACCTGCTGGCCGTGAAAATTGGAATCTACCATCAGTTTCATTCCCTTCTGTAGATAGGCTTGGTTTTTCATCTGGTCCTATAGAGAGGGAACCTTATGTTCCAAGGTTCATTGAAGTTAATTATATTGAAGGTTCAAATGACCCAAAGTGGAGCAGTAAAAATTTTGCTTGGACAAAAAAGCTGGAGGTGCTCATCTACACTGGATTATAATCGGTTTTTATTTTTCATTACCTGTTCTGATTGAGGTTTGCTTGATGCTCTATTTAGGCCTATAACAAGAAAGTGTTTGGAAATCACTCATTTCGACCCAATCAAAGGGAGGTGATTAATGCCACAATGAGTGGATTTGATGTTTTTGTTCTAATGCCAACTGGAGGTGGAAAGAGCTTGACGTATCAGGTAAAACAGCCTGTCATAATGTCATTGCATATTTCTTATTTAAACACCATATTAGTTTCAGAGTCTATCAATTGTTTGGATGTTTCAATTTGCTTAGTTTGTCTGCCATCATTTTAAAATTTTCCGGGTCTAAAGAAACATTTCACTGACATTTGATGCTACAAAGTCAGCTTCTTCGTACTAGCAATCCAGCCTTCATTGATATTGGGAAATTATCTCTCTTTTTGTTCTTACCATGAATCTTAATACGTATTCTATTATCATGCAGCTGCCTGCTCTAATTTGTCCAGGAGTAACCTTGGTAATTTCGCCACTTGTTTCACTTATCCAAGATCAAATAATGCATCTCTTGCAGGTATTGTTATTGAACTGTTCAAGCCTTTCTCTGTCCAGGTTGCTACTGCTTGCTCATGTAGAACTACTCATTAATTTTATTGGTTTGTGCTTTAGGTGAATATATCTGCTACTTACTTAAGTGCCAGTATGGAGTGGACTGAACAACAGGAGATCTTAAGGGAACTCTGTTCTGATAATTGTAAATACAAGTTGTTATATGTCACACCAGAGAAAGTTGCCAAGTGAGTGTTTAAGCAAATTTCATGAATTGCACATACCTTCTTTGTTCATTGACTTGTATTCAAATATGTTATAGCAATGCAATATGCCAAGTAGGTTCATGAATGGAATTTCACTGGGTGCTGCTGCTGATCTTGTTTTCATTTCAATGAGATTCTAACAAACAATGGACGCCATTTTTTTAAATAGTTGTCATACCATATAGATCTGAATCATTTAGGAAGGTTGGTGCTAACCTTACATCAATCAATTATTTTATAATGCTTTTCTGCTGTTTGAAATCTTATCTAGGTACTGGTTTTGCTTATTCATGTTCAGCATTTGGATTTCCCTTTATCAACCCCTTTTCTAGACCTTACGGAATTTTTTTTTCTCCTTATTGTTCCTCTTTCTCATTGAAGGCTCCCCCAAAATCACCTTTTTTAACTCCTTGTTTTTCTTTATGGCTGGCTTTGGGTCTCCCCTATACCAACCAACAAATTGTTTTAATATCCCTGGCTGGGGGAGATTTTTAATGGGGCCAAAAAGTCCTTTGGGTTATACGGCTGTTTCTTTCATTTAATAATTTGGGGTTTGTGCCATACTTAGAGTTCCAAATTTGCCTCCACATTATTGCTTCATATTTGAGCTAGGTTTGCTTAAAACTAAATAGTAAACTTTATTTGCAGTAAGCTTATGAATTGGATGATTAAACCATAGAATAACTATTTATTATATATATGTTGTTAATGTATTTTGTTTTGCGCTAAACTGTCTCAAAAATGAACTAAGACTTTCCTCAAATGTAACTCACTCATGTAGATTTTAAGTTTATTACCTTTTATAGTCAATATAATATTTCTAGAATAATTTTCTTTCATCGTTTTTGTGAATACATTTCTGAAACAATTTTTTAATTGTATATTTTGAAATGATACTGTTGTTAACATCAAAAATTGAAAGAAGAAAATTAACATAACTATTTCAAAATATGAAAAAGCATTGTAAAAATTATGATGAGCACTATAAGTAATATTCTTTTGGTTAGCATTTTGTAAAATAGAAAAAACATTGCTGCTTAATGTGAAATTATACAAGAAATATAGTTACAACTTACAAGCAATGGCTTTATTTTCTATGCATGTGTACTTATGCGCCAATGCTAAAAGACCCTGGTCCCTCATAATTTAAATAATAAATTATTGATCTAGGGTAATTTTTTAAAATTTTTTTATTATATTATTGTGGTCCAATTGAATTCTGTTTTCTGATTGCAGAAGCGATGTTCTTTTGCGACATTTGGAAAGCTTAAATGCTCGTGGCTTGCTTGCCAGGATTGTTATTGATGAAGCTCATTGTGTGAGTCAGTGGGGACATGATTTTAGACCGGATTACAAGGTTGTTGCTTTTAAATCCCTTTCCGCTTTATAACCCAGTGCAGAGGAGGGCATTCTAATGATCAGGTAATCTGTGGAATAAACAGGAACTTGGCATCTTGAAAAAGAAATTTGAGAAAACTCCTGTGTTAGCCTTAACGGCTACTGCAACAGCAAGTGTAAAGGAAGATGTTGTCCAAGCTCTTGGTCTAGTTGACTGCATTATTTTCCGACAAAGTTTTAATCGCCCAAATTTATGGTAAGTGGTAAATAAATATGCATTGGCACTATTTTTAAAATCCCAACTTATTGTGAACACTGCAGGTATTCCGTGATCCCCAAGACAAAGAAGTGCTTAGATGACATTGACAAGTTTATTAAAGAAAATCATTTTGATGAATGTGGAATTATTTATTGTCTTTCAAGAATGGACTGTGAAAAGGTTGCTGAAAAACTTCAGGTTTGTATTCTGTCTTGATATCTTATTCTCATGGTTATAGTTTCATTTCAAACATATATCTGATCTCTATAAATTTCTTGGATCTGTTAATGAACTTCACTTTGTTTCTTTTTACTGTTATGGTCCTTGTCATGGTAGAAAGGTAACCACTAACCAGTTTTATGTCAGCTATTAATTTACTCGATATGTGCAAGGAAAAGGAATATTCTCATTCTCATATAATTTTGATAATAGGGGTTTTCTTGTACATTTTTTGTTATATAGAAGTCTTTTTCCCCTACTTAGAATGTGCAGGGTTCTGTCATTGTCATTATTATTACAGCTATAACATTAAATGATAACCAATTCATGTTATTTTAGCTTTTGTTTGCTCAAGAATGTGCCTTAATTGAACAGGAATGTGGACATAAAGCAGCATTTTACCATGGTAATATGGATGCTGCACAACGAGCCTTTGTCCAGAAGCAGTGGAGCAAAGATGAAGTCAATATAATTTGTGCCACAGTGGCATTTGGAATGGGTATCATTTATTCTCATTTACTCTTTATCTTGATCAACTAAAGGAACCTTGTAGTAATATAAGAATATTACAGGTATCAATAAACCAGATGTCCGCTTTGTAATTCATCATTCTCTTCCAAAATCTATCGAAGGTTACCATCAGGTACAATATATTCTTATTTTTGAAACTTGTTGGTACATGATGTTGATCCAAGTGTCAATTTAACATTAAGGTGCAATAGGATCTGTTTTATGATGTACAACTTAGAAAAGTGCAATACAATTAATTTTTGGGTTTTATAACTGTGTTGGCATGATGGATTCTTGCCATGTATTGCAGGAGTGTGGCCGTGCTGGTCGAGATGGTCAGCGCTCATCTTGTGTGTTGTATTACAGTTATAGTGACTATGTAAGTTAATTGGGTAAACTAAGTCTGTAATGTGTCTTCTTATAGTTATAGTAATGATGCATCCTTACTTGCCTCCTTTTCAGTTTCTGATCCATATTTTTCTACATTTTCTCTTCTTTCCCAGATACGTGTCAAGCATATGATTATCCAAGGACAGATGGAGCAAAGTCCCTGGACTCCTGCATATAATCGTTCTAATATGACAAATTCAGAGAGGGTCCTTGAGAAAAATACTGAAAATCTTCTGCGAATGGTACCTTGATACAAGCCTTTTGATGTTGTGCTTACTATCACTATAATTGTCCTTACCCTAATGGAGTCTAAAACATGACTTCTTAAATTATTTCAGGTCAGTTATTGTGAAAATGATGTTGACTGTCGACGTCTACTTCAACTGTTACATTTTGGAGAAAAGTTTGATTCTGGAAACTGCAAAAAAACATGTGATAATTGTTCCACGACCAAAACTTTAGTGGAGAAGGATGTCACTGAGAATGCAAAGCAATTGGTTTGAAAACATTTCAGCCCCTTAACAAATATTTCCTGCCTTGGCCTGTCTTATATCAAATTTGTTGTCATTATTGTAATGTGTTACATCCCTGGCATGTTTGTCCAGTAACATTTTTACCGTGTCTTGCTTAGGTTGAACTGGTGAAGTTGACAGGCCAGCAGTTTTCATCATCTCATATTTTAGAAGTCTACAGGGGCTCCTTAAATCAATATGTATGTCTGAACAACAAAGACTACACACACATTCTTATATTCATTACTTGTTATGTCTTGAAGAATTGCCTGTTTTTTCTTCCAAAACTAGGTCAAGAGATACAGACATGAGAAGTTGAACCTTCATGGAGCTGGAAAACACCTTGCCAAGAGTGAAGCTTCCCGAATATTGCGTCATCTTGTTACTGATGATTTTCTTGTGGAGGATGTTAAGAAAAGTGATATTTATGGATCTGTTTCATCAGTATTGAAGGTACTTCTAATTTTTTTAATTTTTTCTACTGCTTCAGTTCCTTGCAACTGAGAAGCAACTCTATACTCAATGTATTATTTTATGTGCGAGAAAATAAGAGATCTTTGTCACATGATGTTTGTTTTAGGTGAATGAATCCAAGGCTTACAGTCTATGCTCCGGTCGGCAGACTATCATACTAAGGTTTGTCTTTTATATCATGCTTTAACTTGTGAGCACATCTGCTTTAACAAGAATTTGGCATCTGAAATGGCAAGTGCTATATATAATGAGTGTCTACTTTGGGTTGACTTGGCACGTTCATATATTTGTTATAAATCATCTTTATGCTAACATTTTCATTACATTACAATAAATGCTTGAAGTCACTATTTTCTTCACATCTGATCATGATATATTGTATTGTCTATTGTAGCAAATATGTTATATCATGATTATATGTGGCGATTGGCTATTCTTCTCAAAGATTCGTGTAAATGCCAAGCCTAGATGAAGTAGAACCATCTCCTGCACCAGTTCATTTGTTTTATTTGGTTTCTTGTCAGGATTAAATCTATAACTCTTGATTGGCCAGTTATCTACCCATTTAGAATACAGATGTTACCAAGACAAATTAGACAAGAATGCTACCGGAGTTGGTCTTAGATTGGTTCATTAGATGCCTAATTCTGGAATTAATATCTTTCTAAGTAATAAAATTTAGTATTTATGGGCACCTGTCAGTCTTTCTTTGTATAAAATGTAAAGATCTAAGGATCTTCACTAATAACTCTAGCTTTATGCTTATCTTGTTCAAATCCTTGGATTTTATGATCCTGTGTATTTGTTTCATTAGGCGAGACATTCTTTTTGCCTACCTGATATACACAATTATGACACTCGCACTGACTGCTCAAGTCCTTTGCAGATTCCCTTCAGCCGTAAAACCATCAAAACAGAGCAAATTTAGTGTGACCCCTGCAAAAGGCTTGCTGGTATCTGGGAAGCAAAGTCCCCCACGTGTTGATACCCCTGCACAACCTCAATCCGAAGGCGATTTTGCTCCTGCACAACCTCAACCTGAAGGGGACTTGGTATTTTCGAATTGATTTATCAATTTTCCATTTTAGTAACCTCTCCTCTGAATCTGCTCATATTCTTTATGTATTGTGCTACAGAATCTATCTGCCAAACTATATTCTGCTTTGAGGATGCTCCGAACTATCCTTGTTAAAGAAGCTGGGGAGGGGGTTATGGCGTACCACATATTTGGGTGAGCTCTTGACTGTTTGCTGCTTTATCTGTGTTGCATACAAATATAAATTTCTTTGAAACTGGTTTTCGAAAAATGGATGTAAAGGGTAGATCCTTTAAAACTCGCCTGTTATTCAGGCTTTAAATTTCCGTGTCAAGCCCTTCTAAGTTTTTTATTCTTTTTAAAAAAAAAAAAATGAATTTTACGACTCATCACTGTATGTCCTGAGAAGTTCCTATTTTCCTTCATTTAGAAATGCCACACTGCAGCACCTAAGCAAAAGAATTCCGAGAACAAAAGAAGAACTGCTCGAGATAAATGGCATTGGAAAGTAAGTTTTAAAGTTACGTATGATTTAGGTTATGTATTGAATTCTTAAGAGGTTTAATGTATATTATGGCTTCAACCAGAGTCAAGGTAAGCAGGTACGGAGATCGTTTGCTAGAAACGATTGAATCTACTATAAAGGAATACTACAAGACAGACAGGAATAGCAGCAGTAGCAATGACAGCAATGATTCAATGAAGAGGAGAAGAAACGAAAATGCCAATCCAAATGGATTTGTGGAAGACGATGACTACACCAAAAGCACTGGTCGGTCAAAAAGAAGGGCAGCAAAATTCCAGAACAAAGATCCGGACGTTCATAATTCCAGTAAGACAGATTACAACTGCCTGGATGATGACCTGGACTTTCAGGATTTGTGTTATGATCAGGACATTAATAGCTTAGAAATTGAGGCTGAAAAGAATTGTACAGGAAGAGTCTTACCCTCATGGTCAACACCAGGAAACAAGGTAAAAAGTTCTAACCTGTTTCAATAGTATTGCTATGAAGAGTTAAATTGTAATATTCTGGCTTACACTAATTTTATTCTGTCTCTTCAATAAAGAAAATGCAACCAAATCCAAGGTTCATTATTTACGATTTTATATCTCAGTTGATTACAAATGCAATTTCATTATGAAACATTAAACCTCGATCACGGTTGTGTTCAACAATTTTTTAATTAGATTTTTGAGTTTTGATCAATCAAAATACTAAAAGTTATTTTTTATAGTGTTCATTAATATAGTGTTTGAACTGTTTTTAGATATTAAAAGTAACGTTTTATAAAAAGTTAATTCCTGTAACTATTTAAATAATTAAACGCTATTAGAACAACTAATAGTTTTTAAGACAACTAATTTTTCCTGAATAGACTCTATATGGAGAGGAATGGGAAATAGAATCCCAATACTCTATTCTATTTTTCACTAGCACAAGTGGATGGGAGGGTGAATATTTCATTGCTCTTAGCAATTCTTATTTTGTATGCATTAAAAAAAAGAAAAGCAAAACGTGTGTAAATAAGATTATTTGACTAGAATTTATCAAATCATAATAGTAACTAACTTCACCCAATCATGAACTACATAAAATTAATTATTTCAAGAGAAGTATTAAAGGTAAAAAAGGTTATGTTCAAATATGAATTATCTTAAGAAACTAATAAACTTGTATTGACAGATTAAAATCAAAATAATTACCTTCATGATCAAGAAAAAGAATAGTAAAAAAATTGCCAAAAAAAAAAAAAATACTAATCAAGCTGCAAAATTTACGTATGGATTATAATAGAGAGACCATCAAGAGATAGAATTCCATACCCTATGAACATTAATAAAATTGAGAGCTGGAGTTTAACCAATTGACAAATTTAAAGAAACCAAGCCTGCAAACAAAAATCAACAAATATATATATATATATATATATAGATTGGATAATTGAAATTAACGAACAAGAATATATCTAATTTTATTTATTTGCAATCCTTATTCTACATGCTATACAAGATGTTTTCCACATATCTTAATTCTACATTAAATACTACCTATTTTAAATAATTTTCTTTTTCAGCCAATCAAAATTGTGTAGCAAATCAAATTATATTCCTATTTCTTAATAGAATAAAATTTGAATTTAAGTAAAAGACCAATATACAAATCAAACTAAAAATTTTCAAATAAAATATTTTTATTTTTTATTTTTTACTTAATCAAAATCATAACATCATTAAAATTTTTTTTAATGTAATTATATCCCTTAATTAGTAGAATAGGAGTCTGATTTAAATAAAAAAACCGATATAGTCAATAAAAAAAATCTTCAAAATAATAATTCTTTTTATTTTATTTTTTAACCAATTAAAATAGAGGATAATTTATTGTTTTCAAATTTAAGATGGATTAATTATAGATTTACGTTTAATTAAAATACTATTTATTATTAATAAACAATTTATTCAATAAAATAGTTATATCATCTAAAGCAAAAGTTAAAAATAATTATTTGGAAGCCATACTTTTTGAGAATAAAGGAAATGAGGAATAATACCCAGGTGAAGGGTACGGGAGCAATGGTGGTCCAAAGGTCTCCTTTATTTTCTGAACACCGTCGTTCCATAATCGGACATTCCCCAATCTGTAGGAGTTAGGTGTGGCCGGAAGACCCTCCTCCGGCAAAGACTTTAATTCAGAGCATTTCAAAATAAGCAGCTCCGGAAGAGATGTCAGGCTTTGTATGCCTCTAGATATGGATCGCAGATTCCTGAATTGCTCGATTTTGACAGAGGTCAATGAAGAGGGCAGCAGGCCATCATTATCAGGAAAAGAAAGAATCATATCTGTACTTGGATTTGGACCTTCGATTGTTAATTCTCTAAGAGTGTCGAGTCTGGGAGTCCCCATTCTGATATTGGTTGTGTCCAATTGTTGCATCTTACGACTGAGAGGTCAGTTAGGCTGTGAGGCAAACCCCCTTCTGGAAAAGAAACCAGAGCTTAACGATAATATATCGCCAACAGTTGAAGGAAGGTGAGGTTTTGAATCTGATTGGGTAGTGACTTCAACTTGTTGCATTTTTCAATTCTTGAACTGGTAAGAGTAGGGATAGGCAATCCGCTTACTGGAAATGACTCTAGAAGAGGACACCCATCTATGTACAATGCCCGAAGAGACTTGAGGTTTTGCATCTGATTAGGAAGATACCTCAATTCTTCACACCGCCGAATTGTTAAAGTTTCAAGTCCAGGGATGGATAATCCCCTTTCAGGGAATTCAGAGAGGCTGCATATTTGTAAATATGTGAGATGAGGTAGCCCATTGTGAAGTGACTCTAATACTTGTGATGTAAAACTCAGAAGCATAAGACTCTTAAGTGAACTAGGAAATGTGGAGAAGAAGGATATCCATTAATTTCCAGTACCTCAAGACCGTTGGCAAACCTTTGTCTGGAAAAGACACAAGTTTACTACACCAAGCGAGTTCCAAAACTCTGAGAGATATCAAGCAGTGAACCCATTTGGTAGCTTCTTGAAGTTATCACACATCTTTATTCTTACAACTTTAAGATTGCAAGGAAGAAGACCTTCCTCTCCCTCCACTAAAGAGACAAGTTGACGACAACTAGTAATCTCTGATGTCTCAAGACAGAAGAGATTGTCTAAATTAGTTCCATCTCGCCATAAGTATGGCAGTTCATGGCAATAGTTGATGTATAAATTTTTGAGTGCCACCAATGCCTGTATAAATGCTTCAGGTAAACTTACAAGGCCCGATATACACTCAATATTTAAGAAAGTGAGGTAGCTGATATTTGACGCATTTCTTCCATTTTTCACTGGAGCATGGCAGGGATTACCATTATTAATAGAAAACCAAGTAAGAGATGGAAGCACTTTTGGTAAATCAACTAACTGTGGGCAATGGAAAAGATCAAGACTTTTAAGTGAAGGAAGGTAGTTGGGCAACTTTTCAACCAATTTTGGGCAATTTGAAATCTGTAGCTTATGCAGCTTAGGGAATTGCTTTGTATCTGCTTCATTGAGGCTCTCAGACCAAGACCACTGCTCCCACTCAGACATATCTCTTATGCATAGTATCTCCAAGCAAGCAAAACATGAACTATCCTCATAAAACTCAACACCCACCTCTTGCAATCCATCCATTCGTTGAATGCTGAACTCTTTGAGAGATGGTAATCGTCCAAGTGGTGGTAATGATGTGACTTTATGACAATTGCAGGGCTTGAGTTGTACCATACTAGTAAATATGGGATTCCCTATCCACAATGGGAATTCCAATCCACCAAATGATTGAATTGAAAGGCTTGATATATTTTGATGAGGCTGTAGTGCATTCAGAACTTGAAATTCATCATTTACATTCCTTGGACTATTGACTTCATCATCAATCCATTGTAACTCCAATTCCTTGAGGCCTTCCTTTTGCTTTAAATTTGCAATTTCTGCATCTCGAATATCCACCAAATTTTGCAGACCAGAAATACAAAGTTGCCTGTGTAAAGGAGAAATTTTCATCAACTTGTATATCCCAAGCCCAGCACCTTTACCTACAAAGAACTTGGGTAATTTACAAAGATTTGTTAAGCTACTAAATTGTAGTGGCATTTCTTTCAAACTATCCTTACCTCTAATGTCAAGGCACAACAGATTTATTAGATTATGTATGCCTGTAGGTAACTCCACCAGATTCTTGCACCCACGCAATAGCAATATTTGCAAGTTGATGAGCTTACACAATGATTCAGGTAACTTGGAAATTCCGGTGTGAGACAAGTTCAAGTAGAGCAAATGCTTTAAGACACCAACAGAAATTGGCAACTCCTCTACCTGATAGCCACTTAATATAATGTCCTTAAGCATTTTAATTTTGGCATCAAATCATGCAGTACCTTTCTACTTAAGAAATCAGAGGCAAAAAAGTACTTGTTTGGAGAAATGGGTATTGCTAATAAAGTTCGCAATCTCCTCATTTTGTAAAAAATTTCAAACCTTTGTGCGATATCATAATGATTACGGAAAAATGAAGAATGGCGAGCCTTTGCACATGACTTTGCCCTCCAATTTATCACCCAATTGAAAACGTATTTCTCCACGGAAAAATTTCAAATCTCACTCTTTAACACATTCTGCCACTCAGTAGTATTCGGCTTACCTCGCAACAGACCCCCAAGGGCCTTAGCTGCCAAGGGGAGTCCTTTACATCTTCTAACAATTTCTTTTCCCATTTCTTCCAAATCCAAGTGTTGGTCAAAATTTTTCGCTCCCAGTGCATGCTGAGCAAATACAGACAAGCAATCGGTGAAGAATAACTCCTCAAGAGCATGAGCATGAACAGTTCCCATTATCCTTGCAACTTCTCTGCTACGACTTGTCACAATAAGTGTACTTCCAGGTGCCCCAAATACAAAAGGAGCACGAAAACAAGTCCATTTTTCATAGTCCTCTGTCCAAACATCATCTAAACTGATCAGAAACTTCTTTCCAAACAACTTCTCCTTTAGCTTCTCCTGAACTGAACTGAAATCTTTAGCATCACCACCACCCTCCTCCTTGAGAATTGTTTCAGATACCCTATAACCATCAAAATCTTCACCAATGGAAACCCAAGCTTTCAAATCAAATTGCAAAATACCATCACTATAGATAAGTTGAGTAAGAGTCGTCTTTCCAACACCTCCCATCCCAACTATGGGAATTACAGAGAGTTTTGCATTACTTGCTTCAGCTTTCAACAAATCCAGTACAGCTTTTGAATATTGTATTTATAAATCTATAAATGCACTACAATGAATATAATTTAACATTCAAAAGTCATTTAAAATTTAATTTTTCATTGTTAATTTTTTTAATTGTTTAACAATAAGATACTACACTTTATAAATGATAAAAATACTTTTTATTTTCAATTTCATCTTTAATTGCAGTTTGAGAGTTATGCTACAAAATCAAAATTGAGATAAAATGGATAAGGAAATTAAAATAGAATGAAATTATAAAAACTTATAAAATTTGGGATATTTTAATGCGATTAGACCAAATTTAATGCCCAATACACTATCCTTCTTTTGAAGGTACAATTTTTATTTTCAAAAAAAAATTCTTAATACATAAATTAAAAAAGAAAGGAAAAGAAAATAAAATAAAAAAACATATATATCTTATTTTTATCCTAAAAGAAAATAAATATCTTATACCATGTTGTCCATCACATCTTTTATCATAAATCCTAAGGAAATGAATGAAGATCCACCATCTTTTAGAGCCATTCTACACTTTTCACTCATTTTCTTCACTTTCTTTCTTCTTTCACTATCATGCTCCATCACACACCTTATCCCTCTCTCAATTTCATCACTGCTCACAATTACTTCACTACCCATCCTATAGTCCATTTTAATTTCCACAGCTAATTGTAACTCGATCACCATTTCAAAAGCAATAACTTGCTGCTCTGAATACATAGGCCACGTGGCAATTGGAACACCATACCATATGCTCTCCAACACAGAATTCCACCCGCAATGTGAAACAAATCCTCCTACTGCTGGATGGGCTAAGATAGCCTCCTGTTGAGCCCATCCAATTACTCTTCCAATTCCAACCGTTCGATCTAAGAATCCTTCGGGTAATACCTCTTGGAGATTTGCATAATCACTTGGAGGTTCAAAAAGATCAACATTTGATGATGGTCGACGTAGGGACCACAGGAATCGATGACCACTGTGCTCCACCGCACAGGCAATCTCTTTCACTTGATCCACATTAAAACTTCCCATGCTCCCAAAGCACAGGAACACAACTGACGTTGGAGGCTGAGTATCAAGCCATTGCATGATTTCTTGTTGTTTGTTGCTGTCTTCATCTGACCCTACATTCAAAATGGGTCCCACTGGGTACACCTTAGGGGTTTTACCATCAGAAGAAAAAGACTCGACCGCATATGATTCCAGCTCAAGGAACGTATTCACCATAATACCCTTGGCTTCCTTAAACCTTCTTACATAGTCAAGCCAGGAATCAAGCCACTCTTTGCGCAACAGAGCATAAGGCATAGCCTTAGCAGGAAATGGGTTTGCCAAACACGAGATTGCTAACTCGGCTCCCGGGTTCATCAACTCAGCAGGATCAACTTTCTGTTCGTCATGAATCGACTGCACGTGAAGCGAGAATCCAAGGAAAGCTGCACTTGAAGTGAAGTAGATATAAGACGGAACGCCAAATTCATTGGCCACATCTATCATTTCCGCACAACACATATCAAGAACGAACCCGGCGAGTCGAGGTGAATCGGACTTGGACTGGATGATCTTAGAAACAACATCTTTGACATGGGGTTTTTGTCTCTGAATGAAAGAAGTAAAATCAGATATTTGGGCTTCGTCTTTGGGCAGATCAATGAATTGGATGCGACTGGGTAAAGCATTGGAGGCTGTAAATGATTGAATGTAATTGTTAATCTTGAAATCAGAACTAGACAGCTTCATGATAAGGAAAGAAATTGAGAAGCGTTGATCGCGGTTGAGGAGAAGTCTTGCTACCTCCACCGTTGATATAAGGTGGCCGATAACGGGGTGAGGAACAAACACCAGATGTGCGTTCTCCATAGGGTAGGGGGTATTTTTCATAGATCTTGGAGGCCAAGCAAAGACACACACACACAAACACACACACACACACGGTCCATGTCCGCGGAGAGTTTGAGGGAGAAAGTCTTGCTACCCGTCCAGCCACGCAATAGTAATAAGAGGTGGAACCGCATAACGAGGTGAACTGAGACAATCGACCTCTTAGGTGATAGTGGACGTATCTCTCCTTCACCAATACGGGGTATAAGGAGGGAATTTTTTCAATAGATCTGAGGCCCAGAGCAAAAGACAACACACACACACACACACACACACACACACACACACACACACACACACACACACACACACATATATATATATATATATCTTTTTATTAATTTTTACAGTTAAATTAAAAATGAAATGGTAGTTTTGTCCTTACACGAGTGCATAAATACGTATTCTTACAACATTTTCATGTCATATTTTCCATTCCATCCTTTACGAAACAACCCAACCAAACGTGTGAGGATCCACCTTCCGTTAAAGCTACTCTACAACTTTCACTCATTTCCTTCACTTTCTTTCTTTTTTCACTATCCTGCTCCATCACACACCTTATTCCTCTTTCGATTTCATCGCAATTTACTATTATGCCATCCTCCATCCTATAATCCATTTTAATTTCCCTGCTAATCCCAATTCAATTACCAGTTGAAAAGCAGTAAGCTGTTGCTCTGCGTACAATGGCCACGTGGCAATTGGAACACCGTACCATATACTCTCAAGTATAGAATTCCATCCACAGTGTGAAACAAATCCTCCTATGGTTGGATGAGCTAAAATTGCTGTTTGTGGAGCCCATCCAATTACCTTTCCAATCTCAACCGTTCGATTCAAGAATCCCTCAGGCAAGACTTCTTGGGGGTCTTCATAGTCACTTGGAAATTCTACCTCTCCCGTTCCCGTTGGTGGTGGTGGGGGTCGACATAGGGACCACAAAAATCGATTTCCACAATGCTCTAGTGCACAGGCAATCTCTTTCACTTGATCCCTACTAAAACTTCCAGCACTGCCGAAGCACAGGAACAATACTGATGATGGAGGCTGACTATCAAGCCATTGCATGATCTCTCCATGATTGTTATTTCTTTCATCTGACCCCACATTCAGAATGGGTCCCACAGGGTACAATGGAGCCTATGGAGGGCTTTTACCATTGAAATGAAAGGACTCGACCGCACAAGGTTCTAGCTCAAAGACCGTATTTACCATAATACCTTTAGCTTCCTTAAACCTCCTAAAGTTGTGGAGCAAAGGAGTTAACCAAATGTTATGTCTCAAAACGCAAGAGGGCATAGCCTTAGCAGGAAATGGGCTTACGAAACTCGGTACCGCTAAAACACCATCCGATTCCTTCAACTCGGTAGGATCAACTTTCTGTTCATCATGAATCACCTGCACGTGAAGCATGAAACCAAGAAAAGCTGCACTTGAAGTAAAGAAAACGTAAGACGGAACCCCAAATTCATTGGCGACATCCATTACGTCCATGCAAAACATATCAAGAACGAACCCGGCGAGTCGAGGTGAGTCGGACTCGGATTTAGTGATGTTGGAGACAACTTGTTTGACATGGGGTTTCTGTCTCTCAATTAAAGAAACGAAATCAAAAATTTCGGGTTCGTCTTTTGGGAGGTCAATGAATCGCAATCGATTAGATAAAGAATTAGAGGCTCCAGCAACTGACTGAACATAGCTATTTATCTTGGCATCGAAATTAGACAGCTTAATCAGAAGGACAGTGATGGAGAGGCGTTGATCGCGATTGAGAAGAAGCTTTGCTAGCTCCACTGTAGATATGAGGTGGCCAATAGCAGGGGCAGGAACAAAAACCAGCTGCGCTTTCTCCATTGATTTCACTATATATTTCTTTTCGACCTTCACCTTGTGTATCATGTAAACCTCCATCATGTAAGCAAGGAGATTAGATTTTGTTTGTTTATTATTATTATTATTGTTGTCGTTGTTATTGCAATTGACGTATTGGAATCATTAGAGGCCAAGGTGAGGACGAGAGGCTTTGTCCATAAAATTGTTATCTTCTATGCTTACCGGATTATCATTTGCTCTTGGAAATTGGAATGGCCTTATCTAACAGCATGTATGCGTTTGTCTTTTACTTTCAGGTCTATTGATGTAACGGTAAAATCAGCAAAATGGAACTTTCAGAGTTTTGTTGAAGTTAGATACTAGATTGGTTTTACAAAATTTTGAAGGTTTCCAATCCAATGACCCAACCCTTAGGTCCAACTGTTCAAGTCCTAGTTTTTTGCGTTGGTAATTGAGAGGGGCTGAGACCCAGAACAGCAGCTTTCTGCAGAGTAAATCGTGCAAAAGCAAAGCCAGATACAGTTGGTGTACCGTTTACACAGTATTTATCACATTTAAAAAAATAATTTATTTTAAAATGTTTATTACATTTATAGTTTTAAAGTATAATCAATTAATTTTTTTATATTTATCTTTTGCATATTATTAATAATTTCACTTTAATTTAATGATTTTTTGAAGAATTAGTATTAAATTAAAGATAATATAATTAATTTGCTTAATATTTATTATAACTTAAATAAATTTAATGATTTTTTCAAGGAACATGAAATTTTAAATTTAATAATTTTTTTAAAAAACGTGTAATTTCAAATGTAACAAGTATTATAAAGATAGTAATTTCTAAGTCTTATTGTTGATTGGTTGTGAGCCATCCTAAATACTGATTTTGTTAGCCTAGTTGATGATAGGTAAGGATAAGCATTTTTCAGTTTCTAATTAAAAAATCAAATCGATTCATTTTGTTTGAATAGTTATTTTAAAATTTAATTATTAATCGGATTGCATTTATAAAATTATTTGGTTTTTAAATTTTAGTTTGGTTATCGTATATAACTAACTGAGTTTATTTTAAATTTAAAATAGCTTATTTAGTTTAAAATAATTGAATTCAAATCAATTTAATTTGATTTTTGATTTTGAATTTAAATGCCATAAAAACATTTTCAATACTTCCAAATCGAGCTAATTGGATTGAAGTAACTGAATGCCATAAATTTTACTAGATGGTCTGCACTGCCTTAATAATTAATAAAGGCTTAATTGAAACTCAATTACCCATCCAAACTACAATATTAGAAAATGATTAATTTAGCTAAATTCTATTTATAAATTTATTTAAGGACCAAATAAAAATATTATATTTTTAAATTAAAATAAGTACAAAGTCGAAATAATTTTCTACTTTGGCAGCAGTATTTCTGATCATTAAAGAAACCAACTAGAATAATCTAGAAATTAATTGTGTGGGAGATTCATGATTCGTGGCAATAAACCCAACAACCAATGCAACCAAACTGACTATTCCTCCCGTCAAAGTTGACCGCTGAACTTTCTCTCTACCCTTCGCTTTGCCAGCAAGGATTCCAATTCCTTCGACGCTAAGCAAGCTCTTCTATATAAGCTTGCTACCTTCCACTCTTCCCCTCATCTCTATCTTACAAACTCTGTTCTCAATAATCTTTCAACAAGCTCGTCTTTTCGATTTTCCAATATGCAGATCTTCGTGAAAACTCTCACCGGCAAGACCATAACTCTCGAGGTCGAGAGCTCCGATACTATCGATAATGTCAAGGCCAAGATCCAAGACAAGGAAGGAATTCCACCCGACCAACAGAGATTGATCTTTGCTGGAAAGCAGCTCGAAGATGGACGCACGTTGGCCGACTACAACATCCAGAAGGAGTCCACGCTCCATCTCGTCCTCCGTCTCCGCGGCGGTATGCAAATCTTTGTTAAAACCCTCACCGGCAAAACTATAACTCTCGAGGTCGAGAGCTCCGACACAATCGACAACGTTAAGGCTAAGATTCAGGATAAGGAAGGAATTCCTCCTGACCAGCAAAGGCTGATTTTCGCCGGTAAGCAGCTTGAGGATGGCCGTACCCTCGCCGATTACAATATACAAAAGGAATCCACTCTTCATCTTGTTCTTCGTCTGAGAGGAGGCATGCAGATTTTTGTGAAGACTCTCACCGGCAAGACTATAACTTTGGAGGTGGAAAGCTCAGATACAATTGATAATGTCAAAGCCAAAATTCAAGACAAGGAAGGTATTCCACCTGACCAGCAGCGGTTGATTTTCGCCGGAAAGCAGCTAGAGGATGGCCGGACTCTTGCCGATTATAACATCCAAAAAGAATCCACTCTGCATCTGGTTCTCCGGCTCCGCGGTGGAATGCAGATTTTTGTTAAGACATTGACCGGAAAGACCATCACTTTAGAGGTGGAGAGTTCTGATACAATTGATAATGTAAAGGCTAAAATTCAGGACAAGGAAGGAATTCCACCTGATCAGCAGAGGCTTATTTTTGCTGGGAAGCAATTGGAGGATGGCCGTACACTTGCAGATTATAATATTCAGAAAGAATCAACTCTCCACCTTGTGCTCCGCCTTCGTGGTGGTGGCGATTATTGTTAAGCTGTCGGGTCTGTTAATTTTCTAGTTAATGTTCAATTTCTATTTGGTAATTTGTACTTTGTTAAACTAGTTCGTGCTTAATTATCAATAATAAAATGTCCTTTTAATCAACCTTCAACGGAAAGTACAAAATTTATATTTCTTTATAATTCTCTTCTTCCTATACTCTCTTCATTCCCAAACAAGTTTACTTCTCAATTCTCTTTCCTCCCATATTTTCCTTCAATCCAAACATAGGAAGTAAACAGCAGACACTTGATATGCAATTCAATGAAACTACATATTTACAGGCACAGAAACATCTTTTTGTTCCCTATTTACAGTTTTATTCCACTTAATCAACAAATTCTTTTATCAATCAAATTCACATACCATGACCTATGTACAGCCACCGACAAATTGGCTGCTACCACTTGATATGCAATTCAATGAAACTACAAATTTACAAACACAGAAAACATCTTTTTGTTACCTATTTACACTTTTTATTCCACTTAATCAACAAATTCTACTTTAAATCACCGGAGAATGTGCAATCTGATCAATTATTTCATTTACAGAAACACATCACTACTATGTACAGATATGTCTTCTTATCCTTTCCTTTCCCCTCAGCCTCATGCACACGATTCCATCACATGTTATCAATCAAATTTACATACCATGACCTATGTACAGCAACCGACACATTGGCTGCTACCACCAATACTTCAGCAGTTTCCACCACCCTATCAGTCAGCATTGCAGCCCCTACCTGTCGGAGGGCCATTTCTGCTAATTTTCTTCCTCGAGGCCCACTGCCGCCTAGTACAATTCCCCTTGCAGCCAAATAAACAGCATGAGAGACCTTTTCAAAAACAGGGTCCCCAGCCTGCAGGCTCCTTGCTAACATCCGAGCCATCACTAACTTCCTTGATTGAAGTTTCTCAAGGTCTAAAGCTTTGTCACCTTCTTGTGAGAATCCACTTATTATTTCGACAATCTCTTCAATGCCCACATCATCTACACTGTCTAGGAGGTCCAGCAGTTGCTTGGTGCACTTTGACACTATGGTTTCCAAGTCTGCACCACTGGCTACAATTCGCTCCATCAGGAGTGTTTGCCGGCAAACAAGAAGGCTGAATATAAGTAAATTCAGATCAGTTGTTAAACTTGATATATGTTACATTTTACCCCGCATAAGGCGATAGAAACAGTAAAATGGAAAATGTCAGTATAATGACCATAACAAGTGATTTTAGATAGGAAACTTGCCTGGTACATATTACTATGATCTTCTGCATTTGAGCTTGGGCAGCTCTCAAACGAGGCAGGTTAAGCATGAAGGTTTCAGGCAAAGTTTCTTGTGTCAGACCAGAAACCCCACTTACTAACTTTAGTAATACAACCCTCACCAGCAAATCAATTCTTTCACCATTGCATTCTGGTTGCGGACCATCTGATCCAAACATAACTAAGTCATGCATCATATTATTATTTATATAATATAACATTGAGAACTTATCAAACTCGATTTTCAATATCCATACCTGTAGTATTTGGAACTGATGATGAAGTAGAATCAGTTCCACCGGTGTTTGTTTTGAGCAGAAAGCTTCCACCAGATCTAAGAGCTGTTGAAGGAAGAAACTCCTCAGATGAGCTTTCATTGCTTATCAAAGCTGAAAGACAATTGGTATGCTCTCTCCACTCCTGATCTTTGCAATTCCTCACAGATGAAAGCCACCGCATGGTCAAAGGCAGTGATGTATGGGCATCAGACTGAGATCTGTAACGGTTGGCAAAAGCTTTTCTAAGGTAATCCAGACCAGCAGGTCCCTTCAACAAAGCCTCCATTATTCTTACACGTGCTTTACTTATCTCTTGCTTAAGAGCCTAAACAATGCATAAATCTAAATTTGGTCAGACCCCAAAAGCTCAAAGGCTTGTTGTACTTGACTAAGAAAGAGAGAGGCAAGCCAACAAACAAGTCAGTAGCAACCAATGACTGAAACCAAAATGCTTATAGAAACATGAAAATAGAATGAAAATAGCACCTGGATCTGCTCTAGTACAAAGCGTAGACCCTTGATCATTGCAACACCATGGGAACACTTTGACTCGTCTTGGGTTTCACATGTCTCTGCCAACTCTTTCAATAATTTCTGATGTGTGACTTTCATTTCATCCTCATGGGCTGGAGCAGAGAGCTTTTGCAGAGTGCCCAATGCAAACTCTAGGACCTTTCCAAGATAATTAATGTCCAGTGTACCCGACTTCAACACCTAATGGAAGTACAAAGAAAGAGAAAAAATTAGATTATAACATTACTTCCTCTACCATTTGGAATAGTAAAAAGGCTGCCACCTGTGTGAGAACGTCTAGATCAACAGCTTCAGCAATCTCTTCTTTCCAGCTTTCTGGAGCCATCTCAATAATTCCATCCCTCACCTCCCTCACAAGTTCAACAACCCGATCATAACTGCATTCATCCTGTTTAATGGATTCCATGACATCATCCCAAAAGGCTGCCTCCATTGTCTCTCTTATCTTTGCCTGCAAAGAGTGATGCGTTAAAGCCCAATAAACCACAAAACAATAGTATTCTCATATTCAGGATGAGCCATAGGCTTAGAGTTGATTAATTATGAGAAACCTTGATACTGCTTTCTTCCTCCGAATTGAATCGATCAACAAAGCTATGGTGCCGCTCATGCAGAAATTCATTTACAACCAATTCATTCTCTGGTATCAGCTTAATAGAAGAACCCAACCAGTCATCAGAATGGCTGTTCATAGTCAAAGGGAAACTAAATCCTTTCTTTGAGGAAGCAACTTCTTCTCTGAATAAGGAGCGAACTACATGGCTTGGCTTGCCAACACTCTCATCAATATTGTTTCTGTGACCTAATCTATCAGCAGGAGCATCTGGGGAGCTAGATGTACTAGGAAAGAGGAAGTGTGTCATTCCTACTGGACTTCCATGTTCCTTTGCATGGAAGTACTTAAATCGTGTTTCTGACAAAGCATGTTCCATGCGCTCAATTCCAGCATCTCCACTCAGGTGCTGTATTTTTTCCCTCAAAAGCTTTTGATCTTCTGTAACCTGCATCAATCAAATGCCTCTAAAATAAATATCTCAACTAAAACAATGTGACAAAAAAAATAAAAAAAATAATAAATAAGTAAAAACAATGCCAAAATTCATTTTTAAAATGGTACTGTCATCTTATCTTAGCTATTTGATGCACCACTACATTCCAAAAACACGCATAGGCCATGCATATCTGGTAACTTTTTGAATATACCTGTTTCTGAATAGCTTTCATATCATGACTAAGAGTAGCATTATCTCCTCCTGGTGTCAGCTTGCATTTTTGAATCATAGAGAGCTCAAGTTGGCAAGCAGCTCTTACCAAGTCCTCTTCCAATAACCGTGCATCCTTGACCTTCCACACCACAAAGCAATTTAAGTAGGAGCACCATGCTTTATCAAAAGTAGCAAGCTGAGACCTGAAGGTACAGCGCTTTGGCGACACAGAATCTGATTCCTCATCAGAACTCTGTACAGGGCCATCTAGTATAATCCGCATCAACAACTCAAACTGTCGAACAAATTCTACAGCAGACTTGGCAAGGGCCATCTCACGCTCCCCTTGACCACTTAAAACAGCATCTGGATGACCCAAAATCATGTAGGCACAAAGAACCACTCTCACAGGATACCTTGATGACTTAGCTGGACTTCTGACACCTACTTTCTTTGCCTCCCTGCTCCTCATAGAAGCCCTAGGAGTAGTCTTTTTCCTTGGGGTGGCTACTCTCTTCAGTAGGTGATCAATGTTATCCAAGCTGGTAGATTGATTGCCAGCAACAGCCCTAGAAACCATGAAGCGGCTCTCAAGCCGATCAAGCAGAACCTTCACAGTCTGTAGAGTAGCAGCAGATTCTATCAAGTGAGCAAGCTGTTCAAATGGCATTGACTTGATAGAACTTTCTCGGATTTTCAAGGCATCATAGTTTTTCGCCAACTCTAAGGTAGTTTTCCTTGACCTAAGGAACTGCCTCCAGCACCTAAGAGAAAGGATAACACCAAATATATATATCATTCAGGTGAATAATATTTAAAAAAAAAAAAAAATCATACGCTACTATTGTTTGCCAACTACTTGGCAAGTCAATGAAAATATTGAGAATGGTAAATGCAAATTATATACCTTGCTAATTTTCTGGAAAGAAGATCAGCCTGCTTGTGCATTCGACTCCAATTCACACTAACAGAATTATGATTCCTTCCTCTCTGCCTCAAAAATTCTGCTCTTTGCCTCTTAGCCTAATTATTATGATTATTCAAATAAAAATTAAAGCATCCAAAAACATCATCAAGGGGTATGATATGAATGTAAGAGAAAACAGTTGTAAACTTCAGAAAACATCCATACCCTTTGCAGTCGACTTTCCAACTGGTCCCGCAACCTTCGTCTCTCAATCTCGCGTTGGTGAGAGACAGACTTCGACACCCGCCTCACTTGTGACACCCTAGCACAGGCCCTCTCCTTTTCTGCTTCCAGCAATCCCAGTCGCTTCCTCTCAGCAGCTGCACGCTTTTGGTGAATTGCAGCACATACACGCTCCTTGTATTTGCTCTCCCGAGCCATCCGCCGCATTAATGATTGTGAAGTTCTCTCCCTTAGGGTGGCCCTTCTTTGCCTATAAGCCTTCAGCATAAGCATCCTATTTGCCTCTGCTTGCTGAACCCGCAATTCTACTTTTGAAACAAGCATCTCTCTTTCTTTTGCAAATCGCATTTCTACCCCACTTTTTGCTGCCTGACGCAACTCATCCAGTCTAGCTAGGCGCATTTGAGCCTTCGCCAGAATGCTCAACCTGTCAAATCAGTACGCAAACTAAACTCATGACCAAGTCTACAGTGGTACCATAATACACGCAACAGATCCTTATTACATGTATTAACCATCGGAAAATGTATAAATTATTGGAAACCTCTTACAAAGTGAGAAAGACATCTAAAAAGGACACAATGATAAAAAGTACACAAAAAACAAAAAGCAAATAATGAACAAAAAACATTATAATCCATTACTAAAGGAGACAATTAATCCAACAAAACTGTATAACTCACGCGACTATAATGATGCCGTGGTGGGACACTTGGATGCCAGCAATAAACTAATTTCATTATTAACAAAATCTATTTGTTCTAGCATTATTCTTATTAAGAGCCTAATCAAATAACCCACTAAACAAACTTGAACCACTGATGATAATTCAACAAACAAAGACTTTACCTTTTCTGCTCTGCTGCTTGAAGCTTAGCTTCCAGACGTTGTCCGGGGTCTTCTTCATGAGATGAAGACCGGGAGGGGCTTCTCGGCTTTGCTCTTGCCTTACTTGACAACTTCTCATAGAATTGCTGCACTCAAAAAGCCAGAAGAGCATCAGAGATAAATTCAGATGGGTGTTGAGGAAACCTTTAATTATAAAACTAAAAATGTATTGTCAAACATAACTACAAAGAAAAGAATTGAAGAAAAATTCTCAACAGAACCTGACTAAAAAGTAAAGTGCAAAAGGAAGTTACCATGATGCAAATTAATAAAAAACAAGAGAAAAAGTGAAAAAACAGCACGACAAAATATCATTAAAAAATATTGAGAGATATATTCTTCATTAAGGATCCGTGAAAGAAGAAAAACTCAAATACTGAAAAATAAATATTCAAAAAGAAGGGGAAATTCCCACCAACCCTAACCTCACCTAACACAAGAAATATTTACATTCAGAAAAAGGTTTCAAAATACTTAAAAAGGGCGAAAAATAAACCAAAAGAGAAGAGAACTAGATGGATGAAAGATCTTCCAATTGAAATTAATCATTAAGATCTTTCATTGCTCATAGACCAGAACCATAGACTCCTCAAGTTTGTCGGAAAAAAGATGCCAAAAGTTAAAAGAAAACTTAGCAGGTAAGGGAAGAACTATAATTAACCTTCTTTTTTTTTTTTTTTTTTTTTTGTCGGAAAAAAAAGATGCCAAAAGTTTTAAAAGAAAACTTAGAGGTAAGGAAGAACCTATAATTAAACCTTCTTTTTTTTTTTTTTTCGTCTGGGTTTGCAGATAATTTAACGGAACCCCATGTGGAAAATACTCAAATAATTTCATCACAATTAACCAGAGGGAATTTTTTTTTTTTTTTTTTTCGTCTGGGTTTCAGATAATTTAACGGAACCCAATGGGAAATACTAAAATTTCATCACAATTAACCCAGAAAAAGCGAAAATACTTCTATAACACCAAACGGAAATACAAAAAAGAGAGCTTTCGAGATTTCTGACGACGGAGAAGAGAAAAATTAAGTAAAGAACATTTCTTTTTTAATTAATAATTTTTAGGGGAAAAGAACTTAACTAAGCAACTAGTTAAGCTGTGAAGTCAAAATTTAAAATTTTCTCAAGTAATTATTATTATTATTATTATTATATACTTAAAAAAGATATATTATCGTCCCTTCTCCCAATAATTTGTCAACCAACAAACAAACTCACTGACTTTAAAAATCCTCAAAGAATCGATCACAAGAATATAATCCTAAAAGAAAAGAATTAAACTAAAAGAACCGAAAATTTTCATAATTAACCTGTCTACGAAGATCGGCATGTCTAAGTTTAGCTTCGATTTCTTCCACAGTACTTGGAGTCTTAGCCTCAAACAGTCGTTTTCGAAGCCTTCTAGGAATTCTTGGCTGAGAAGTAAACGAAACCGGAAAATCAAGCGCTACCGGAACCCTTCTCGTCTCCGGCGACGACAATTCCACTCCGGTAGCCATAATTAATTCAATTCAAACAATCACTCCCTCTCTAACCACGCATAGACAGATAGAAAGAAATGAATATCAAATTTTCTGATGGTTCTGATTTTAAATTCAAAATGAAGTAAAAGCGAAGAGAAATACAGAGAGCGTTAATGTATATAACGCTTTTTAGAAGGGAAAGGTCGCGTCGACTCTGCTTTTTCTTCTTATTGTTTTCGAAGCTCCGTGTTGTGATGAGCAAGAGAGTTTGGTTCAGGTTCGCTCTGGGTCTGTTTTTTAGGTTCGGTTTTTATTGAAGAGTAAGTAATGAAGACGTGTTTGGGTTGTGTTGGTATCTCTTATCCGTGTCTTTGCCACATCAGAATTCCAACGGACACTTTACTCTCCCTCCCCGTCCATAGTTACGGCTTTCGGCTCCACCTGCTTCTTTTGACTAAATTGCCCTTGCTTCTTTTTTTCTTTTTTAATTGATTTAATGATTTTTTTTTTACTCTTAAATTTAATCTTATTACAATTGTAATTTTTTTATATATTGCAGTTCAATTTAATATTTTAGTTCTAATTCAAATTTAGGTCTACAATTGAAAATAAATACTAAAATAGAAGTATTATTTTTCTTAATTATGAAATTAAGATAATTATTGTTTAGTTGTCTTGTAAACAATATTCAAAATTATACAGTTAATAAATCTAAAAAAAAACATTTAAGTTATAATTCATTTTTGTAAAAATAATTATTTTTATTATAATTGGAGTCATTATAAGTACTAGATCAAAATTTTCTCTTTTTTTCTCGTAAGTTTTGTTTAAGTTAAAAGTCTGTTAATGACTTTTTTAAAGATACCCACTAAAAAAATTAATTTTGAAATATTAAAAATTATTATCAGGTCATACGTGCACTCATCACTAGCTATGTCTTATTGTGCCAAATGTTAAATATTTGATTAGTAGGGAGTGTGTAATTTGAAAAATTAAAAAAAATGTTATTTATGTTCACCCAAAAGGTCTATTTGCTTTCATGGCAATTGCTTCAATTGAAAACCTATTCTAGAAAGTTGGTGATTTTACCTTTTTTTCCTTCTAACTTATTCCTTTGGGCAATTTTGACAATCTCATTGTAATTAAATACACAGAAACATCTCATTAGCATCAAGTCTTTTCCTAGTTGTAATCATTTAGACTATACTCAAATTGGAACAACCAAAGAAGCTTAGGGGAAAAAAAAAAAAGAAATGTGCTAAAGATAGAAAAGAAATCTTATTTATTCTATAAATATATTAAGATATCTTATTACTTTGATTTTGTTGCTACAAATTTACCTTATTAGTATAACAAGGACAATTAATAGCTAAATATGTTTTTTTTTTTTTCATAAAATTTAAATTTATATTCTCAATAATAATAATAATAATAAAACATGTCATGTGTTTAACAACTAATGTCACCTTCCACATTAAACTTACTAGTCAAGGATATGAACCTTCAATTTTAAAAAACAATAACATAAATGTGTCTTTGAAGGGTTTTATTTTCCCAATTACACATATTAAAAGTCTAGTCTATATTATATATTATACTAAAGTTGAAAAGGAATACAACTCCTTACATTATAATCATTCATAATAATTGTTTTATATATTTGGTAAATGGATTCTCAAAGAATGGTGTTCAAACTCAACTCATAATAATATTAAATATTAGGGAAAAAAAAAAAAAGAAATGAAGCAAAGTGTGTTCTTAAAATGAACATATAGTTTATTAGGCAATTGGCTAAGTCATGTTAGATGGCACCTTAATCATTACAATCAATATTCTTTTAGAAAGCAAATATCCAATCAAAGGTAATCAATTAAAAAAAAAAAAGAAATGGGAGACCAAATTGAGAAAGTGTGCCATTGCAAATAATGATTCCAATCTTTCTCACCTTTCTTAATTATGTGAAAAAAAGATTTTAATTTAAAAAAAAAAAAAAGGCTTCATATGTCAAAATATTGAATCATCATTGCATGCATCACCACCACTTCTTTCCCACTTGTATAAATTATTTGAGTCAAACTATGATTTTGGTCTCCCATTGTTTGTTTACTTCCTTGCTTTGTAAAATTGTTGTTTATAAATAACCTCCTTTATTTATAATAGCTGGATTCACTGATTAAAATGCATTAAATTTCATCCCGATGATTTTAAAATTGAATTATGAAATCGGCTCCGTCCGCCAGAAAGGAAAGACATCCTTAGTAGTAAAAACAAAAAAAATTAAGCAACTTCCTTTTGCTTTCTCCTTCAATCTTTCAATTTTCAAGGGAAATCACATGCATATCAAATCACCTTTGTATGTATATGGAGTAATTTAAATAATAATCATACATCCTAAATTTGAGGATCCTTGTAGATGCAAATACATTGTTGATGTCGTTTTTACTCCTACTTCCTCAAAAGAATGTGTTCATTGCCAAAAAACTAAAAAATAACAAAAGTATGTGCCTAACATGCTAATTAGAAAGTTAGGAATGAAGCTTTATATCTAAGCTAAAAGGGCACATGGCTACAAAGTTATTTACACTCTGGGTAGGTTCCATCTTCCATGGTGGTTGGATCAATGCTGTGGTGCAGGCAGAGATTTGGGTGGGGCTGCCTCTTCAAAACATTCAATACAAATAGCAAGTTCGTTGGTTCAACAAATCAATTTTGTATTTGCCTATCACTTATTTTTTCTTTAAAAAGTAATTATTTATTTATTTTATATATATTAACCCGATCCAACCCAATACAGAGCGAGTCTCTAATATATATAATTTTTTATTGGTATATTTTGATAAATTTTTCTATGAGTTTCTAAAAAATAAATTTATTTTGCTGAAAAAAAAAACTTGTACAACGATAGTTTCAACAATGAAAATTACATCCATTATTGCAAAAAAAAAAAAAAAAAAAAAAAGATATTTTGATACAATTTTTCTATTGAGTTGTCTAAAAAATAACATCTATATTTTTGCTGAAAAAAAAAAACTTGTACAACTTATAGTTCAACAATGAAAATACATCCGAATATTCAAAAAAAAAAAAAAAAAAAAAAAACAATCAATCAATCAATTCAATAAAAAAAAAAAAAAAAAAAAAAATCAATCAATCAATCAATATGTAAGTTGTAACTTGTGGAAAACAGGCACGTAACTCTTATTTTCCAATCCTATGGGCTAGGGACTATGGAGGTAGGAATAGAGGATTTATTTTTCAAAATTTGGTTGGTGAAATTGAAAATGTCAACTTTACTTTCATTTAAAGATTTATTGAATATTAGTAGAAACTATTTATTACTATCTCCAACAAGTAAATGAAATCAAATTAGACTTCAGCTTGCCACATACTAAATTTAAATTAAAAAGTCTATTTTACCCATCTTAATTATAATGTTAGATAGGTACATTTTTACTCACTTTCTTTCCTTCCATTTTCAACCTTTGAATCTCATATTGTATGATTTGAAAATCAATGCCATTAATGTGCCTCTAATTGCGATTTGCGTCTTGATGTTGAAATTGTTGGAGATAATTAGAATTAGGATTGAATTAATTAAAAATACGAGGGTAATATCGTCATTCATGTTCGTCATTTATTAGCACCGGCACGTCCGCTTCTGCCACTACGCTTGAGCTTGACGATTACACGTCCTTTAACCGGAATGTGCCAAGTCATCTAACGAGGCGTCTTATTGCAGGGACGAGCAAATTATGGAACTTTGTATGTCACTCGCGAGAGTAAAAAAATGAAAATGTACTCTCGCTCTCCAACACTCACCTGTCCATCAATCTTACTCACCACCGAACTTTAAAGGGCACTCCTAGAACCGTCTGCGCTGGCCACATGTCATTAATTTGGCTGCGGACTTACGTGGTATGCAGTTTAGAAGAATGTAGCCAGTAAAAGCGCGTGTGAATTGACCACGTGTCACGGGCAAAGTAGACGCGGAATCCAAACCATATAAACGGCTGCTGGTCTCAATTCAAAGGGCCCACTGGACCCCTTTGCTTTGAAAAAGTGACCTTTTTTGGGGCAAGCCCGCATGGGCCCAGTACATGAAATGCACGCGTACTTTTTATATAGCCATACAAAAGTATAATTTTTCACATAAATAATAAAATTAAAAATTTGTTTTGTTTGTTAAATCTTGAGAATAAACTTTACTTCTAGTTTATATTTCTTTGTCAGTTTAACATCATTTATTTTGTATTTTCCGAATAAATATATTCTAGTTTGCAAAGGAAAAACAATTTTTAAAATTAAATTCACAATATAAAAGGTGTGACGTTTTTTTTTTTTTTGAAAATAATTACTTATACTGTGCGTATGAAAATTACTCATATACCCACACAAAATAATTGATCGCCATTTAAAAAATATTTTTTTTATTGTTTTTTTTTTTCAAAAGTGAAGGTTAATTAAATATCAAAATCATCTCTATCTTGTTAAATCACGTGTCAATCCATAGTTAAATTCTCTTCTTTATGAGTAGGTGAATTTGTAAGTATCATTATTTGTGAATTTTCCCCTCAAAGAACAACTATAAAAAATTAATCAGATATAATCTGATTAATCTTCTCAACAATGCGAGAATTAGAAAATTTTAAGTTCAAATTTTTTTAACTACAAAAATTTTCACTGACATGGTGAGTTAAAAGAAAAGTTGCCCCTGTTGTACACTCTACCGTGGTATTTCAGACTATTGGTCTTCCGGTGGATAATAACAACCACAAAAAGCAAAAGATAGGACATATTCATCCTCATGTTTAGAATAGACGTCCTGTGTTTGTGCAATCATCATATTGTGCAACTGCACTGAAATTCCCATCCAAGTTACAGAACAGAAGAGTCCTAAAATTTTGAAAATGTGAAAGGATGGCTTTTCCATTTGTTGTCACGATTAAGCAGTCTACACTTTCATTTGTTATATATACAACTTTACTAATCTGATAAGACACAGAGGAAGCAAACAACCAATCAACTTACTATTTTTGAAGGGTATAAACAAATATTAGCTCATGTTTTGGACAAATCATGATTAGGCTACAAAACATAGACAACTATGTCAAATTGTGCTTGAACTGTCTTTGGATGATATGGGTGATGTTTCCAAAAGGTAAATTATATTAACAACCAGCTTGTAAGATCATTAAGAGAACACAGGTTAGAGATAATCTAATATCATCAGCAAATTCAACAATGAATTTCAAGAATAATTAGAGGAAGTAAAAAAGAATTCTTTTCAGTATCAAATCCTCTCCCCAACAGCTAAAATTGCATAGGAACCAATAAACAACCATAAAAAATGAGGCATAATCTAATTAGATGAGCTTCAGTTCAATAGGATGTGTGGTTTTAGTTAAGTACCCAAGTTAAGGTATGCAATGACAGAGAAAGTTACAATATATATATCCAATAAAACAACCATAAAAATATGATCGCATAATCTATTAGATGAGCTCTCCAGTTCAATCAGGATGTGTGGTTTTTAGTTACAGTACCCACAGTTAAGGTTATGCCAATGACAGAGACAATACAATAGATTATTATAATAAATATATATATATAATATAAACACAGCAGTGGTCCATATATATATATATATATAAACAGGCAGCAGTGGTTCCATATAGATATCAGACTCAAAAAACCACAAGCTCTTCGAGGTCAAATGAACTTGTATCTTACATAGCAACGTAGCCTCTCAAATTATGCAATTTGATTGGAAAATGCAAATGCTACCAAGTCTTGACATATATTTTCATATTGAAAAATAAGCATCAATATTACACAAAATAATTCGATCTTGACAAAGTTACCATCTACTTCTGTTTCTTCTTTAACTGTAAAGATGGAGTTGGAGGACCTGCTCTCTTCTTGGCAAATGCACTATTTCTACTTTCCAATTCACCATCACTATCATCATCATTATCATTGCTATTGCGTCCCTCGTTTTTAGTTGGAAGGGACTCCTCAATGCTTTTAGCAGCCTTTCTTTTTCCAGCTTCCAATTTGGCATGCAACTTCCTTTCAACAGGATCATTTAATGGTCCAACTCTGAATTCACGAGCAACTTTCGCGCCAAGTCCAAGCCTACAGAAATATTACAGACAGCTTATAATGACATGACAGAAGAAATAGCGGAGATTAAGAAATAACAATACGAACCTGTTAGGTCGACCCTCTGGTTCTACTTCTTTTTTCTCATCCTCTACAGAATTGCTCATGTTATTAACCCATTGTTCAGCCTTCCATTGGCAATAAGAAGCATAAAAAAGGGTAAGAATTACAAATAAATGAAACAAATTACATATAATGAACGGGTTCAATGTATGTCTGATTTACCAATTTCAAAGCCTTATCCAATCTAACAATTTGAGGCGGCCCAGATTTTTTCTGCGTCTCTGTACTCATTGCCACTTGTTTTTACTGCGCAAAAACACCAAAAGTTTCTCACAGACATTTTATCAAACACGTGGTATTCAAGCCATGTTGCAAAAGATAAAAAGCACGCTAGTGTGACAATACCTTGTGCGTTTAAGAGAAGCTGGACCTTCTTTTGTTTATTTTATGTTTGTGAGGCCCAAGAGTAGTCTAAGGCCTTATATTCGAGAAAACCAATAATAAAAATTCCATCTCGTGTTTCTTCCCGTCGTGCTCTGTTGCTCTGCCTTCGTTTCTTGAGCAAGCTGTAGGGTTGGGCGGGTGTTTATTGTTTCTATGCAACCGTCTATGTTTCGTTACTGCTACTGCAAGCTCTTCAAGCCCTCTTGTCGCTGTTTCTGCTGTTGCTACTGTTGCTCGAATTCTTAATCCCTGAAAAAAAAAGGGTTGACCTACATATATATACATCTCGTTATATTTATTTACTCTGCTAATGGAATCGGACCTTTCCCTAGGGCTTGTAGCGAGTACGACGCCGTCTCAACGCACTCGAATCGCCGACGATTCCATCTCTCTCCAGCTTGACTGTAGCCTCCGCGACCCTAATCTTCCGATCCCACCAGTTCCGCTTCAATTACTAGAGCCATTACTACAGCATAATAATCAACATGATCAGCGTAGTCTTCGAAATGGTAGTGTAGATAGACAAAACGATGAGGATAACAAGAAGGACAAAGAAGCAGACGAGAGAGAAGTTCGAATCTTAGGTATCTGCTTGAAACGGAGGAGAGATGACGAATCATCGTCGAATAGCTCGAAAAAGGCAGCAGCTTGTGGTGAATTGGAGCTTGAAGAGAGGAGAAATTCGGTTAAATCATGGGGAAACCAGTCAATTTCTACGGCGGATCCTGAGATATCTGAGATAATGGATAAGGAGAAAGATAGACAATTTAAAGGAATTGAATTGATAGCATCTGAGAATTTTGTTTGTAGAGCAGTAATGGAAGCATTAGGAAGTCATTTAACAAATAAATATTCAGAAGGAGTACCCGGGTCGAGATACTATGGTGGGAATCAATACATTGATGAAATAGAAATCTTGTGTTGGAAACGAGCGTTGGATGCTTTTGGTTTGGATTCTGAGAGTTGGGGTGTCAATGTACAGCCATATTCATGTACTTCTGCGAACTTCGCAGTTTATACTGGTTTGTTGTTGCCTGGTGATAGGATTATGGGTTTGGATAATCCATCTGGAGGGAATACCAGTCATGGGTATTATACGCCTAGTGGAAGAAAAGTGTCGGGTGCCTCCATTTTTTTTGAGAGTTTGCCATATAAGGTGAATCCGCAAAGTGGCTATATTGATTTTGATAAGTTGGAGGAGAGGGCGCTTGATTTTAGGCCAAAAATGCTTATTTGTGGTGGGAGTTCATATCCAAGGGAATGGGATTATGCTAGGTTTAGGCAGATCGCTGATAGGTGTGGTGCTGTACTTATGTGTGATATGGCTCAGATTTGTGGTCTTGTTGCTGCTAAGGTGCTCATTGACATACCCTACTCTTTGTTTGTCTATTTGTATTTTGATAACTTTGTTTCTTTGCATTGCGATTTGTGTTGATTCTGTTTTTGTTTACCGTAAATTCTGCTTTGACGTTAGTCGGGGGCCTGACATTTAAATAAGAAATGTTTTGCCTCTGATACATTATATTACTTGGGATGCTATTCAAACTTGATTGTGTAGCTTACTAGATATTAGTGATGAAGCTTGGCACACATTTTCAGTTTTCCATTTTTGTAGTTGGTATGGAACTGACAATGTATGTGCTTGAGTAATAAGGCAGCAAATATCGCATTTAGTAGTGTTCAATAAATCCAACAAAAAGATGAGATGAAGCGGTGAAGAACTTGCAAATTGATCAAAATGCAATCAACCAAATTAAGTAGACAAGATTAAGTGAAGAAACATCCTTCCTTTTTGATATCTGCAAATGAGCAACGCAGGCCTCCTTTCATTTTCCTTCTGATCGTTGCCTAGATAATAATCATAAGCAAAGTTGAAGTAATAATCAAATAAGAGTTCAGTGAAATGTAACTATAGCAATATAGCAACCTTACTTTTGAGGGCCAGTAGATGGAAGACTGATGAGACACTTCTATATTTATACTTGCATCACATCATAAAATTTTGAAGTGTCATGTCCTTCAGATGCTCTGCCACTTCTCTCAATGGTAAAGAAAGTTGACCTGATGGGCTTTGGAACTCATGCTTGGCAAGTCTTTTTATCTTGCAGCCCTTTTCTAGAAAATTTTTTATGGTCAGTGTTCTATTGCTTTAGTGGAGGACGCAAGCATTGATGAATGACTGCTCTGTGTTCTTAATGCCACTAATTTGGCATATATTGAACATTGATAGAGTATTTATAATACTTTCACCATTGTCATAGGCTGGCATTTTGTCCTTTTGCTAAAATATCTCCGATTGACATACCTGTTAATGAATTGACGCATAGCATTTCAACCTGTTAGTGAATTGATGCCTTTAGCTAGAGAGGTCTCTCCAGTGCGAATTAAAGGGTGCTTCACATGCAAATTCATGTCTTCTGTTATCTCAGTTTAAGATAGTTGAATTGAATCTTGTTAAATTTCATATGATGTCACGAGATATATCCAATTGACACACCTGTTAATAAAAAGAGGAAATAAAGTATATCCAATTGACATTTCTGGTTTTTGTTTATACAGGAATGTGTTAACCCCTTTGATTACTGTGACATTGTTACCTCAACAACTCATAAAAGTCTTCGAGGTCCTAGGGGAGGTATAATTTTTTATAGGAAGGGTGCAAAGCCAAGGAAAAGGGGACTGCTTACCGGTCAAGGAGATGACAGTGATCAGTATGATTTTGAGGAAAAGATAAACTTTGCAGTCTTTCCATCATTGCAAGGTGGACCACATAATAACCACATTGCTGCTCTTGCCGTAGCGTTAAAACAAGTGGCTACTCCTGAGTACAAGGTATACATGCAACAGGTGAAGAAAAATGCTCAGGCTTTAGCATGTGCATTGTTGAGAAGAAAATGTAGGCTTGTAACTGGAGGAACAGACAACCATTTGTTACTTTGGGATCTGAGGCATCTGGGATTAACAGGTATGTTGCTGTTATATATCTCTGTTCATGAGATAATCTCTTTTTTCTTGATGATTTTTATTTGTCTATACTTGGTATTTGTTTTTACTTTGTGTATGATCTAAATTATGTCTCTCGAAACCATTTCAATTGGGTCCATTATGAAATTAAACATATGAAACCATGATGCTGTTTGGGACTGACAACTAGCTGTACTCTTTCAAGTACAAGCCGCCTTCCCCGCTCTTGCTCTTTCTCTCTCTTTCCTTTGTGATTCCAGGATGCAACTCAACTTAATTATTCCAATTAGTTCATGAACAATATTCCGTTATCAGCTCTACCCAGGGCCATTTTTTGATTTCAAATGAACTAATTTCTTATTAACTCAAGTTATCTTTGTGCTTTTGATTTCCCATTCAATGGCATATTGTTAAACTATGGTAAATGACCTTCCATTCCTTCAATAGATGCCACCACATGTTCGTTATAACCAAACATTTTCATGTATGTTGTATTATGACATATCCATCCTCAAACTCTCATTTAGCTGCTCTCTCATGGACATGTTATTTCTTTATTGACCGGCATTTTGTAGTGTGAAGTGCAGCTGTTAGTATCTCCAATCTACAGAATAAGGATACGTTTGGCGCCCATGCAACTGTGCTTTCTTTCTTTCATTGTTATCACTTGACCTCTACCTATGGGCATTCTCTTATTTTACTTTATTGCTTGCTGATTACATTGGTTATAATATTATTCTGACATGAAATTTTACTTCTTTTTTTTCTCATTGTTCTGCATCCATGTGAATGCTCTCTGCAGTGGGACCTATCTTATTGCAGCCTATTGTTTTTACATAAAATGTAGTTTCTCTTCTTTAAACATTTTTTTTCTTTTCTTTTTCAGGCAAAACTTATGAGAAAGTCTGTGAGTTGTGTCACATCACTGTAAATAAAATTGCAATTTTTGGTGATAATGGCACTATTACTCCTGCAGGAGTAAGGATTGGTAAGTGAAGGTCTTGTTGAACATTGTTCCTGTATCTTGTGAATTTTAACTTCACAGATTTCCATGTTTATCATCCCAGGTACCCCGGCCATGACGTCAAGAGGTTGCCTAGAATCTGATTTTGAGACAATTGCTGAATTTCTTCTAAGAGCTGCTCATATTGCGAGTATAGTGCAGCGTGAGCGTGGGAAAGTTTCCCTAAAGAGTCTGCAGAGCAACAAGGACATTTTGGAGCTTCGGAGTCGGGTCGAAACTTTCGCAGCTCAGTATGCAATGCCAGGTTTTGACTTGTGAGGTGGGTTTCTGGAGAGCAATTTTAAAAAACCCATACCTCCCGGCATTCTGCACTTTGGAACCATATTACAAAATGCATATCAGTTGGTTGCCAGTATGCTCTGAGTTGGCCTCTAATATGAAGGCAGTTTTAAGCTTGAGTGTTTCAAGTTTCCAATCTTTGCCAGCTGAAGCTGTCACAAGACTCGCAACCTAGGGGTTTTGCTGTCAGTTCATGGATGATGAGAGGATCTTTATAGTATTAACCCTCTTCTCCTCTTTCAGTCAAGCAGTGTTGTTCTGGTTTTTTGGTCAATGGTGGTGGCACCCCCTATGATGTGCTGTTTTCTCAGAGAATTTGATACACAAGATCTTCTCTGAGCGGAGAGCTATATCTATCTATATACTCTGGCAGCCCTTCTAAAGATTTTTTGGCATAGTGTGTAGAGAAGCTGAAGATTACATTGGCCGATTGATTAACATTATACAGTCTTGTTCATTTTTTTTGACAGAGCCTATACATATTACATTTTTCGTTTTATCTTTAATATGTTGGGAACTGAAGCCCTGAATTCTTTTAACTATTGGTTATAGCAATCACAATATGAGGCTTTTGCGTTGTAAATTTTTTTAACATTCCTCATTCAATTCAATTTCTTAGTCTCTTGGACACATTCGATTGTGATATAATGCATAGGGATGCATGGGGTAACCTCTCTGTGTCTTTTAAGTATTAATTTCTGAATACTCAATAAATAAATAAATATTAATTTGTGGATACACAGAGAGGAAGATTGATTCAAATAGCCTTCACATAACTTGATAAGACGTGCGTGGCTTGCATTACCAAACATATAATCAACTGCACTGCACATATTTATTTATTATGCAAGAGTGTCAAAATCAAATCTTTTTTGGTCAAACTCCAAAATCTGAATTGCATTTGTTCGAAAAGGAGAGAAAAGAAAATAATAATAAAAAAAATAGTTTAACGTTAAAAAGTTCGATTCATTCATATGTTTTTTTATTTTTAATTTATAAAGATTTTAGTTTATGGGCCTAAAAGAAAAGTTGTGCCTATTCTTTTTTTCCATCGATATTTTTCTCATCGTTCCCAATCAAAATTTTTATTTTTATTTTCTTTTAATTTGTAAAGGAGTAAAGACTCAAAACTTATTTTGATTTTACCGTTTGAAAAGAACCTAAATATCCAAACGTCAGGATATTTTGAGTTTTTGACATTTACTCTTTATTAAATTTAATATATATATATATATTTTTAAAATTAAGATATTTTCACGCAAAGTAACAAGAATGTTGGTAATCACTAATTTTATACCATAATAAAAAATTTAAAAAGTTTTATCATGTCATAAGCTATTTATTATTAGAATTTTATAGCCGATCTCGACTAGTTTGAGATTAAAATTTAATATTTTTTTTAGAGTAAAATTTAATATTATTATTGTTCCATGTTTTATTATTCAAATTTTTAAGGTTAATGCTTAAAACATTAATTAGAAGGATGATAGTAAGACAAAGAAAGTTAGAAAATGAATTGAAACAGAGGAATCAAAAGGAAAAGGAACCATGTCAGGGTTTTGATGCTAGACAGAGCCTATGAGGAATTTTCATCATCAAGAACAGCAACTTTGCACCATAGCTTTCTTTCAACTCAAAATGAAACAAGAATCAAACAAAAACTCTCTCTCTACTGAGAGATATATATGCTTTTTGAATTTTAAAGAAAGAAAAGCAAACTTAGGAATCTCTCTATTAATTTCTTCTTTCTCTCTCTCTCTCTTGTTGTCCTTTCCTTCTCCTTTTCCATCATTGTTCCACAACTGAAATGATTAATCATTTACTATCACAACTCTAAAAGAATCTCTATTGAAGTGCAAAAGATATGCAGGGGACATTCCATAATTGCAAAACCCACAATTTTTCTCCTCTTGAGGTCTAAAAACCAGTTGTAAAAATCCACAAAGAAAAAAAAAAAAAATTCCCATATTCACTTTAGCATCTCAAATTTATTCAGTAAAATACTTTCTTACATTCAGTATATATACATTATTCATACAATAATCAATAATTTATTATCAAATAAAATTTTATCGCATTTTGTTACTGTTTTATAATATTTTTTCCATGAAAACACCCATATTTTTATTTGACTTTAATTATCGTTATTAAATTTACAGGGTATAGATACCTAACGTAGGTAAGTTTATTCTGAATAATAGAACCATGTGCCTTTTATTAAAAAAATAAAATAAGTGTACAATGATATATTCATTTTGAGAGCTAGTGAAATTTTTTTTTTAAAACTTATTAGTTGTGTTGAATTAGGGTTCTGAGGACCCTAGAACACATAACTCAACTAGCCATAGAAACTTTCTTCAAGAAGGACTAGAGATTTTGATAATTAAAGATATTTGTTTGTGGGGGAATAAAGTTAATGATGAAAAATGGAAAACCAAGAAAATTTGATAGAGTCAAATTCTTTGATATATAAAAAAGGCCATAGGATGAAGGGTAGGGTTGTATATATTTTTTTGAACTTTGATGAAATGGGAAACCGGCAGCTTTGTTTGACAAGGTGAAAATGATGGCAAAAAACAAAAAAAAAAAGGAAAGATCTGACCCACTAATTAAAATAGAAAGAAGATTTTGCTTTATAGCTAATTGCAATTGATGAAGGTTTGTCAATCTGATTTCATTTTCTGGTTGTCTTGTTGGAGGGTAGCATAATGCTCCTTTTCTGGTTTAATCATTCATTTTTTTTTTTTTTTAACTTTTGAAATCAGAAGGATCTGCTAGCTGTTCGTTTTTGTGTTTGTGTGAAGTTGAAACCTTAATTATAATGTTCTATCAAAATCCTTAATTTGGAGATAGCATCATTTACCCTAATTACCTATTCTTATTTTAATAAAATCTTTATGTTTGCATTCGTCTTAGTGACAGCAGGTTTTAAATTTATGATTTTGGATATAAAGTTTGTTTTTTCTTTTTGAAAGGTCATATAAAATTTGTTTTGAAATACAATACATTATTATTATTATTTTTTATTTTAGATTATAGACCTTTTCTTTTCTTTAATTTTTAATATAAAAATTAATTTTATTTCGTTATCTGGAAAATATTATTATTGAAGCATGGTAGACTCTGATATCACCAACCCTAATTGCATATTTAAAAATTAACTCAAAAGGCGGAGAATTATCCAAATCAAATATTTTGAATAATAACCTTTTCTCGAACAAACGTAGATAATAATAGAGATGTTCTCTCTTCTAAGTGTATTTCATTTAGTACCATCGTATGTTTGAGGAAATGAATTTCATATCTAAATTGTGGACATGACAAATTGGTGAGTGTATTTTGATTCTCTCAACACTTAAAATATTCTTAAATTAATTTATATTTCTGTTCAGATAAATATATTCGTACCAACTTAATTATATTTATTAGAATTAGATTTAATTTCTTCTTAGAGAGGCTAATATGGGTGGCAGACAAGATAGATAACATGGCAATTCATACGAGATACCAGAATTTGCAGCAGCCTCGAAAGTTAGTTCTGTCATCTTCTACGATTTGATTTTCAGGGCATTCATGGCCGAGAATGGTACCTACCTTCTTCAGGATAGTTGTTTTGTTTTCTTTTTTTGGGTTTTCTATCCTCTTTTGCATCTAAAAAAAAAAAAAGATTAAATATTTAAATGTTACTATTGTATTTAGCAAAGTCTTTTTTTTTTAATACTTTCACAAGATGTTCAGGCACGGATCTATTTTTGCTGTTCCCAGTAGATTCGACTAATTCTCGTTCACTTTTAAAGACAAAGAGATTAGCCTGAACAGAATTTGCGCTGCGAAAGGTTTGGTCATAATGATCAACTCTGCAATTACTCTTTGACACTGAGCTACCCAAATATATCAAGATTTTACAAAGGTCCTTTTTTCTTCCACCAAATAATCAAATCTTGTTAATAAAATGGAGAATTAATCCACTTTTATCTAACTATTACATATAATTTTTTTTTATACTTCACTGATCATACATATGCATTAATAAAATTAAAATAATAGAATAATATATAATTTATATATCTTCTACAAAGAGGAAATGAAGACATGGGCTGCCACTATGTTGCCATAAGGTTATGACCTTTTTCCACCCTCATAATTTCCAAGAAGCAATCACTCTGTGTATGAAGAAAAGCTTGTTGGAGAAAAATGAAAGGCAAAATAATTAAAGAAAATAGAATAATTAATAATTAGTTTTGAAATGGCTAAATCAGTCAAGATTCTAAAGCAGCACTTTTAAGTACTTGCGGCTGTAAAACCAATCGATTGCAGTGTACCTCTTTTCAGTTTTCACAACTTCATCGTCTGCTTTAGCTTTTGCCTTCATATTAAGTGGTTTTTCCAAATTTTTGTAAAATAATGTTCACAGTTTATATATAAATTTATTGAATTTTCTTGAATTAACATAACCCAAGTTGTAGCTGAATTCCAGAGATCGTTTATGCTCAAATTCGATTCCTTCCATCTCTCAATTTTTGTTTAATTTGTAATTTCTACCTTTAAGCATGTTTTATCATTGAATTGCTAATAATTCTTGAAGTAAAACACTTGAAGATATGAAAATAACATAGTAGAATTGCATTAATCATGCACAAATAGTCTAAATGAGGCAATTTAATTTAATTCTATCAAATGAAAATAAAAAGGAAGTAGAAAAAAGAAAGTGATGAACATAAATTGCTTCACTAAAAATGCTTATCAACTGCATTTCCTACATCTGCTTGATTTGTTGGGTCTTGTAGGACAAACATGAAGCATCAAAATATTTCCCTTCCTTTCCACAGAAGGTGAGAATCTGTACTTGGAATGAGAAGATCTTGCTTAAAATTGAAGCTACTGGTTATCTCTAATTAAAATAAAATAAATATACATATGCTTCTTGTTTCTTATCTTTGTATTGCAATGTTGCTTTTCTTCAAAGGAAGAAGAATCACATTCTCTTTCTCTCTTCAAAGCATTTTTTTAGGAGGATAAAGATTTGACAAAATTCAAAATATATCTTTCCCAAAAGCATAATCTTAAATGAAATATTTTTAAACAGTAATTGATAATAGATGTTTAGTGCTCTTAATATAAGTTTTTGATTTTTTTTTTTAACATCAGTTCAATCTAAGGATTTGTTCGGTAAAATCAGCTGATTTAGTAGAATTTAACTATTTAATAATTTTTATAAAACACTAAAAGCTAAACATTATACTAGTTAAATTTTACAAAATACTATCTTAACCTTTAAAAACTAATTTAAATGTTATATTATCAAACACTGTATAAAATAACGTTTAGAATTTTAGTTCATAAAAACGCTAAAAGCTAATTAAACATGGCCGCGGAACACAACCTAGATAGTAAATAATAAAATGTCAAATATATATTTTTTTTAAAAAGTTTATAGAAAAGGTAAAATAAAAGAAAATTGAAAAAAGTGGCACTCATGCCATATTAGCTGCTGACTACATTGTCAGCTTCTTTTCACTTTTTCACTAGCTCTCTACCTATGGCTGCACATGTGCAATACTTTTCTATCTTTTTTTTCTTTCATTTTTCTATCTATGAGTGCACATGTCTAAAAGTTTCTTTCTTCCTTCAACTATTTCATCAAAGAAATCATCAAGCTGCCCAATTATGGTCTCAACCCCACATCTTAACAACCCAAAGCAACCCTTCAAGTTGTCAACTTTGTCTTGGATCTCAACTTCTGATTCATACTCCATAATACTCTCTAACTCCACTTTTAACTCTTCCATGGAAATTTTTGCTTGTCTAAACTCATAAAGCATAATTCCTGGCTGCCCACCAATTTGGTCCATCTCATTTGCCACTCTTTCTTGTAATCTTGCCATTGAAACCATAAAAGATGATCCAAAAATTACATGCCCTTCATATCCTCCTTGGCAAAAACTTGTTTCAGGCCAACAATAAACAAGCCCTCCAAATAAAATCATTAGAAGCAATGAACTAACATTTCTCATTGCATAAAGAACACCTCTAAACCCATTATATGCATTTAATTTTGATTCTACTGACACATTCTCATCAAATTGTAATGATAATGCTCTAACTCTTGTTTCCATCAAGCTCTTGTTATCCTCTTCCAACACTAGAATTTCCCTTTGGCAACCCATGATTGCCCTGTACACCTACACAAGAATTACAACATTATAACATATACTACAAAGACAAGAATCTGTTTCTTGGACATAATTTTGTGCAAAATCATTCTTGCACAGAAAACGCTTTCTTGAACATAATTTATATGCAAGAAAGGGTTTCCTGCTTATGTTTTATAAAATAAAAAGGTAACTAATCCATAACTGATTCATTAGGGTTTAGTTGAGGTTAAACTTAGTGATCGGAATTTACCTGGCGCGAAACTTGTGCATTCAAAAGGTGGAATCCATCGAGAGAAGAAGCTATATTAGAACCAGAAGAGTAATAATTTTCCATTCCTGAAACTCCAGATTTGAGAATAAGACAAGCTTCCCATAATCTTGAACTTTCATCCATGTATTCATCTAGCCATTTATCGCCTATAGGAAGATGAAGCCTTTGAACCAAAAGGGTCAATTGGGAATGAAAAGATTGGAGTGAAGAGAGGACTTTTTGCAGGAATTGAATTGACATGAAATTATTAGAAAGAAAACATCGATCAAGATCATCTAGTCCTCGAGTGAGAAAGTTGCAGAAACCATTGACAGTAGTAGTACTATTGGTAGTGGTGGTGGTGCATGAAGGATCCATTATGGACGATGAGAAAAAGATAGGCGGTGAATATAAGGTGATAGAGATTGATATGTATTTATATTGGAGGGTTAAAGAAAAAGAAAAAGCAAGAAATGAAAGAAAGAGAAGTGAAATAGCTTAAAAGCACAGGTTTCTATAGTGAAAACGATTGTTGGGTGCAATTATGTGTGTTTCCTATAGTGTGGAGGGGATGATTGGGAATCTGCTGTTATCATTGTTTAATTGGGAAAAAAAAAAAAAAAAAAAAGGTTGGGTGGGCAATTAATGTGTGTTTCCTATAGTTGGGTGGAGGGGATGATTGGGAATCTGCTGTTATCATGTTTAAATTGGGAAAAAAAAAAAAAAAAAAACAAGAAGAGAGAGAGAGAGAGAGAGAGAGAGAGAGAACAGACAGACAGATAGGACAGAGAGCTTCAAAATTATGAATCATGAAATCTCAAGAACTCCCTCAAATTTTCTTCAATTTTCTAACCGAGGTACTTTAACTTTCGCAGACTCCTATATATATATGTGGTGTGTGTGTGTGATATATATAATATATATATATATATAATTATATATATATAATCATTGAACGTTATATGACAATATTGAGAACTCTTTATTCTATGCATGTTAGATTATGTTTCTTGGGCTGTAAAAAGTTTGACTACTTTGACTGAGATATATGAAAGTATATGAACAATATTGAGAAGCTCTTTATTCTATGCCATGTTAGATTATGTTTCTTGGGCTGTAAAAGTTTGACTACTTTGACTGAGATTCTTCTTTTTCTTGTTCTTGTTCTTCTTCCCATTCTTCAATTTTGATTTGGTTCTCCTTTTGAATTGAGTGCTCTTTAGGTTCTTTACACCTCTTCTAAACTGGGTCTTCTAGGGTTTGTTTTTTTTTTTTTTGTTTGTTTTCTTTAAATTAAATTATTAATATTAAAATTCCTGTATAGATATGTATTCCATTTTGTTTATATTTCTTTAAACTGAAATGGGTAATGGGGTTAAATTTATGTTTACAATGTAGATTCTTTCACTTTTGGACACAACATTCTATTTAAGGCATTGAATTTAATCATGTATGGTTCTCTTGGAATCGAATATTATAATGCTATACTCAGATTTTTTTTTTTTGTACCTATTGATTCTGGACAATATATATGATAGGTCACCTCAGAAATGGACCATGCCCCAGAAAGCCTAAATGAAATATTCTTTCAATAGGCAACAGAGGCTTTCTTTTTTTTTTTTTTTATAACTTTCCTTAGGTATTTTTATATTTCTATACTTTAATTGGCATATTATAGAGATTTAACACTTGGCGCTTGTATTTTTCCAGCCATGTGCAATCAATATAATACATAGGACAAAGTTAATTAATTTTAATTAAATCAACATCCATGAACTATCCATATGAAAAAAACCTAAAGATAATGTGGGGATTGTTGATTTATTTTTTATAATATTCACATTCTCTTGATTTTATATTTTTTTGGCATTTTATAATATAAAAACCTAATTTCTAACATTTGTTAAGTTAAAAAAAAAAAGAGTGCATGCTCATGACAAGTACTATTCCAAAGCCTGAAATTTCCCTTATATATAAATGCAAACCCACCATGGATGGGTTTATATTAAAAAAAACAAAAAAAAAAGGAAAAATTAAAAAAGCCAGTATACATGTATGCCTCTATTTATTATAGTGGGATGCAAGAAATTGAATAAGAAAAAATATAGTTGGGTGCAAGAAATCTCATCATTTGTGTGAGTATTGAAGCAGGAATCAGATAAAGATTTAAGGAAATCTTTACAAGCCAAATGGGATTTCTGATGCCCCCCATAAAAGAAAGATTAGAATCTCAATCAAACCAAAAATGCTAATTCTAAAAAAAAAAAAAAATATGGTGTCCCAATAAGCAATAAACACCCACATCCAACCAACAACAGAAAAAAAAAAAAAATCCATTCCATTAATTAAGTTGAGGTCCTGAATCCACAAATTGTGGTCTAGTCCCTTGTACTGTACATATATCATAACTTGACATGACAGCACTCAACTTTCTTTTCATTTGATGGATTCTGAAATTGTATGGAATTTGCATATTCTATGATTTTATCTTATCAGTTCTTGATTTGACCAATAGCATATATATTTTTCTTGGGCATTGATTGCCTATGGATTTCTTTTGAATAGAAAGGCTGAACGAAGTTTCATTCCTTCCATCCAACCCTTTCAATAAAATATACTCTCAAAAATTAAATTTGTGTTCTCACTCACCCTTCGGGAATTGAATAGCTTATCACGGTAATCAACACGTTATTGGTAATTTATATACAAATTTTTCCCTTTTTAACAAAGAAAGATGAATGAGAAAACAAAAACATTGTTGCATACTGTGGGAAAAAAAAGAAGGTTACATTCCATTGATTAATTATGTGAGATTAGTATGCACTTTTTAGAAAAGTGTATGTAATGCTTGTGCATTACAAATTGCTTAACATATAGATTTAAACTCATTAATAACCTTTGGTTACATAAAGGAGTTTTGATCTTCAACTATGAAAAGCTTATCATTGTCTCTAATCACTTCAATAGAGTCAATTTCTGAACCTTCTTCATCTGTTATCATTGCGTTTCTTGCATCAAATCCAAACTTTTTACCTATAAAACAGTGAAACCAATATTTGAATTAATGTATGGAATGTACCCTTCAGAAAATCAAAAATCCAAAATTTCATGAATGAAAATTTTTATGTTCAACAAAGATTAATGTACCTGCAATGTTTTTCAGCTCTTCCATTGAACTTGGCAATCTGATTAATCTACCAGATTCTCTGCTGCAATTTTGTTTCCTAATCAAAGGATGGCCCCTATATATACTCACTCTTGTACAACTTGATTTTCCATGTTCTTCCTCTTCTTTCTTCTTTAAAAGCAATCGTTCGTTAGATAAATCATCTGGTACTGTAATATGGTGTCCGATCTCTCTCTTTTGCAGCATTTCATTCAATGTTGTCGAATTAAAGTCTTGTGTGTTTGCTGCAGTGACATCTGCACCATTCATCACTAATAAATCTACCATGTCTATGTTATTTTCTGCCACAGCTATTTGAATTGCTGTTTTTCCTTGGCGGTCCTTGGAATCGACATTTAGTCCTTGTTTTAAAAGTTTTTTCATCATTGTTAAATCATTTCGTCTTGCAGCAGTGCATAAAAGATCACCAGCAGTATGTGGATCAGAAATGCTTGCAAAGTGAAAAAGGATTCTAAATATGGATTGGTGATTTGTAGATAGAGCTTCCCATAAAGCAGTGTTACCATTAACATCTGTGATATGAAATACATTAGATAGATAGTTTTCAGGAAGAACAAATAATGTTAATTAGGCATTCACAATAGTTAAAGAGATTTAGGGTTATGAAATTAGGAATTGCGTGTCACCTTTCAGGTGTATGTTGCATCCATGCCTGAGAAGTACTAATACACACTCTTCATGCCCTTTTGATGCTGCAATGTGCTGGTGCATCATAAATGTATTAATAACTCACTACAATGAATATGAATTTAACAATATTGATTTAACATCATTTAACAATTTATTTTAAAAATAATGATTAAATTCTGAGTATTAATGTGATTAGATAGGAGCATACCAATGGGGTTCTGCCCTTAGAGTCTCCATTATCAGGATCCAACTTTGCCTTAAGAAGTTCTTCAAGAAAAGCAGCATTGCCTGTACTGGCTACAGTCAACAAATTGATAGCCATATTTGGATCCTCTTCTTCTCCACCCTCAGCCAGAAACTCAGCAATCTTCAAATCTTTAAGCTTTTTGTGATGCTGCAATGCAAAATATTAAAGTCAAACCTCAGAGAATGAAAAATTAGAGAAGACAGTTCCATAAATTGACATTTAAATTTACCTGAAGGAAGTTCTTTATTATAGCAACATAGTCTTCTTGTTTAGTCTGCATACTTTCTATCAGAACTCTTGTTTTGAGTCTCAGGAGTTGTGAAAGTGTTTTTGTTCGAAATGTAAAGCTTTGAGGCCTGCAACAAAGTGCCCCAACTTCTCCAAACATGTCCATAGAATGCAGAGTCCCAACTACTCTCTCCTTTTCAAGATCAGAGTCAATGATTTCTACTTCTCCAGATACAATTATGTAAACATCCTCTGGCGCTTCATTTTGCATAACAACATCTTCTCTTGGTGGAATGTACTCAGCTTTCATCTCAGCGACCTAATTATACTTTGATCATTCTGTTAGATTTTGAAACAATTTCATTCTTTTCCTCTCATCTAATAGTCCAGCAATTTTGCAAAGATTTGAACTTTAATTATGCAAACTTCTTTTCTTAAGGAAGTCAAAATTTTCAAACAAGGAGTCGTATAGTAAGGTACTAAGGTTTATAAAAAAACACATACAATGTTGATTTCCTGCACTTTAGGCACTAAGAAATGATTAAGTACAACTATTAATCTGAGCATAAAACGCCAAATTCTCAACATTTTTCATGATTAATTGGGTTCCAATTGGAGTTTGAAGTTGCAATTTCCAGGTCTTGGAAATAAGTTAACAGTAGTAGTACTAAAGCAAATTTCATTCATTTCTTTGTAGATCTTTGGTTTGAACATTATTTTTCTTCAGTAAGTATATTGAACGGGGAAAAGAAAAGAATATTATAGGTCTTACCAGGAGCAGGAGTATTTCTCTCGAGACACCATTGAAAAGATAGACCTTTTCAACTGTTGGCAAAAACAAATGGTGGCAGATACTTTTGCAGATGGTTTTCGGTAATTGTTCAATCAAATGATTCTGGTTCAAGCTCTCAGCTTTAAATCTCAAACACATATAAGCCAAAATCTGATCTTTTAATCTTGGAGGTAAATGGTTTCTGCACACGAAATTTGATGCTGCTTCAATGCTATTCCTCTGCAACATCAATTAACAAACTTTTCAATCAAAATCATTACCATATAACTTTCACTTTAACTAGAACATACAAAACCTCAATGATAAAAGAAACTAACAAAAAAAAAGTACGTACAAATTCCATAGTACGGCGAGTTCCTTCAACAACAAGATTAGTCATATTACCAATCAAATAAGCAGTCAGGCCAAGATTGAAGAGCATGTAGAAGATAATGAAGATCATTTCCATGGTGTTAACAGCATGGAGATCACCATAACCAACTGTGGTCATGGTGGTTATAGACCAATATAAAGCTGAAATATATCTAATCCAAAGACTTGTCTCTCTGAAATTTGGGATCACAGCACCTATCCATGTCTTCCCTTGGTGTGGATATCTATCAGCTAACAAGTAGTACAAGCATCCAGCACAATGCACTAGAAACAGTGTCACCTATACACATCAAAATTCCATTTACAAGTGATCTTTATCAGCAGCCAACAACTACAGTAATTAGAGGTGTAAATGAGCCGAGCCGAACTTCAACCTGTGAGGCTCGGCTCGATAGAATTTAACTCAGATTAAAACAGCTTGAAAATTTTAAGCTGGAGCTCGATTTGAGCATCAGTTCAACTAAAAAAAAATTTTGAGCCGATCTCGATTAAGCCTGAAATATATATAAAAGCTCGATATAATTCAATAAGTTTTCAAGCTAATATCATTAGGCTATTGATTCGAGCCAACCTTTTTGAACCTTTTTAGAGCCCCTACCAGCAATAATTTTTTTTTTCCCATTTTAAAATAAAATTACTAAGAATATAAAAAGATAAATTTATTTGTATGGGTATGTATTTACTTACAAATAGTAGTCTGATACATCTGATCCAGAAATAGCTGAATCTGATATCCTTCTCCAACCTGCAAAAAAAAAAAAAAAAAAAAAAAAGTCTGATACATCTGAATCCAGAAATAGCTGAAAATCTGATATTTCTCCAACCTGCAAAAAAAAAAAAAAAAAAAAAAAGACATTAAGGTAATATATTAAAAAAAAAAAAAAAAAAAAAAAAAAGACATTAAGGTAATATATTATCTAGATTTTGGGCTAAGTGTCCTAATAGTTGGGTAAAGAAAAGCCACATACCTCGTGAAAAGCTGCTTAACCCGCCTGAGACGCCAAAATCTAAGGATTCCCAACAGGGAGTAAGAGAGACCCAATTTCTCTTTGCCAGTGAACAAGTAGCCCAATAACTCAAATGGGACAGTAGATGCCACATCCATCAAGAACCATGTTGAGAGGTACCTATTGCAAACACATCTCAAATTTTAGCCACAAGCCCATTATTCGTCATTGTAATCTATTTCTCGGCCCAATGGGCCTGAGCTATACAATTTTTTAGGATGAATTACTATTTAGTCCCTATAACCTAAATTCATAAACTTAGAACCTTTGTCTTTGAAATATTAACAGATGGACTACTTAAATGAGAAACTAAAGAGACTATTTAATTAATTCTTTCCCTTATGGATTTTTCATTAGTATTTTTCACTAATAAATGAACAAAATAAAGCACTTACTATTAATTTTTTGAAGAAAAAAAATTAATTATTTGAAAAGATTGAAAGAAGAGTTCGCAATACATGTTTTTCACCATCTGATGTTCAAAGTTCACTGGCTCAATTATTTCAGATTCGCATTGAACATGCCTACAAAAGGAGGCAAGACGTTCCCTTTCCAGGGTTTAAAGTGACTCTATACGTAGGATTCAAATTCAAGAGTTAAAGAAGAAAGGACTACTGTCATTCCATCCCATCTCACTCCTTATAGATAAAGTTCGGAACACTTTTTATGAAATTGTCTCGTATGGCAATTTGAGGGAGACCACTTGACCTAAATTATCCCACTTGACCTAAATTATCCCAATTGACTTACACTTTTCATCACAAAGACACTTACCATTGACTATAATTATCTAAACCAACAAACCGACAGGTTCAACTAATAAATAAACTAGAACCACAATCCTCTAGAGGGTCAAAAAAGACAATACATAGGCCAAATATATATATATATATATATATATGAAAGAATAAAATAAAAAAAAAAAGAGAGGAAAAAGCTTAAAAAGCGAAGCATAAATCTAGCCAAGTAGAGATGCTTTTCCCATTATGAAGTTCGAAAGTTGAAATGGATGTGAAATATAATCATCTTAAATTCATAATCATCTCTTTGAGACTTTGAAAAGGACAATCTCTTTAATTTTATTAAATATATTAAATTAAATATAAATAAATGTCAAAATCAGTCATTTTTGTCATTTTTTTTTTCTTTTGAATACTTTTTTTTTTCTTCTCATTATATAAGCCAGACAGAGCAGCCAACTACCAGAATTTTTCTGGTTGAGGATGTAATAATTAAATAAAAAGAAGTGTGAAAAAAAGGAAAGGGAAGAGGATGAGATTGAAATCAATATCTGAAGTGGTCTCCTACAATCCTAATAATGGAATCTGAAAAATAAATAAATAATAAATACTTTAAAAGGAGGTTTCCAGATTTATCAAGAATTTAAATTTTCATTTTTCTGTTTTATGAAATAGATAAACATGATTCTTGATTTATTAATCATGCATAAATAGAATCATTAAATCAAGAGTGGGACTAACCTCACAGCAATCTTTCTTCTGTCTCGAACCAGAAGCTGTGTTCTTGAATCGATGTAAGCGACCAAGAACGTTAAGACAATATCAACAGCAAAAAATAGATCAACAATGTTGTCTGCAATGTATAGTCCTGTAATTGAAGAGGCATTTAGAAATGCAACTTCAAAAGGGAAAACCCATGCAGAGTAAGCTACAAGAACCACCATAAATGACTCCCAGCTCCTGCAACAAAATTTATATCACTCATTAAATTAATTAGTCAACATGTTAGATCCCATATATACATAGATTAAAGGTTATTTATTATTTTTTATTTTTAAAATTAAAAATTATGATAAATAAGAAGTTAATTTCAAGATCGAGATTTTTCGAGTTCAAGAATTTGTGAAATTTTATTTGATTAAAAAAAAAGTTGAAACTAAAAAAAAAAAAAAAAAATGAAACTTAAAAAAAAAAAAAAAAAATCTAACCCTGTATTGTACTGCTATCATAATGTATAGAAGTGTCGGTTTGGTACATTTTAATTATGTGGGCATTTCGTGTTTCATAAAGAGGAAAAGAAAAATAATTTTTCATTTTTACTGGTTTTCAAAATTGTGGCTGAAATTCTGCCAAAATATATATTATTTAGTGCTTCAACTTTCTTTAATTAAAAAGATACTTTTAAATAATTGACCTCCAAATTGATAAATATCAACAAGATGATATTTTGAATTTTAAGATTATCAATTGTAATCGAGCATATCTAGATATCAAATCGATTTCATAAAAAGATATTTAATACAAATAAATTTCTTGGTATACAAATGCTTTTATGATTAATTAATTATTTCCCATAAAAAATCATGCCCATCAAAAAATATTCAACAAGCTGCCTAGATAGTTATTTCCTTCTCTTCCTCCTCCTCTTCTTCTTCTTCTTGTTTTTTTTATTATTATTATTTTTTTTGTAAATAGTATTTTCAAGATGTTCCAATTTTTTTTTTTGTTTTTTTTGTTTTTAAAATATCATGAAAAAAACAAGTAAACAACTATAAAACATGTTCATGAATACTAGCTGACATGCCTGCGTAAAAAAAGTTAATTATTTAGCAGAAGCATATGCTTTTCATGTACCAACTACTTACGTTTCACTTCATAATTTGTTTTTGAAAAAACAAAAACTTAATAATGAAAATGTTTTTGTTTTGTTATTATGATGTACTTCTATCTTTTTAGGAAATGATGCCATAAGTGGAATGAATTATTAGAAACAATATTAATACAGAAATTTTATATGAAATTAGTGAATTTTAACTTAATAATGTAGAGTTATTTTTTTCAAAAAATAAAAATTTATAATTAGCATTAGAAAGTTATATTACACTTCATGATTTCTATAAACAAAGATACTTAGAGTTGCAGTAGAAGAAGCAAAAAAATTTAAAAAAAAAAAAAAAATTGTTACCTGTATCTTGAATCCATAGGAGATATGATCCACCCTTTACTCTCTGTAGGGTTCTGGTTGTAGCTAGAGACTCCCAAAGGTGGAAGAATGATCTTAGACAAGCTAGAGAGAGAAAGAGAAGTATCATCTTCTTCATGTTGATGAGTGCTTTCTGTTTCTCCATGATGGCTTTTCCAGCTTCTCTTCATGATAGATGAAGCATGGTAAAGATCAGTTGGACCAAATCTCATTTCCATTCTCTAAAAAACCAAATATAATTACTGGGTTTTGTTAAAAATGAGATGATCTTGAAAGAAAGTAAGGATTTTTACTATACTAGAAGAAGAGAATTCTTGGGAGGAAAAGTTTCCTTCCTGATAATAATGTGGTCCTGAAATAAGAGATATATGCACCATTATATGCCCTATTATTTGAGATGAAACGGAAATGTCTTTCGGAGGGAAAGAGGTGAGGGAAAAACCTGCATTGATTGATGTTATTTGACAAGATCTTGAATAGAAATGGTGGGGTGTGCAATATATATATATATATATCAATCTATTTGGCATTTTTGAGTGGGTAAGGACCATTATGGACTACTGGCTTGCCCTACCTCACCTTGCCTTCCCACCCCAACTACCAGCTCACTCTTTCTCTTGTATATAGTTCCAATATTTTTATGTGATGTTACAACCATAATCACCATAATCAATTTGTCACATCCTCCAACATTTTTGTATGTATGTACGTTGTTTCCACATTAACTTTATACATTGGTTTTATCTGCAATTGGTTAAACTCAAGTATAATTTATGTATTGACAATAAAGAGTATGTGGCTCATTAGCCTCCATTTATTAAAGGATTGAAGTTGCGTATCACAGCTAGTGTTGAGATAAGTAGTTTGACACTCTTTTTTCTCAAGAGTGGTCGAGTGTTGGATCTTCATGAATGAAGCAAGTACCTGTTGATCAGAGCATCTTATCTCTTAGAGGGGCAACTCGGGATTTGTTCGGCAAAATTAGCTGTTAGCTGTTTTAGTAACATTTAGCTCCTAGCTATTTGAGTAGATTTTCATAAAAAATTAAAAGTTAAATATGAACTAAATTTTTTATGAAACACTATCTTAACATTTAAAAGCTAATTCAAATGTCATGTTATCGAACACTAAAAAAAATACCAGTTAGCGTTTTAACTGATCAAAATGTTAAAAGCTATTTAAAACGTTGTTGCCAAACATAGCTTCGGTGCGAGGATGATTTAATTTTAACCCAGTGGACTAGAGATACATGTGATTAAAAATAAAGTTGTGTATAATTAATCTATAGAATCACTTATAAACCAAATTAATAAAATTGAATGAAAATATTCTAAAAATTATTCTAATTTTATCTTTTTTTTCTTTAGACAAAAATATTTTTATTTAATAAAAGTTATTTTCATTGGTTTGGTCCATATTCCAAGTATAAACGAATGAATCCCTTTGTTAAAAGCATGTGTGATCGAGTGGAAACTTTCTTCAGAGCATACACGTTTTCTTGGAAAAAAAATATAGGAATTCATACTTCAAGATGAGAGATTTACCACATTTTTTTTTTCAAAAATGTTTTTGTGGATAAAAGGTTTAACTCTAGCATTGTTGTGCACAGTGCATAAGAGAATATACTTCAATACACTTTTTTTTTTCTTTTTTTTTCTTTTTTTTTTTTTTTTACCAGTTACTCTTTACTATTCATTTGGTTTGGCTTCCAACAATTCCACAGTATTAAACGAATGAAATCCTTATGTTAAAAAGCAATAGTGTGATCGAGTAGGGAAACTTTCTTCAGAGCATACACGTTTTATTCTTGGAAAAAAAAAATATGTAGGGACCTCTTTCATACTTCAAGGATGAAAGAAAGACTCTTTACCCACAACCAATTCTTTTTTTTCACTATAATTGTTTTTTGTGGATATTCATAAAAAAGGGCTCCTCTAAACATCTAGACAAACTTGTTGTGCACAAGTTGCATAAAGAGGAAATATATACTTTCAATACACTTTTTTTTTCATTTTTTTTTTTTTCTTTCTATTCTTTATTTTTTTTTGGGCCCAATACGCGCGGATTGGTCAATCACATAACTACAAAAAGCACAGTATAGGCGCGCTCATGTATGTACTCGGTCCTCCATTCCCTTAAAATAGTTTGTGGGCTTACAGGTTCCACAGGACTCACCAACCCAGCTCGGTCCCATCTACCTCTTACAGCAACAAAAAATTATATTGGCAAATTAAAAACAGGCTTTTTTTTGGGCTTTAAATATAACACTTGAGGAGCGAAGATAATACAATTTTATACTAATGTTAATCCGATGGCACCAAAAATAGATTTTTTTTTTTTTTTTTTTTTTTTTTTTTTTTTTTTTGGCCAATAGGGATTGGTCAATCACATAATACAAAGATAGGGTTGTTGTCTGGTCCCTCATTCCCTAAAATAGTTTGTGCTTACAGTCACAGACTCACAAAGTGGTCCTCTACCTCTTACAGCCACAAAATTATATGCATAAACAGGCTTTTTTTTGGCTAATATATTGAGAAATCATTTATCTAATGTTAATCCGATGCAAAATGATCAATATATCTATATAATAGTCTCTGTCCCAAAATATAATACTTTTTGGGCGATTATTTTAAACTAAAATATAAGTCGTTTTGAGCATTTCAAAGAGTAATAAATAATATTTTTCAATGTCACTCTTATTTACATTAAATATAATAACTACTTTTATGAGTAACTATGAAGAATAATTTGGTCAAATTACCCTTAGTTTTGTTATAGGGTCTGTTCGACAAAATTAGCTATTTTGGTAACTGTTAGTTGTTTTAATAGCATTTAGCTATTAACCATTTGAGTCGTTTTCCATAAAACGCTAAAATTTAAACATTATATGAGTTAACTTTTTTATAAAACATTACTTTAACCTCTAAAAGCAAGTTCAAACGCTATATACTGAACATTATAGAAAATAACGTTTAGTATTTTGACTGGTCAAAACGATAAAGCTAGCTACTTGAAAAGCTGTTGTCGAACACAAACATAATTTATGAGAATTAATTGTTTCCCTAATCTGTATGCAAACACCTTGAACGACTTATAGAGAATATTATAGAGAGAGTATTATAAGAATTAGATAAGTCCTTCCCATAAACTAATAACCTAGCCCTTCCTTGTGGATCTCTCTCTTCTCCTGCAATTCCTAATCCGATTGAAAGAACAAAATCAATTAAATTGGTTAGATGAATAATTTTCTAGGCATGTACACGCCGACAAAGTTTGAGTTTAATGGAATCTACTAAATTCAAAGAAAGAAGGTAGCAGGGGCAGATTAGACTGCAGTAAATAGCAGAATGTGGTGGTGGGGTTCTAAAATGATGGAGACAAGTAATGGCTCCACTTCCTTGGTGGAGACCTTCCTGGAAATACATTACAAAACCAACCCTTCAACTTGTATTTTACTTTCAAAACAGTCCTTTTTCGTACAAATCAAGCATCCTCCGTAAAATAATCTCTCCATCCAATTTTCATTTACCAAATTGTGTCCAATAGTGAACTTGAAATTCTTTTTTCTTTTTACCACTGAGGCTGTTCTTCCACCTCCATTTAATAGTTGGATAAAAACTAATCTCTTTTTGGCCGTAAAGCAATTATATTAAAAATATTCTCCAAAATACGATTTCACAGTACGATCCGGCAATCACCAGAATGAGATTTAATGCACTTCAACCACTAGACAAAATTATCTTAAGAATCTTATTCAGTACCATATGTAGAACTAGAAACCTTTAAGAAAAGTCGAAACACTTTTTAAAATATTTAATTTCATTTGTTTGGTTTATAAGCGGAGTCATAGACCCGGTTTAGGTAAAATTTCTTTCTTAAAACTATAATTGATTTCTAGGGTAGATGACATTTTTAGTGAAGTAAATTTATGCACAAAATTTTTGAGGTAACCTTGCTAGTTGCTACCCTTTGAGCGCTTATGTTTTAGGTAAGCATTCTTTTGACGTTTGGGATTGATTCTTAGATGATAAGAATGAAGTCTTCTATTAGAGGTTGTGTTTGTAGCGTTTCTTTTAAGAAATGCTCCCTTTTTGTAGGGAAAAATATATAATAATAATTTCACTACCAGAAGCTTGATTGTATTAGAAATTTACTTCTATTTGGATTTGTTGTAATTTTAATTTAAAATATTTGAGTTAAATTTTATAATTTACAACCTAAAAAATTAATGGGGGTAATTAAACGTAATTTGATGTTAAGTGTAGGTTGATTGTATTACTAAATTCTATTAGAATATGTAAAATCGTGCGTGATTATTAATTCTTTAAAATTAATGATTTTTATAAGTATGAGATTGATGAACGTAATTCTAACTTATTCACAATAAATACCTTAATTAAAATATGATTTAAATCTTTTAGTGTTTTTCAATTGTTGTCGGTAATAAGAGACGGCGTGTCCATTTAGAAATTGTGATTCAAATTGGAAATGCTAACTATTGATTTTTGTAGTAACTGAGTTTTGAAAAACTATGGAATTGGAACTGACTTTGATTTATTCTGTGGACTCGTTAATCACGTTCAAAATGAGTAATAATTTGTTTTTAAATTTATATTTTATTTTATTCATTACATCACTCAAATCATTTCTCAAGACCCACTACCGGACAAAAGACTTAAAATTATTAAAGTACTAATTAATTGTCAAAAATAGTTTTAAAAAAATGATAGATATATTTGATTATATGTTTTAATAGATAACAAATCATCTTACAAATAACTAATTAATTTTAACTAATCGAAAGGAGAGTATCAAACCCAATCAGGTGTGGTCTGATTGGTCTTCTCACTTATGTGAGAAGTGAATGTTTGAGTCCTTTGGACCACAAATATTTTCACTAATCTGGTGAGTTCAAGTGAGCGTTACATCTGTTGTGCAGCTCGCAGTATTAGCTCAGCTCATCGGGTCTCCCAATGAATAAAAAATAAGAGAGTATCAAACAATCACTTTAGAGAAAAAAATAACAATATAATTTTCCTCCCGTATATGAAAAAAGAAAAAAAAATTAACAATACAAAATTCAGTCATCTAATTACTAAAAGAAAAATAGAAAAGTTTTAATCTCCATTTGACCAAAAAAATAAATAAATAAATAAATAAAATTTAGAGAAGATGTGTCATCTATCTATCCTTTGCAAATTATGAAGCCGATTTACACTCAAAAACTGGTAATCATTGGCCCTTCCAACTTCTCTAACTCTAAAAACTGAATATATATAAGCAGAGAGAGAGAGAGAGAGATAATTAATCTTTTACATTTGAATTCCAAGGTTATTTTGGTTGCTTCAGTCATTCATGTCGAATGGAGTTGCCTCATCATCCAATGGCAGGAGGGATAGAAGCTCAATCTCTGATAATATCATGACAGAATTTTGGAGAATGGTAGACGAAATCAAAGGAAGAAGACAAGATAAGAAGAATGATATCAGAAACCAATGAAATGTCCGAATTTCACCATCAATAATATATATCAGAAACCAATGATCTAATTATTGTACCAACCCGTTTAAATTTATTTGCTTAATCAATCGTTTTACAGGTCCTGATGATCATGAGGAGTTCGAAGACGATGTTGAACTGAGATTTCGATGTATTAATAATGAGAACAAGAAACGATCAATTGAATTGTACGAGGATGTGATTGAGTTTTACAAAATTGAACATAAAATGAGGAAAACAACATATAAAGCTATAGACAAAATGCTGCTAACTTTGAGTCTCAGAAGAAGGAAGAAGAAGAAGACATGGTTTTGCCGTTGCATAAATGTTCAAGTCAATCTCTAACAAAAGGAAAACATTTTTGGTTTGACAAGAAATTGACAGAAGAGAATGTGAGTGGTAAATTGGCAAGTTCATGCCAGCATGTTTCAATATTAATACTCAATTCACCCAGAGATTCTCCATTAACAAACCAATTTCTTGTTGATGTGCATGCAGACCGCCATCAACAACAACAACAACAGTATAATTTGACTTTATTTATCAGTCCAATGCCACCAGTTCCAGGTACATACATACATAAATATATACATATATATTCTTTCCTGTTTCATTTTTGGTTTTTGGTTAGAACGTTTGCTCTTACTCCATTATTATTACTTGTTTTAAAATCAGGTGAATCAGACCCAAATAATGAATTGGAAAAACCAAAGGAAGAAGGAACAAAAATTTCAATTTTGTTGATATAGCTTTAAAACCAGCAATTCAGAAGAAAGAGCACTCAAGTTGGATAAGTATTTTAGCTACAAATTCAAAAAACAATATATTAAACTCTGAGACGTCAAAAAGTCAAATAAAGATATAGTATTTCCATTAAGAAAATAATAATAATAGCCCTTATAAAAGAAAAACTGATTCTTGAAAACTCTTCGCACGCTCATGTCACATCGAGGTACTGCAGAAGAAAAAACTGCAACATCCGATTAAAAGAAATTCATGGTTAGAAAGACAAAGTTACATATCCTGAGAGATCTCTATTTGTTGAATAGAAAATTAATTGATACAAAGGGAAATTAAGTTGACCAATGATATGAATATGATTGCCAGTGACACAAAATAAATTGATGCGCTTATAAATCAACACAAAATGTGAAATTCATTTCCCTTTATTTCTTAAATACTTTTAATATAATAATTTTAGAAGGCTAAAAGAACGAAAAATTTTATCATCAAACCTTAGATCGTTTAAGTTTGTGGTATTCATTCAAAACAATCTACCTTTTTTTTTTTTGTAAAATTTAGTTTAGTGACATTTGAATTCATATAATTTAATTCTTCATTCTTTTCATCAAGCATGACCACGGTTCCGGATCTAAAAAATTTGGAACCGAAAATTTCCATTTTGGAACCGAATGATTCCGGTTCCTTAACAGTTCCAAAACCGACGATTCCGGCGAATCGCATTTTTTTAAAGACTGATTTTGAAAATTAAAAAATGTGAAATAATTTCTAAAAAAAAAAATACACTTAAAAAATGCTTGAATTAATTTTTTTGAAAAGACTTGAACTTAATTTATATTTTAAAAAAAAGTCTTCAACTAACTTTATTTTTTGTTTAAAAAGTTATAACTTAATTTTTTTTTTTTTAAAAAGGCTTGAACTTAATTTTTTTTAAAAAAAATTAAGTTGCCTACGTATCCTCTTGGATTTAGAGGAATCAAAGCTCACGTAGTTCTTACTTACCTTATACCAATTTCACCCCTTTTACCTTATTCGCTATTTTCACCACTAGTTGATGTTCCCGTTGAGGACCCATTGTAAAGATCATATAAATCTTCATTTTCTAGTTGATGTTCCCGTTGAGGACCCATTTTAAAGATCATATAAATCTTCATTTTTTTTGAGATTTTGTTGTGCTCTTATTGCGGCCTTACTCCATTCATCCACGCATATGAGATCGTGTTTCATCAAGTATGTTTCCTCCTTGACTAAAAACTTGTTCAACCGCAACTGTGGAGACCGAAACTGCTAAAACTTTTTTTGCAATTAAAGAAAGTATTAGAAATGTATTGGCGTGACGAGTCCACCAATCTAAAATTGGAAATTTATCTGCTTAATCATTGCCAAACTCGAAAGAAGTGGTTAGATAATCATCAAATTCAAAAAAAAAACCGGATTCTCTCGGTCTTTCTTGTCTTTGTAGTAAAATGCGTTCAGCAACACCAACACTTACCCTTTGAGTTGGAATAAATTTCATTGATTTGCTCCATATAAATCCGATCAAAGTAAAATTTTCTCATTGTACCCATAGGGTCCGATAGCTCAAATTATTTGTTATTAATGACAAGTTTTTGGCCTTCGGCTTATTGTGTGAAAGGAAAAATTATATTATGGAGCATTGAAAGCCTTGGTATTAGTTTGGCCTAGCTTGTATTGAACTGAGATTCTTAATACAGGATGTTCAAAATTTCTGAGTCCCATCCTCCTTGGATTTCAGGAAAGATCCATACAATGTAGTTAATTACCAAACCTGAGATGATACTAAAATTATTCGTAAAAGAGAATTGAGTTTATATTTTACTGTTGCCATTAAAAATTGTACACCAATAAAATTTCTTAATTTCTGGTCGCCTTAGCGACTAAAAATGTCTCCCCTCAAGAAGACTCAGGATCAAAAACTCAGTAATCTACTCCGCGTTGAGTTTGTAGCAGGGCAGACAGATGGCAATGGTGGCAGCCATTCAGTTCTTTAGGTTTCAAATAAATGAGTTGTACAGGTCCTGATGTATTTGATAAATCCAAGATTGTAACTGCACCAATCTTTGTGAAGATAGCTTGATTTTATATTGTACTATCTTGCAGGAACAGTAAGAAACCAAAATTTCTCGTTACCATAAAATTCTCGGTTGATACAATTAAGTTTTCAAGGGGAAGCCTCCAAGAAAGATCATTCGCGAGAACTTGTGCCAAAATTGTTTGCCATCATTTACAGTTCTGACTTGTCTTCCGTGTGTTCCTCTGCAGAGCTGCCAGTTGCAGGGTCCTTCGGTTTGTTAGGAGCTGCTACATGCTCTTTAGAGTCAATTTCATCACCTAATATTTTCGCAGTGAATTGTCTTGCCTCAGAGTCGAGGTCCACCCATTCAGAAACTATTCTTCTTGCACCCTGCGAAAGGTGAAAATGAAAAAAAAAATAGAGAAAGCATTTTTTAAGCAAAATAATAACGAACATGATGCATGCTGATCAAATAAACAAGTATCATAGAACAAGATTACGCAGTCACCTGAAGCTTAGGTTCCTTTGTCATTGGATTATTGCAAAGATCAATGGTTTTTGCCTTGGCTTTTGTGGAATTACCACACCATGATTCACACCATAGCCATTCTTGGGGAAGTGAAAAGATGGGTACTGTATGCTGCGCATAGTTTGGAAGATCCTGAAAAAATTTATATAAAATCAATGAATCTAGCACATAAAAAAAAGGGAAAACAAAGAAAATAATAATTATGAGATACGAGGACTAAAAAATAAAGGCACATCAAACATACTGAAAAGGCAGAAACATCATGCTAACAACTTACCTGATCCAAATTGGCCAAACTATTTGGATCCTTGCTGAGAGTTTCATAGAAAACTCTCAGATTATCTCCAGCTGCAGTTTCCCGAAATTTTACCAAATCGACAACATATAAAGCACTGCATGAATTGCAGCAGTAATTAGCTGACTAGACAAAGTTAAAAAAAATAAAGAATAAACTCGTTAATTATGAAACATGCAATCATAGAAATGATTGCTTACCTTATATGGTATGATTTCCCCCGTAAATGTTCTTTCCAGAAACCCTGTATCAAAACAAATTAAAGGAGGAAGTGCGAAAGAAGAGATGCAATAATGGGCATTAAATGAACTTAAGCAGACTCTGCAAACAGTAAAAGGGAAAAAAATAGTAGGAAAGCATTTACTTGTCTCCAAAATCTATATCCATCCATGTCCTTGTTGTTGTCACAGAATGGTGTGTATGCAAGTGGTCTTCCTTTTATATCCATGTCATAAAGCTCTCCCATGTCTGCTCGAACAACCTGATCTGCATCGACAAATATAACCTGCACGTGGACGACTGATGTGTTTCAGGCACATAACTCAAAAATGTGAGGTCAGGAGAAATGTAAGAATAGTAAAAGGACACCATTACCTTCTCCAAAGAAAGAGGAAATATAACATCAAGGAATAAAATTTTATATGCCCAAATAATTCGCTGCTTTTCTTTCTGCTTATGCAACCAGGAAGGCCATTTATAGGTGATCAGTTCATACTCAAATCCATATTCTTGTGCCATATATGGAATCACATCCTGCATATTATGCCAACAACCAAAGTTTGCTTGCAAGTGAGATAATCTAACAAACTGAAAGGATTCAAATGATAAAAATAAATGACATAAATTTGACCTTAAATTGAGGAGAAAGATAGTTCTTTATAAACCAAAACTTCACAGGTCGATTGGTGTTCTTTAAGACACTTAGAATCATAATTTTAAGGAAACGTTCATATCTGCAAAAGCCCAAAAGACATTATAGAATCATTGAGATAAATATTAATGCTTCATATAGGGATGGACACACAGGAAAGTATCAAGTACGTGAATGTGCACATCTAAATTTGTCCATGAGAGATTGGTGAATGGATGAAATAGGGATGTGAGTGATAGTGCAGAGGACTCCCATAAATTTTGTTGATGTGATCTATTATTGAATATATTATTGATCAGCAAAACAGAAATAATTCTTGTGCAAAATTTTGATAGAGGAATGGCAGGAGAAACCTGATGATACAGACAAAATCATGCTATGATGCAAGGTTTTGCAACTATACAAGAATTAGCACACACTTTCCACAAATTACAAGCTGAGGACAAATTTGCCTTTATCTGAGCAAATGGTTAAAATCTGTTGCTGCGAAGCATGCAATCCTTAACCAAGATCAACAATCATAAATATCAAATATTAATCTATTATGAACTTGGGCTAACTTAGATCGAGTTTGTAAAGAATTATTTTCCTTGAGTAAATTAGACACGAGACAATGAAAGTGAACTACCAAGAACTCTTATGACCCTGTAAGATTTTTGCATCAAGTGATAGGCCTGTTGACTGGTTGATTTCATGTTCACAGCACAAGACAATTTCTTTTTTTTTTTTTTTTAAATGGTTCTGTTAAATACTCCAAATATCTTATGCTACACATACTGAATAATAGCAACGACACACCAGAGCTCAGAAATAAGAATGATGGTTCTTTCAAGTTCAGACTAGAAGAAATTTCAGCTGAGAATTTTTGTTTAGAAGTTTAAGCAGCAATTTCTTGTTTCAGAAGGTTTGCTTCATAGACATTTTGTTAATTCTTCACCTAGATTAGTTCATTTTGTTTAATAAGTTCAGTTTCCTAAGTAGAAAAATAAAATAAAATCAAGAAGTAATTGAGAAAAATGAAAAGAACACTTACAGATGTCCAGAAGCGATAGAAAAAATATTAATTGGCTTTCCTCGCCGAGTACACTTCCCATGCTCCTGATGAGGAAATGTCAAATTAAGCAGTATTCTAAAAGCATAGCAGATAAAACATATGCACTAGAACTTATTCCCCAGTTCCAGAAAAGATGTGATTATAAATTTTTCATATCTCAAGTGTGAATTTAAGCGCTTGTTTCATAAACAAAGAAAAATGAATAATAACCAAAGCCTCAGAGATTCAAGCTCAAGAAATTTGTTATTCCATGCCCCTGAGAGAAAATGCAAAACTCCTTGTTGCTCTAGGAGCATAGTAGACAGAGCAAATGGGTGAGATTTATTGTTCAGTTCAAGCACAGGATGTCTCAAATTCTTCATTCGAAATGCACAATTAAAACAATTAAGTTATTTATTTTTTGTTAAATGAAAAATGATTTGAATATATTATCAATCCAAAAATTTACAAGAATTAGGACTTTTTATCCTTGATACGTAATTGAAAAAAAATTATATTTTATCAATTTAATTTTTATGCCATGTTTGGGATCTTTTAATATGTAACAAAATTTTATTTATTAAAGTACTGATTAGAAAATTTATTTCAAAAATTAAACATTCAATTGGTGTCACATCATTGGGTATACTGATGGAATTATTTTCAAATATTTATTTTTAAAATTTTTATCAGTGTCACATGATCTAAAAATGGATGGAAATACTTTTTAATTTGCAATTCTATCCTTAATTGTAATTGAGGATGCTATTGCTACAAAAGATCAAAATTGGGATAAAAATGGCATAGAAGCCAAAATAAGCTGAAATTGCAAAAGTTCCTAAAGTTCAGGGCATTATGATATATTAGGCCGAAGAGAAAATATAGGAGTTGAAAGAAAAAAAACATGAACAAATAAAAGATAACTCACTGTTGAAGTGTTCTCATCCTTCTTCCCTTGTCCGCCAATTAAACCAGAAGCCCATTTGAAGATGTTAGAATTCCAGTTATTATTAGATCCCTGTAAAATTTAAACGGCAATAATTTGTTAGGCTACATAACCTAAGTCTCCGGCTAAGTGTCATTTTGGACCAACTATATCAGCCAACAGTTGTATAAACTCACTTTATTTTTCCTCTGAGAATGGTTATCATCATCACTGGAAACCAGCAAGTTCTCATGCTCCATTCCCTTTTTCTTTGCCACTTCCAAGTGAACTACTTTTCCCCGTAAATCATTTATGGTTATACGTTTTGACAAAAGCTTATCGAGATCTCTGGAACCATCTTCCTTTAGTACATAAAGATCAAAGCTTCGACCTGGAGCAAGTTGAAGATACCATACTCCAGGAGAGACTTTCATTTGCCAATAACCCAAATTGGCCATCACAATAGTATCAACCAAGTGAGGTGTACTCTTAGTACCAAGAATCAGCTGAAGACCTCGAGGGGGATCTTGATCTTTCTCAGAACAATGACCTATATTAAATGGGATGTTAACGAGAAAAGTCAACCATGAGACTTCTTTCAATTGGCAAATGAACAAATTATCACCCAATTAGTTAGATTAAATTACATAAAAACAAGAATCCTGAGACATTTTCACAGAAACACAATCTCACCAGTAAGGACAAGAGCTTCTAGTTCAAAAACTGCCTGCAATGTCCTTGTGTCCCCCAAGTTCTCAAGTAAGATATTATCCAAGTCATGACTAAAATAATTGGCATAAGCAAAAAGAACAAGAAGCCAAAAAGAGAGTAGTGTCAGCAAAACTAACCAAACTCTTAACCTTTAGCACAATATTTTGGAAAATGGACCATATAACAAGTTTCAGAATGCATATGATGAGGAAAGGAACATACACAGCAATGACAGGCTCAACAAGCCATGGCTCAGGAACATCAAGATTCATGGTAAGGGTCTTTGACAATGGCATATTAGCAAAAAATGCTTTAGGGCCATTTACTGTGTAATCAGTACTGCTGAAATCATCCTGAAAAGTCAAAGCACAACTAAGACATTGGACATGGAAATCAACTCCTTTAAAAAAAAAAAAAAAGATGTATACCATGGTTGGTACGACATATCTGTAGAAATTCTTCAATGGAAGATCAACAAGAGAACTCTGCCAGAAAACCATAAACTCATTAGTTCCTCAACTTTCAGAGTCCATATTACTTGATGAAAGCAGGCACAGAAGGAAGAATGCACAACTTAAATGAATATGCCACGTGATGCTAAGCAATAGTGCAGGTAGAAGCTATTGGAGTTTTTTAAAAAGAAAGAACAAGAAAATGAAAGAGAAAAAGAGTCAGATAGTGGGAATTTTGACTCACCATAGGGTTTAGGACAATTCTCATGCTTGGCTGAGTGTATTGCCTGAGAACTCTAAGCAGGGAAGCCACCTTTTGACCGATTGGACTTAAAGGATCAACTACAGCATCAATGTGAACACCAGAATTCTCATTTTCTATTATAACAGCACTGCACAAAAACAGGAAAAGGATTAATAAATTGTTGAAACTCAAATGGCAATCTGCCAAAATATATGAAGATATAGATCAAGAAATAAGAAAACATGTGATATCAACACATAATTGCACACTACAAGAATTTGCACACTACATATCATTATATCATCAACTGATCTCTGCCATTGAGATACAGAACGCTAATACTTTACTAATTCATTCACTGCATCAGCTATAACTGGGACAGGTCACGAATGGGATGCATGTCACAAATAGGTTGACAGTAATAAATATGGCAGCATTTATAGAATTTTCTTACTTCTTAATCCTACAATTAGAAAGTTAGAGAAATTGAATGATTTAGAAAAACTCAAGAAAAATGCAACTAGAAAATTAATAGACAGATACCATTTGTATCGGAAAAGTGATGAGGCAAAGATTGTCATCTAGCATTTAATACGAAATTTGAGGACAGAAAACCATGGATGAAAATGACTTGTATTCACATTTTTCACAATTCATTTAAATTTTGATGCAATCCGTACATTTAGTATCTGATGTCATTACAATATGATAAAGTTCATCGAGACATTCGCATGCACATCAATTATATCATTGCAATCATCACGTAGCTCATCAATGTAAATAATTAGAATAATATTTTAGGGAAGAGAAAATCATCTAACTTGCAGGAAACTAAAATTATTACCTATATTCTGCATTCAAAATCTCAAAACGAGCGCTTTCAGAACTTCGATCTCGCAAAGCCATTGCAGACGACACAGACATAACAACATCACTAACAAATTTGCTGCATGTTACATTAGTAAAATCAATATAAACTTTCCACTTCTAATTTCTAATTCAAAAGATAATATAATGGAAAACTACAAATTTATCTGAAGGAATCACATCAGCTAACTCTTCACAAATGAACAAAAAACAATCTTTGTCAAGGATAAAAAGATTTCACATGGAATAATATAAATGGCCAAATATTAGAGGTAAAAGGGAAAGATTAAAAAATATTGGAAGCACTTAGTCAGAAATTTGCAAAGGGCATCAAAAACTTTGTTGGCTTCTCTAATCAGCTATGCTTCTATCTAGTTCTTCAATTTCTCTATGTAAATACAGCAAAACTAATTAAGGAATCTAGGAAGAATTTATCTTGGAATTAGTTATATTGAGGACCCTGATTTAATGGGAAAAGAATATAAAAGATTCAAATACAAAGGGATGAATTTGACCTACAAAATCTTCCAACCAGCATAGCATTTGAACTATACTATCCCTTGCGAGAAAAAGTTGAAGGCAACTGCCTTCAACCCTGTCAGCTATGTTTAATGGTTTGGAAAATCCAGACATACTCTGCCCCACTTCCTAGTGCCAAAAAACCAGGGATCCCCATCCTATCCCACATCACATATCAATGGACTTTTCTTATTAGGCTAATGATCATTGGTGAATATGTAGACCAAAGAACCTCAAAACATCTGCACCTAGCACTTGTTTTTTGATGGATCAATGACGTATGCTTCCCTACCCATCAAATAAACAAAAAATAAATAAAAATCTATACCTAGCTGCTTGTTGAATGCAAAATAACGCAAATGGGAAAGGGGATGCAGGGCCTTGTATTTGGGAGAGACACCACAAGGACCAAATTCAAACCTTGTTAGCATGTCAGGGTCTATGTCCTGCCAATGCACTTCTTCAATAATCTCCACGATGTGCTTTATTCTTTGCTTAAATTCCAAAGACTCCAGCAGATTTAGATCATGGCTCAAAAAGGTCCCTTCATCATCCAGAACTGTCACCTGTCAAATTATCACATAGACAAATATTGGAGTAGAATCAAATTTGTGAATACTATAGTGCTTATAAAATATAATTTGCATTAACAAATATTGAGAAATTAATCCATAAAACTAGCATATCTGCAGAACCAAATTAAGACTAACCCTTCCATTGGTTACGACTGCATTAACACCAGCCTCAAGCCCTAGTTGCCTATACAAAAATTGTGCAACCTGTATATCACAAAATACACGGTTAGAACTTCCCTTGCTAATGATCACAAGTAAAAATTACTAACACTAAACCAGTTAATCAATTCACCATAAATGTGCTGAAACAACTTCAAACAACTCAAGTAAAAATTAAGAATTGAAAATAAAAGTTATAGTGGTTTACAGCAGATAGAATAGGAATGAAAGAATGGGTGCAGTCAAATGCAAAAACTGATCATCACAAAAGTAAATTATAGTCATCTACCTTATTCAAATGATTTCTCATCATATCAGTAGAAAAATCAACAAGAGCGGATTCGTAGGCCTTCAGTGATAACTCATTTGCATTAGCCAGCTCATAGACCTTGTTTATAAATGCAGCACTTTCAGTTGCTGAAGAAGATCCAAGAATGTATTTTTGCTCATAGAATGTGCATAGATGTTCCAAAAAGTTCAGCACATTCTTTTTATGACTGCAACACAACGTAAAGCAAGCAAGTGGTTGATATCAAGCACAACTTGATTGATGCAGCTAAAAGAGTCTCTAGAGAAACAAGATTGACTTAACAAAAATTTGCAAACCTGAACGATGAAGCAGTAATTTCAAAAACCTTGACAAAAAAGAGACCAGGTAAATCAGCATCTTGATTGGCACTGAATATAACACCCAAGCGAGCAACTTTAGACCCTCGAATCTACATCATATGCAAACACCAAAATGACATTAGTGGCAGCGTGATTGCTAAAAAAGATACTTTAGAAGTTATAAATAGCACTCATCGGAAAAAAAAAGGTTAATTGATAGAGATTTAGGATCTTATTGCAAAGAATAACCAGATAAAGAATTCCTTCGTGAAGCAACTTTATCCCTCTCAATGATGTGATATCAACAACAAGAAGTTGAGTTACAGGCTTCAAATCATCAACAGCTGCAATTATAGGTCATTGAAAAAAAAATAAGCCATATTGCAGAAACTAAGAAAGATTGTCAGCAGAATCTCACTGTTCTTTAAATAATTCTGCTTACTATCAGGAGAATGCAAGTAACAAATGTCATTGATCATAGATTGCCCTTCAAAAACCGATGAACTCAGAGAAATAAACCTGGGTTTGGCCTTGCCCTCAGCAATGATCTGAATGTAAACATCAGCGCATGAAATGTTGATAAATAACGCAGATATAATGGTATTGACAACCATCAGAAAAGGATAAACAACAAAAATCCCAGAATGATTTACCTGAGGATTATAGCGGCCAATACTGCTTTCTGACATAAACTTTTCCAAGATATCAGTACGAGAATTTATGTGTCCATAGTAAACTTGTTCTTGTATTCTGGGAAGCTCATCATTCATGGCATTCATAAGAGCCTCCTGTGCATAGTAAACAAAATTTCTTACTGAGCAAGTATAAAGGGTTTACAACAGAGGTCAAAACAGAGAAGCACTGCAACATCATTCAATTAAAAGACAAAGACATAAACAAGCACAAATCATAATAGGGCAACTCTTCAAAAGATAACCTTAGCTATAAACTTAGGAGATATTTGGTTACTGAATTCAATATTTCCACAAAGAAAGTCATTTTCTTAGGAAAGTAGATTTGTAGAAAAGTAATTCCAGGAATGTTGTATCATCGTGTTCAAGTGGACAAAAATTTCCCACGAAAGTAAAATAATTAAGGGTATCGATATCATTATATCTTTTAAACTAATTTATTTCCTATAGGAGTTCAATTTTCTGATCCTCTGAAATGGGAAAACACTTTCCCATATTCAAGGGAAAAAAAGGGTAGGGCACGTATTCAGGAATTGAATTCTTCTGGGAATGTAGAATTCCTACACGAACCAAACATCAAGATCTTGCTTTTCCAAATCACTTTTCCATGAGATTCCAGAAACTAAATTGCCCCTTAATGTGCCAACATAGAAAGGAAAACTTTGTTTCATCAACCTATGAAACTGTATCTCAGAAATTTTTGTAAATTACAATTATCCTACCGTTCCTCAAAAGGACAAAAAAGGGTCATCCTATTGAAAATGTGATGCCTATCATAAGAATATCAATAACAGAACTTCACATGATAAAATAACCATATATTATGAGCTCAGAAATAAAAGGACAACTGTAATGTAAAACACAAGTATTACCTCACTAGAGTCAATAACAAGACCATTCATCAAGAGGCAGCATTGCAGTCTGTACAAACCCAGTTTGAAAACAAACATGGAGCTTTCTTGTGATAACTCATTATAAGTTTTCTCCTTTTCAAGTTTGAGCAATATATCTTGAGGTGGAGATGTTGCTTTTGGTCTACAGAAAGAAAATGCAAACACTTACTAAAAAGGAAATACAGATTAAAGGCAAAAGGGACACAAATCTTTCTAGAGAATTCTAAAACAGAAGAATGGCAATGCAGCAATATTTTTTAAGTTGCCATGAAAACCTTAAAAACTTACAGAACAGTTTCTACAAATGCACCTTCCACATGGTGCATCTCAAGAGAATCATCGATAGACTCTGCTGACTCCTTGCGTAATCTATTTACCTGCCACATGTATACATGAAATAGCTTCTGTTTAGAAAAATTGAAATTTCATTCCAACAGCAAGCTGTCGCTAAACAATAGGATGGAATTTTCAATTGCAAATGCTGCTTGCATCCATTTGAGACGAATGTAAAGATAGAAAGGAGACGCTACTAAAAAATCAAATTTTCATGTATCCTTGTATGTAGGCCATTGCTTAGTGTTTCCTGGATCAAGGTTCCTAAAAGGTGACCGAAAACTTAAATTTTGAGATGAAGCAGTGGCCTCCAATAACCTAACTATTTTATATGAATTAGCAGTCAGATGTTCATCATTACACTTAACGAGGGCCCCCATCCATCATATTGAATTGTAGGGAATGTAGCAAATTGTTTCTAGTCATTAGCATTTCCTTTAACTAGTTAGCATCAAAGGATCCCTATGGACTAAACTGCTAATTCAAAAATAAAACAAAACTTGTGGCTTCTTTTTTTTTTTTTTTTAATCAAATAGGATGGGAATTTGTCATATTTGCAGAATGCTTGCTTGCATCCATGGTTGAGTTACGATAATGTACAAAGACTCAGAAAGGAGAGGCGCTACTATACAAAAAATAAATTTTCAATGTATCCTTGTACTGTAGGCCATTGCTTAGTGTTTTCCCTGATCAAGGTTCCTATAAAAGGTGACCGACAAGAAGCTTTAAAATTTCTTTAGATGAAGCAGTGTGCCTCCATAAACCTAACTATTTTATATGAATTAGCAGTCAGATGTTCAATCATTACACTTAAACGAGGGCGCCCCATCCATACCATATTGGAAGGTATTGTCACCGCGCACACGCTCGCACAATTATGTTTCTAGTCATTTCATAGCATTTCCTTTAACTAGTCTAGCATCAAAGGATCCCCTATGGAACTAAACTGCTAATTCAAAAAATAAAACAAAACTTGGTGGCTTCTTTTTTTTTTTTTTTTTAAATACAGTAATTTTTTTTTTTTTTTTTTAATCAGTAAAGCAAACCTTAGACCTAATTAATTGTTCTTAATCAGCAACTACTCTCCCAATAGTGTTAAAAGATACGCATGTACCAAAAACTAGAGAAGAAGTCTTACGTTGCTCAGAAACTGGAAAGCTGTTCTAATTCCATAGTTTTCCTTGATATAAATGAAAAGACGAATAATCTGCAAAACACATTGTTGGCAACGGAATTCATAAGCACCACAGCAGTCAGCAGTCAAAGAGATGAACAAGAAAGCAAACCGATTTGCATACATGTAAGAAAGGTGTGAAAAGGACCATATAAGGACAGAACAAGGGAAAAGGAACAGAGAAAGGAAATACCAAGCTGGACATATCCTCCTGAGTTTGACTATCATTCTCCACAGAAGATAAATGGAGATCAGCATCACCCACTTCAATTTTCTTGATAAACTTCGAAGAATACAGCAACAACCCAAATCTCATTGGAAAATTGTTCTCATACAAAGATATAATCACATCAATGGACTGCAGGTTCACAACAAAAAAACATTGTAAAATATTTGGCACAAGCTTGAGGGCATGGGTTGTTTTTTTTTTTTTTTTTTTTTTTTGAGTTTTTTTTTTTTTGTTTTTGTTGGTGGGGGGGGGGGGGGGGGAAAATGGAGAGGGGGGGGGGGGGGGGGGGGGGGGGGGAATGAGAATCACTTGCCTCAAGACCACAACTGGTGGCTGGATCAAGAACATAAACTGCATGGAACAAGTTCTTACGGATGTAGCGTACTTGCCCAGGGAAGACAGGCATCAAAATCTATCCAAAAAAATTATAAGAGCAACATTTTCAAGGAATTTGAACAAATAAAAAATCATCAGTCACAAGGGAAAAAAATTGCAGAGAAAAGAAATCTACCTCATTTATATTGCTTCGCCATCGCTTGTACATAGCATCCTCCTCCAAGTTATTGAGATAATGAACATGAGTCGATCGAAAATCAATACGAAACATATTTGATTCAGGAGGAGACATTGTTGACAAGAGTTTCCGTATTGTGCTATGAGGAACCTGAATGACTAGCAGCATCAAACTCTCAAACATAATTCAGGATAATTTTGAAGTTAACTTTAAGAAATCACAGTCCGTTTTCACATATTACACCACTTGTAGAACATTACAAGGTAACAATTATTTCACATAAATCAGTGCGATGTAAGATTTAATTCCATTACTGCACATCATCTACGGTACCATGCCAAACACGTCCAGTATTTAATGCAAAAGTTTTAGCTTTCTTGGCCTTTGCTATTAGAAATTATGAGTAATAGCTACTTGTATGAAACATTTCTTTTGCAGCTATCGAGCTTCGCCTTTTTCTGCCTCTAGTAAAAATTGCTCATGTTTAGCACATTTATTCATACGTACAAGTATTAAGTCACATAAAGAAATTGCCTTAATACTTTATTCGTGTGTCATAGCCTATTGCTATTTGATGCAGGATCAATATCATGTTCTATAATTGGATGATTATTTGAGATTTCTTAATTTGGAAAATCAGATTATTTGAGAGATCTCAATTTTAATTCAGATTTTGAAATTAATTTCCATATTTGGAAGAGGGAGATGAGGGGTACATCCTGAATGCTGTGGGCTGCAATGGAAAATAAGATTTTAGAGTGTTAGACCTTTCTAAGGATGGAGAAAAAGATCCACATAGTAAGTTCCAACTAAATTGGGAATAAGGTGTGAGTTAAGCAAAATGATGTTGGCAAAGTAATTTACACTAATTAGGAGGTTTACATATTTGATTTCCTTCGTTATTTGTTTCCTGTTTCGTGATGGAATGGCACCCATGTAAGATTATCTAGCACTTTATTTTTGAAATCCCGCCCCCAACCCCACCAAAAAAAAAAAAAAAAAAAAAAAAAAAGCTGATGGAATCGGCACCCATGTTAAGATCTATCTAGGCACTTTTATTTTTGGAAATCCGCGCCACCCAAACCCCAACCAAAAAAAAAAAAAAAAAAAAAAAAAAAAAGAAAAAGAAAAAGAAAGAAAGAAAGATCTCTCAACTTATCTTTCATGCCCGTTCTTCTCAGTTGTGATTTTAAGCTCACTTATTATAACCAAAAATGGCAACGAGATTTAAGTTACAATTACAAAAAAAAAAAAAAAAAAAAAAAAAAAGAAAAAGAAAAAGAAAGAAAGAAAGATCTCTCACTACTTTCATGCCTTCTCCAGTTGTTTTACATCACTATTATCCAAAAATGAGAGATTTAGTTACAATTACCTTTAATTTTGAAAATTGATCAGCCAATAACAGCTCCTGCTGGACCATGTCTACCAACCTAATAAGAATACCAAGTAAGCAATATCAAAAAAGCGGTTACAACGTACAGAATAATGTTGTTGACGAAATGACGGTGTCAAAACAAAAATGCTGGTGCAAGGCAGCAACATGATTGGTTAAAGTTGTATCGAAGAGCAGCTTTGGAAGGATAAGGTTGAATTTATGTAGAAGAGCAGCTTTGGAAGGACAAAGTGTAAATACCCTCAGGATTATTTTGATGTATTAGTTGCTAAGCATATGCTATTAGATGAATGCATAGCTCACAGAACATAAGGATCCAGGATGGACTTTTATGCTCCTCTGTGGGGAAAAAAGTAAGGGAAATGAAAGTTGGATGGGGAGAAAGTGAAGAGGGTAAAACAAATTTTAACCTCTCTAGTTTGTAGGATGAGGACAAATGAGGGGAAAGAGAGAGAAAAACAATTTATTCATGAAAATTTAGTTCAATGTCCTTTACTTTTTTTTTTTTTTGTCAAAAATTCCTCTTTCACCCCAATTTGGGGTGAAATTGTTTTTTGGTCCATACAATACGAAATCCCCTCAGTTTCACTTGCTTCCGAAACAAAGGAAAATAAGAATATTCTCATATTTACCCTACCCTCTCTTTCCCTTGTCACTTCCACCTTTTTCCAAACAACACCTTAAGGGCCAAGAAAATCAACCCGCTAAAGCTTTCATGAATCTCTAGGCCAACTGACTTATCGTTTTTTTGCCTCTCAGAATTCCATCTTTTTAAGTTTTGTACTTGGGTTTTACAAACCAGTTATCACCCCAAATCCCTCTTTCACCAGGTTATCTGGAAGAGGAACTCTTAAAGTCATTTACTCACAAGCATTAAATCTGAATCACTGCTAAGAAAATGACAATAATACTTTAAATGGTAGACTAACTAATCATCTGACAGCTTAAATGACAATAATATCTTACATGGTAGAGTAACTAATCATCTGGAAGCTTAAAGTTAAGCACAGGATCAATCAACTACAGCCTGATTCCCAAGTTATGTCAATCTGAATTTTCAAATTAATAAGCACCAGAAAAATACTATTGAACAACATTAGTTGGAAATAACTTATGTATATATCCTATTTTACAATCTCCCTTCCCTTAAGATTATGAAAAGCAATTGCCCCAAAAAAAAAAAAAGGCAAATTACCCTACACCATGGAATGCAGTACATACATATGCAACTAGTTTGCCAATAATTACACATGCATATTAAACTGTTGGCTAAGAAAGACAATCAGATATCAAAAGCACAACCTTTGAGGCTAAAAAATAGTATGCCGTTAATTGATATTAAAACAAAATAAAGCATGCTTCATTAACTGTAGAACAAATATCAAAGAATCCTTTAGAGAAAACGGGGGAAAAGAAAGGAGAAAATAAAATTATATAGCTAATGGTATTTAACATGAAAAGCTCAGTCCTACTGTCTGTAAGTTGTAGTTCAAAAGTGTTCAGGTACGATATTTAGTAATGGCAACTGCCAGAACTTCAGAGTCAAATGGAATAAAGACCAACTCAAGAAACACATAATTAGCATGATGTTTAAGAAAAAAAGAGGAAGAAAGTATAATGAGTACAGAAACTTTACAGATAAAGGTCAATATCCTCGATATTGATTAAAGCACCATTCAAAGCCAATAAGGACTTGCCGGGAGGAATCATTCGTTGGTTTGCTGTAATTTCATCTTTGATTGAACTATTGAGCTGAAAAAATTCAATATTCAAGCAGTTTCATCAGACCAACCACCAGTAAATTTTCTTTGGAGTGAAAAATCAATATTATCAGCAGTTATTTCATTTTATCAAATGCAAGTATGTGCACATGATAATACCTTCATGCGAGACAAAGAAGAAACTACACTGGGAAAATTTTGACTGATTTCCTGCATTGACTGTAAAGGATCAGAGGCATGGACAATCCTTTGTGCTGTTTGATGTCCTAAATCTGTTGGAAAGGAAGCATTTCAGAAAATGCAGTTTCTATAAACCGTCGAGAAGATATCTGAAAGTGCATTTACCTTTTAGTTCCCAAACATCAAGTGTATCAGATATTGTAGATGAAAGTAGATAGTCTCGGAAAGCCATTATCTCAGATGTCAGCTCAGGTTTGCGTTCCTGCATGAGTCATTCAATATGAAATATCAGTCACTTTGACAAATAGCTTCCACAAGTCACAACAAGGCAGAAGACAGAACTTTTTACTAAAATCAAATACACTTTTTAATTCACACAAAGCTTTTTCTGGCCGAGTTCCTTTCAACCAATCATTCCTGAATCTAATAAAATTCCTGTGTGCTTGCAGGAGTTCTATTTGCATTAGGCATGCTCATACAACTCCACAAGCATGGGAATCAAAATCAAGGTTACAAAATATCAACAATAAAGTCAACTTCCAATAATCCTTAATAGAAAACAACGCCTAATAATTGCCTGCTTATTGGCCATATTTTCCAATTGTTTATATCAAATACTAGAAACAAACATCAATTTTGTATACTGGATCAATAAGAACCATCAAGAGGTGAATAGCAATCCTAAATAAAGAAGAGAAGATTGATGATGCAAAAAGCTGCCACAACTTGTAATAAATAATAAAACCACGTAAAATAATAATACGTAATAACAGTAATAAAGTTACTTAAAAGTAACTTTCAAGGTTAACGAACCAGTATTTTTGAAAAAATGAACCCTCTAACTTCTTGGCTAAGATCTTCAGTCCGTGGATCCTCCAGAGTGACACCTGCAATTCAAGCCTCGTGTTTTTAAGGAGAATATATTTCAACATCAGAATCATGTTTTAAGTAGAACATCTTTCAACATCAATATACTAAAATATGAATATCAATGTAGAATATTAGCAGCAAAAACTTGAAAAGACCATGAAAGTAAAACTCTTAGAAAGATTTTTGGAAAATTTTTCGCTGCCTAACTTCAGTTATGTTCTTTCAGGAATTTTGGGAATTTTTCAAAAGGATCTGTCCCTTACCACCTTTCTTTTAAGTAAATTTTACATACAACAGAATACTTACAATTAAAGTTTTTTCTTAGAATACTTACAATTAAAGTTGTGCACAAAAGTTGTAAAATTGCAGTTACTTATGTAATTAAAGAAGAAAGCTAACATGTAGTTTCGATGAAATTACCTACAGGGGATCATAGGCCAAGAACACAGCAAGCATGAAAGAGAAACAGTAATACTGACTTGGCTCACAAAGAATGAAAATTTTCTTTTCCAAGTTGAGCAGGACATAAATCAAGGTTCATGCAGAATAAGTCAGCTTCTAACCTTTCTTAATTGCACTGTCATCCATAGCCTTGTATTCCATATTCTTCAATGCAAGTTCGACACCATAACCACCCAAATTTAAGGAGTCTTTGGCACCAATAGCACCACAATGGCCAACTTTTCCTTCACAGCCAGCGGGTAAAACAGGTCTAACTACATATTTTACCCTCCCCTGGAAAATTTGATCCAAATTATCAGCAAGAAAGATATTGAAAGAAAAACAGATATACAAATCAGAAACAACTTGGACAATATTGTATTTGTCAGATATACAAAACAGATATAGAAATCAGCAGAATAAACTTTTCAACAACTAGAAGCATTTGATATTTCAGAAAAATTTTCAAATTAATAAAATGGAAGGAAAGAAGATGATCAAACCACAAAGTCAAAAATCAGTTCAGACATGATAAGCGAATTGGTGAGAATTACCCATTCAGTAAGGTAAAGCAAAAAAGCATAACCCACTTATTTTCAGGAAAATAATGCACTAAGAAATTCATTTCTACAAGCAGACTTGGCATAATACTTTCATTAATTATTCTCTACAACTGTACCATTAGGTATTTCAAATTTTATGGCATTACATATTAATAAAAAACTCAGCACTTGATTTTCCATGAAAACATAAACATTAACAACCTTAGGCTTGGCAATAACAGTATTTAAAGCTTTAGTTCAATGAAAAATATTTTATGCATAAGCTAGTGAACATCACTGAAACAAGCAACATCAATAAAGTTATTTGCCAAACCATTTTGAAATGGAAGTCTGGAAAATTTCTCAGTTTAATGGAAAAGGTTGAATGTTGCCTATATAGCTAATGGCTAACATCATAGAAGCTTTATTTAGAGTTTACACGAATTTTTTAATGTATTTGAGTATTTCACAAATCAAAAGAAAAAATAGCATTAAGCAGATGAAAAATAGCAGTCCATCAGAGCATCCAAATTTTCCAGATATGATAGTACAACTCCTCCCCATTACTCTTTTGCTAAAGTAAAAGGACCAACCCTATTTCCTTTAGTATAAAATTCACAAAAAGAAATCTTTCCAATTATACAAGCAGCCGTTTAACAGCATTAGATAAGTTATGATCAAGTTCAAGAAAAATAGAACGAAATTATAAAAAGAGATGAAAAATATTATAAAGCACTGTTATTGGACCTGTTTAGCTGATTCAACTAGTGTAACATGAAATTCCTTAAAACAATCAGTTCCAAGGGCTCCATACAAAATAGCAACTGGACTTCTAGTATGAGAACCAAAATGGACATGATCAAAATCAAATAGTTCAGGCTGATGGAATGAGTCTCCCGCGCTGGCAACCAAGAAATAAACAAACTAAATTACACAAAATTGCGACAATAAAGATTGCCAAATTTAAATAGGACAATAATATCCCAGACTTACTGATTAACAGGGCTATTAAGCCACAGTCGGAGCTCTGCAACATCAAAGAACAATGCTCCACCAGTATCTACCCAGCAGCATTTTCCACAAGGGCTCTTAGGATTTACGCCAACGAGCAAAGTCTCTGACCTTTTACTTTCATTTTTCTCGCTTGTTTCCGCAATTTCCTCACTATCATTGCTTGAAATACTATCATCACAAAGTGGAAAAGAAGATAGAGACTCCTCTGCCAATTGTCGATAAAGCACCAATCTTGGAGATGCTGATCTCAGAATAAGAGAGAACTCAAATAGTGAGGCCACTTGATCACTTAAAAGTGACTTCCCATGGTTTAAAATTCTTTTGAGGCAGTCTTTCGCTGAATGAGAATCAGCTTCAATCTCCTCTGCTCGAAGCCAAACCTCAATAAATTCCCAGTAAAGGTCTTTCCATTCCTTTGATAGTAATTCACTATACCAATAAATGAAAGAAACTAAATCAAATTCATTCCAGAAACAATTAATTCAATAACAAAACAGCAAAACGACAATGACCAAATTAAACAACGACAATTCAATAATAAAAAGAACAAAAAGAGGTCATTCAAAATTAAGAAAAGAAATGGAGCATACGCAGCTTCCAATAGAACAGGAGTGCCCTCCCACTTAGCCCTAACCGCAACCTGCACGTTTTTGGGTCTTCGATTCTCTCCAGAAACGGAGACAAAACCAGAAAAACTTACACAAATTAGAATGATAAAAACACAAAAACCGGATCTAAAACGGATATCCATTGGATAAGCAGGAATGGTCAAATCTTATGAGGATACAACATTGATGTATAATAGAACCGAGTGGCGAATTAGCGAGGGAATGAACAGAGGAGTTGTTTGTTTGAGCTGAGCAGGCAACGGAGAGAAAGATCAGTGAAGGACGAGACGACTTGGAAGCGAAAGAGGAGAATGACTAATAACGGCTTTTTGGTCATTCTGTTGCAACATTAGGATATTTCGGTAATTTGGTTGGCCATGTCATTGAGTTGACGTGGTAGGTTTTTGTTGGATGGGTTTTAACGTAAGTAGGGGTTTTGACTTGATGATCGGTTCTGCTGCGTGAGCAAAACGGCATGGGAAAATCTCGATACGACATGCCGGCGATTAGACAATGAAACCATGAGCAAAGGGGTAAGCAAAGGGTCAGTCGGTGAAAGCGAACCGAACCAATACCAAAAAATAAAAATCAAAGTTTCTATACCATAATTGAATCGGACTAACATTGGCATCTCAAACCGGAAGATTTCTTACATTATCGTTAATTAGATCTTGATATAAATAAAATTAAAACATTAACTTTTAATCTTTTAAAAAAACTCCATTTCATTAATATTTAATTATAATTTGATTAATTTCAATAATAATTTAATATGAATAGTTTAATTTCAACGGATATTAACATAAAAATATATTAATTAGAAAAAATCAAAACAAAAATTATAATTACTTATATTAATTAACTTTTTTTACTCGTGCAAGTTAAATTAGGATAAACGCCTGAAAACCAAAAACATAGCCATCCATAAAATGCTACTATTAAATAAAAAAAAAAATGCAGGGACAACTTCCTGCGGAAGTTGTTTCATGTCGACGTGGCAATAGAGAAAGTAAAGCGAACTTACAAGGAAATTACGTTAGCCACCGACTAACCTTTTTCTACACATTGAGATGACTTAACCAGGTGAAGGATGAATAAAAAAAAGACCAAGCACTTCCTTCTATTTCTAAAGTCTGTTTCCTATTGCAAATTCTCTCCATTAATGGCTTCTTTAACTCATCACAAGAAGAACACCCTAATCCCTAGCAGCCACAGAGCTTTGCAGTCACCTTTCCATGGTTCCATAACCCAGAAGATGATGACTTGGACAATAGATGAATCCAAGTCCAAAGCAAAGGCAACTGTAGCAATGGAAATGCTGCAAAAACATCAATCTTTCTCTTACAAGGGACAACGCAAGGTCGTTGCCTATAAGAGTGAAGTTGTTACCAAAGAAGCCTCAGCCAGGAAGCAGACGCTACGTCATGTGTCTGAAAAGGGACAGTTCGTTGCCATTAGAAAGGAAGTTGTAACTAAGGAGGTAAAGGAGGTAAAGTATGTGGTCAATGAAGTGTCCTACAAACAGAATAAGGGGAAAAGCACCATCATGGACAAGAACAAGAAACAAATCTGTTACAGAAATTAATAGGGGTATTTATTTTACATCTTTAAATTCTCTTTTCCTCAAATTGTCTTCTTTTGAAGTTGTATATTTGTTCTTGTGTAGGAAATTGATTTTCAAGTGAAGCTCTAGGGCGTCGACACTCTGAGAAACGCCAAGCGATATAGTTTATAATTCTTAATTTCCATTTTCTATATGAAGTGTTAAGTTAGGTTCTGTTTGCAGTTGTGTTTGAATTTATTGGGTTGTACTTGTAGTTTTGTTCTGTACATTATTATGTTTGGATTAAAGCTGTTCCTTTTTCACTCTCTTGGATCTGTCTTTCTCTCTTCTTTTCCTTCGTTTTCTTTCCATTTCTCGGTAAACAATCATGTAGTTATAAGTTTTTCTTTATTAATTTCAAGATTAACACTTGTAATGCTTGCCATAAAAAGTGTTCTTTTATACAAATTATAATAACACTAGTAGATAGTAAGTGATTTCTCTTTGGCAGAACTTGAAATTTCCTTAATTGGAAGCCTAATCTGTAGTTATGAGCATGCCATCATCTCCAAGCTTTCTGCCGATCTTCCACTCCGATATGTTCTCGCCAATCCAGAATTTCCGGTGAAAGGGTATCACCATGTGTTTGTTCCTCAGGCTCATTTTGTCAATTTACATATATATTACTGATATTACATGGCCAGAAATAGATTAGGATTACTGTACTTAATTATACGAAAAATCCCCCGAAATTGTACTAGTTATAGAGGGGGTGCATGCATACCACCACCATGACCCAATTGTACCAGCTTGCTTTTCCTGTATTTTGTCGTTGTCGCATCTCCATTCATCACGTCGAAGAAAAAGCAGAGAAACAGGTTAATGGGGAAAGCAAGCTTTTTCTCTTTCAACTATCAACATGATTGCAATTTTCTTTCTTTTTCCTCCTTGTGGAGCCTAACCAAGATAACAGAAATAAAAAAGCAATCTCTTTTTTATCAGATTTCTTTATCTTATAATGCAATGTCTTGAGTCGTTGTTTATAGTAAAAAGAAATGTAGCTTATTTGTTGAACAGTTCAAACGAATTTTTTCTATAGACTATAGTGGCTAAAATAATTACAAGACAATAAACATGTCCCTTTCCTTATCCTCGCACTCATTTACACATCGATCATTTACTGCAGAGTCTAACACCTTACACTCGGAAGTAAATAAAATATCCAGTGAGAATGGAAAAGGCAAACCTGCTCTTCATCCCCTTCCCTTGGCCGTCTGATATCCACGGTCGAACTGGCAAAGCTTCTTCTTAACCGCGACCACCGACTCTCCATTACTGTTCTTATCATGAGGCTATCTAATTCTGAATCCAATTTCGACAATTATACTCAGTTGCGGCCTCCATTTCTTTATCAAATCGAATCCGATTCATTGACTTACCTATAGATGAGCTCCAAATATTTAGTTTCGCTTCTTTTCTTGAGAGACACAAACCTCATGTCAAACAAGTTGTTTCCGAGATCACTCAATCTGGGTCTGATTCACCTATAACGACAGAGTATAATTTTTTATTTGAACAAATTTAACCCTTTCTTATTAATTCCCCTAATGGTGGTTGTTTCTTCTTTTGTTTTCAGCGGTTTCAGCAGCATAAAGGCTTCCTAATAGAATTCTTTGCAACCAATTAGTGATATATGAATTTTTTCTCTTTACAATATGCTACATGAATTTTCTGGTAAACCAGGAGAATTTAATCAACTGAACTTCTCTTATTAATTTTTTTTTTTTTTACAATAGGAGCAAACTCACTGAACGGACCAAGTGCTTATTGTGATAAAAAGAAATGAGATATTGGAATCTGGAATTAACAAGAAAGAGTTCAAATGAAATTTCATCTTGATCATGTATGAAACCCGGTCATTACTTACTATGTGTTGATTGGATGGTAAGCGATCTCACATTCAGAGAGAATACAAGTAGAATTTTTAGTAAAGTGACGGTTAAAGAAAATACAAGTAGGATTTTCAAGTAAGGGGCATTTACTGAGATGAGAAAAACTTTTATGCAATGCAGGTTATACCAAAAAGATGGTGGCTACTTGCCATAATAAAATATATAAGTGTATGCACTAAGATTGCCCATGCATTGAATCTCGAAATATATATTATATGTTTTAGTAACATCCAGCAAAGCCATGACATCACTGTTTTGTTCTTCTAGCTTGCAATTTATAATACCGCAAAATAGCAACACAACAAAGGCGGCTCCTTTTCCTATGCTTATAAAAACTAACTCAGTCACTGCCGCTTCAAGCTCAGAAGAAAAATAGATATCTCCTGTCAAAATGGAAGAAGTACAGCTCGTATTCGTCCCTACCCCTGGTATAGGCCACCTTATATCCACAGTGGAATTGGCAAAGCTTCTTCTTAACCACCACCACCATGGACTCTCCGTCACTGTCCTTGTCATGAAGCTATCTAATTTTGGTTCCAACGTTACTAACAACTACATTCAATCACTTGCAGCCTCCACTTCCTTGTCCGATCGAATCAGATTCATTGACTTACCCGAAGACAAGCTCGAAACATTTAGTATCGCTTCTTTTATTGAGAGACAGAAACCTCATGTCAAACAAGTTATTTCTGAGATCACTCAATCTGGGTCTGATTCTCCTCGACTAGCTGGTTTCGTTCTTGATATGTTTTGTGCAACGATGATAGATGTCGCTAATGATTTTGGTGTTCCATCTTACATTTTCTTTACTTCAAGTGCAGCTTGTTTTGGTTTCGTGCTTCATTTGCAGGTGATTTACGATGAACAGAATGTTGATCCAACTGAGTTGAAGGAATCGGACATTGAGTTAGAAGTCCCGGGTTTGGTAAACCCATTTCCTGCTAAGGTTATGCCTTCCGCGATGTTAAGCGAAGAGTGGTTTCATCCCTTGCTCGACAATTTCAGAAGGTATAAGGAAGCTAAGGGTATTATCGTAAACACATTATTTGAGCTAGAATCCTATGCAATCGAGTCTTTTTCTAATGGTAAAACTAGAAAAACCCCTCCCATGTATCCAGTGGGTCCCATTTTGAATGTGGGGTCCGATGGAAGCAGCAAACAGCAGGAAATCATGGAATGGCTTGATGATCAGCCTCCATCATCAGTGGTGTTCCTGTGCTTTGGGAGCCGGGGAAGTTTTGATGAGGATCAAGCGAAAGAGATTGCCTATGCGCTAGAGCACAGTGGACATAGATTCTTGTGGTCCCTACGTCGACCACCGCCAACAGGTAAGATGGAATCTCCAAGTGAGTACGAGAATCCACAAGAAGTTTTACCTGAAGGATTCTTAGATCGAACGGCTAAGATTGGAAAGATAGTTGGATGGGCTCCACAAGCAGCTATTTTAGCTCATCAAGCTATAGGAGGATTTGTTTCTCACTGTGGATGGAACTCTACATTGGAGAGCATATGGTATGGTGTTCCAATTGCAGCATGGCCAATGTACGCAGAGCAACAGTTCAATGCCTTTGAAATGGTGATTGAACTAGGATTAGCTGTGGAAATTAAAATGGATTATAGAAAAGAGAGCAAAATAATTATAAATAGTGATAAAATTGAAAGAGGAATAAGGTGTTTGATGGAGCAAGATAGTGAAAAGAGAAAGAAAGTGAAGGAGATGAGTGAAAGGAGCAGAATGGCTTTAATGGAAGGTGGATCTTCATACATTTGGTTAGATTGTTTAATAAAAGATGTCATCAGCAATATGTCATGATCAAAACATTCCCATTATATGGTTTTGTTTGTCATTTTTCTTTTCTCCCAAATTAGCAAATGTTACTTCTTTTCTCCCGAGAAGTACTCAATAATGAAAGATGTCATTCTTTGGCGTCTATGGCTCTTACTCAATAATGTATTTGTGTGTGTGTGTGTGTACTTCTTAAACTCAAAGAATGAGAAAATCCCGAATGAAGAAAGAAAGTTACTTACATCACAGATCTACCGGGATTGGTTTTTTTTTTTTTTTTTTCCAAAAGAGAGAAACCCAACTTTCCCTCCTCTCTCTCTCTCCATAAAGAAATTAAAAATAGAGAAGATGGCTAGCATAAGTAGAATAAGAAGCCCAAATGCCCATCATTTTGTCGCTCTCAATTTGATCATAATTTCATCAAAAGTAATTGGATGGGCTCCATAAGCAGCTATTTTAGCTCATGAAGGCTGAAGGTATAGGAGGATTTGTTTCTCACTGTGGATGGAATTCTGTGTTGGAAAGCATATGGTGTGGTGTTCCAATTGCAGCCTGGCCAATGTACGCAGAGCAACAGTTCAATGCCTTTGAAACGGTAACTGAATTGGAATTAGCAGTGGAAATTAAGATGGATTATACGATCGGAAGTGAAATAATTGTAAGTTGTGATGACATTGAAAGAGGAATAAGGTGTGTGATGGAGCAGGATAATGGAAAAAGAAAGAAACTGAAGGAGATGAGTGAAAGGAGCAAAATGACTTTAATGGAAGGTGGGTCTTCATACATTTGGTTGGATTGTTTAATAAAAAGATGTCATGAAAAATATGTCATAATTAAAACAATCCCATTAACTTGAAGGAGAATAAGCACAACGCAAACTCCCTTAGCCCCTTTGCTTTCGAGAGCGAGCGGAGGTGAGCGAATATTAGCTAGACTTACTTCGGATACTAATATAGATATCTCGTGTAAATATAAAAAAAAAAAAAAGCGAGAGGAGGTGAGCGAATATTAACTAGACTTACTTCGGATACTAATATAGATATCTCGTGTAAATATAAAAAAAAAAAAAAGCGAGAGGAGGTGAGCGAATATTAACTAGACTTACTTCGGATACTAATATAGATATCTCGTGTAAATATAAAAAAAAAAAAAAGCGAGAGGAGGTGAGCGAATATTAACTAGACTTACTTCGGATACTAATATAGATATCTCGTGTAAATATAAAAAAAAAAAAAAGCGAGAGGAGGTGAGCGAATATTAACTAGACTTACTTCGGATACTAATATAGATATCTCGTGTAAATATAAAAAAAAAAAAAAGAGAATAGCACAACCTTAGACAATAACCTTAGTCAAAGGATAATTTTTTATTTTGTTTGTCATTCTTTCTTTTCTCCCAATTTAGCGGACTTTGATGCCTATGGTTCCTACTCAAGAATGTACTGTGCTTCAAGCATCTTTTGCTTACTTTTGCAAGTTTTAAGGTTGTTAGTCGTTGGAAAAAGTTTCGCAAATAATACAAGCCCAGGGTTGTAGTGAATATAATTTTATTATTGAAGGTTGAATTTTTTATGCATCTAATTTTTATTCCTTAATAAATTTTAAAGATTCTTTATTTATCATTTTTTTTAATTCACTGGAGATTTTTTTGCAAGATAAGCCTGTGTGCTACACAATAAGTATAACCCTACTCTTGGCTCACAAAACTGATGAAAACAAATGTGGTTAAAAGAACTTAAACTCGAGATCTTCCACTCTTCATATAAGTGAGAAGATCAACCAGACTACCAACTGGTTGACTCTCTTTATATCATTTAAATTTTAAAATCGATGTTAATTCGTATCACAGGACAAAAAACTAGTTTCATAGTTAAATGAATTTAGAATTTGATAAAATTCTAAAATTCAATCAAAATTTTAAAATAACCAAATCAAATAACCAAAATCCATCCCTAATAATGAACAACTCTAGAAGTCTCCATTTTGTCATCTGAGGGAGGAGAGAATTTTGAGGGTTATGAAGACATAGTGCAACATGTAAAAATGGAGAGAATTTTGGTATTATAAACAATGTTGGGATAAGTTAATCTACTGAATGAGGTACAATTCGAGGTACTTACGAGATAAAGGTCATTTTGGAACGAGCATGAAACAACTCAAATAGTTTAGAATAAAAATATGGCTATATTCGGCAACAATGTTTAAATATAGTGTTTGATAATATAGCGTTTGAATTAACTTTTAAAAACTAAGACTGCATTTTGTGAAAAGTTACTTCATACATTTTATGAAAAGCTAGTAAATCAGCTAATACCTAAAAGCTATTAAAACAGCTAACAGCTACCAAAATAGTTAATTTTGCTAAATAAACCTATAGTTTAGCTAATTCACAGTGCAATATAAATTAATAATAGTTCAAAATTTTAATATACAAAACACAATATATTTAAAGGTTTCCAGATGATATATTTTTCCTTTTAATAGCAATTTACAACCACATTATATAAATTTTATATTAATAAAATAGATATCCAGCGAATTAAATTGCCAAGTCCACAGAGGATATGAAAATAAATTTAATACTTAAATTATCATTTTACATTTCAACAATGACTGTTGCTAAATTTTATTAAACAATTAATATTTATTAGTTAACTAATAAATCAAACATGCCCTAAGTAACAATTCACTCTAGAATGTAAAATTGAAAAATATAGAAAATAAATTAGATATATAAATCAAGTATAAAAATTATAAATGGTGAATAAATAAATAAAATAAACAATTTTTAAAAACTCAAAATCAACTACAAGACCATTGAAAAAAATTTTGAATTTATTTCTGTCCCGTGTGTCCCTTGCATGCACCGATGCATTACCTTAAACAATAAAATTAGATAAAATTAATATTCACCTTATATATTTATTTCTGTCCCGTGTGTCCCTCTGCATGCACCGACTGCATTACCTTAAAACGAATACAAATTAGATTAAAATTAACTATTCACCTTATATATAATATACTATATATATATATAAATACTATATATATAATATATATATATATAGTGACAATTGACTATTTTTTTCTTCACGTCAATCTGGAAATTAAAAACTCTTCAGATATATATATTGACAATTGACTATTTTTTCTTCACGTCAATCTGGAAATTAAAACTCGAGAGGATAATATTTTTATGGACGAAGCATCTTCCACATTCCACATCAGTAACACCCAGCAAAGCGATGACGAATTACCCTTCTTGGCTTCTTGCGTTCCCAGGTTGCAATACCTCAAATTAGTAAACAGACATCGAAAGGCTCTCTTTTCCTGATCCTTAGACTCGTCTATAAATAAGGGCACTCACTGCAGCTTCAATGTTCAAACACCTCAGACTCAGAAGAAGAATAAATATTCACTAAAAATGGAAAACACACAGCTGCTATTCGTCCCTTTTCCTGTTATAGGCCACCTTATAGCCATGGTGGAATTGACAAAGCTTCTTCTTAGCCGCGACCACCGACTCTCCGTCACTGTTCTTATCATGAAGCTATCTATTTTTGATTCCAATGTTATTAAAAATTATATTCAATCATTTGCACCCTCCACTTCTTTATCAAATCGAATCCGATTCATTGACTTGCCCGAAGACAAGTTCGACGAACCATTTATTTTCGCTTCTTTTATTGAGAGACAGAAACTTCATGTCAAACAAGTTGTTTCTGAGATAAATCAACCTGGTTCTGATTCGCCTAGACTCGCTGGGTTCGTTCATGATATGTTTTGCACGGGAATGATAGATGTCGCTAATGATTTTGGTGTTCCCTCCTATATTTTCTTTACTTCAAGTGCAGCATTTCTTGGTTTCATGCTTCATATGCTGGTGATTTACGATGAACAGAATGTTGATCCAACTGAGTTGAAGGAATCCGACACTGAGTTAGCAGTGCCGAGTTTAGTACACCCATTTCCCGCTAAGTTTATGCCTTCTGCGCTGTTACAAAAGGAGTGGCTTCATCCGTTGCTCGACAACTTCAGAAGGTTCAAGGAAGCTGAGGGTATCATCGTAAATACGTTCTTTGAGCTAGAATCCTATGCGATCGAGTCTTTTAATAATGGTAAAACTAAAAAAACTTCTTCCTTGTTTCCAGTGGGTCCCATTTTGAATCTGGAGTGTGATACAAGCAGCAAACAGCAGGAAATCATCCAATGGCTGGATGATCAACCTGCATCATCAGTGGTGTTCCTGTGCTTTGGGAGCATGGGAAGTTTTGGTGAGGATCAAGTGAAAGAGATTGCCTATGCATTAGAACATAGTGGGCATCATTTCTTGTGGTCCCTACGTCGACCTCCGCCAACAGGTAAGATAGAATCTCCAAGTGACTACGAGAATCCACAGGAAGTTTTGCCTGAAGGATTCTTAGATCGAACGGCTAAGATTGGAAAGATAGTTGGATGGGCTCCACAAGTAGCTATTTTAGCTCATCAAGCCATAGGAGGATTTGTTTCTCACTGTGGATGGAATTCTACATTGGAAAGCATATGGTATGGTGTTCCAATTGCCACGTGGCCAATGTACGCAGAGCAGCAGTTTAATGCTTTTGAAATGGTGATTGAATTAGAATTAGCCGTGGAAATTAAAATGGATTACAGGAAAGATAGCCAAATAATTGTAAATTGTGATGAAATTGAAAGAGGAATAAGGTGTGTGATGGAGCAAGATAGTGAAAAGAGAAAGAAAGTGAAGGAGATGAGTGAAAGGAGCAGAATGGCTTTAATGGAAGGTGGGTCTTCATGCATTTGGTTGGATTGTTTAATAAAAGATGTCATCAGCAATATGTCATAATGAAAACGTTCCCATTATCAATTTGGAATAATATCAGAGAATAAAATTTTCCTACAACAATGTTACTACAAGTGGATTTGAAAAGTAAATGCTTAATAATATTACATTAATCCAACAAAGTCAAACTCTCTCTATTCTCATCATCATGATTTCTTTCACAATATTCATCCATTGACTTCCCATTTTGAGCTTGACTCCTTCATTTCTTGTTTCACCTGTCAATAACCCTTCTTCCATTACAGAGAAATATGCCAAACTTAGTTTTACCCCTCGTATCAATATACCTCTGTTGCTTTGTTTCTCTTTACGATGCTTGTGATCAGTTGGATCATGAGTCTCTCTTATCATTTTCTCTCAACATCTCATCTTCTCCACCATTGAATTGGTCTTCTCATGACTGCTGCCTATGGGAAGGCATCGGTTGTGATAGTAATGGTAAAGTAACAGATCTATGGTTGCCTTCAAGAGGTCTAACTGGCTTTCTTTCCCCATCTATCTGGAACCTGACGCATCTTTCTCAACTCAACCTATCCCACAATCGCTTCTCCGGTCCTCTCATTGTCAAACCTTTTTTGTCTCCATTGGCACTCAGGATTCTTGATTTGAGTTACAACCTTCTTCATGGTGAATTACCATCTTAC